TCCAAATTCGCTCTGAATCAAGATATAGATTTACTCATTCCAAGATTATATTTTGTCGTGCATATATGACACTTTTATTTGCTCCATTCAATTAAATTTTGCTTGATTGAACAATTCCTTTTTTTCCGTGAACCTAAGACACAGTTCGAAAATATTTTCGGAAACGCGGTGTTGTCACAGCCACCTGAAACTATCTATAAAAAGTAACTTTCTAAAAATAATGTGGTTATAACTTTTTGGCTATTTTGTGGTGTAACAAGAATGTTATATTACTCTGAAACGTTCTCAATTATATGTGGACTTTAAGAAAACGCAAAGAAGTTTTAAATCGGTGCAAAAATATGCACTCAATGAGGTTCATCATTTAAGAGCACTGTATACCACATTTAAATGCAAGGTGTTTCATTACTATAATTGGAAATATTTCAGCATTAAAATCCTGAGCTCAAAATATGAAGATTTTACCCAAATCACCTAGATAATTGTGTCTGTTGTCATGGGACACACGAGATTTTATGAGAATTTTGAGACAACTATTAGAACTTCAAAATATAGTAATCTCTGGTAGAAGTCCATCGTTTCTCAAAGTGAGGTACAGTGGTTAATACTGAATAATTCACAAAGTCATCTCCACGACAATTTATTGTGAAAACTCACGGTAGTTTTCGGACATACGTATGTCTATCATCAGCCTAATAAGAAATTACCATAGACCTATTATCCCAATGTAATTCAAAGAGAAAAATTAATAAAGTAACACGAGGAATCCTTAACATAGATAGCTTACATGAGGATGAGGGTGAAATTTTTTTTTATAATAACCGTAGAGAATTAAAAAACATGAAAGTTAAATGGTTAGTTGTTTTCTAGGGGAATAACCATGAAAACCCCAATAGATGGCCATTATGGTGGATAATAAAAAACTAAAGAACCCCCTAACATTTGGGGAGCAAGATGGAGGTCATTCTTCACTGTGCCGTCAACTTGCTCATGGAAGTGCCCTTTAGTTTTTTATCATCCACCATAATGCCCATCTATGGGGGTTTTCATGGTTATCCCCCTAGAAAACAACTAACCATTTAACTTTCATGTTTTTTAATTCTCTATGGTTATTATGAAAAACATTATTCACCTTCATGTAAGCTATATATGGTAAGGATTCCTCGTGTTACTTTATTAATTTTTCTCATTGTAGCACTATGTAATATCTTATTAGGCTGATGATGGACATATATATGTCCGAAAATATGTTCCCTTGATGTGATTATTCACAATGAACCCGTGAGTTTTCGCAATAAATTGTCGTCGAGATGACATTGTGTATTATTCAATATTGTCAAAATATATGGTGTATTTTCCGAGGTTAACCCCTTTTTTGGCGGCAAAGTGTTTAGGTTAAAATGCTACAAGGGAAGGAGAGATAAGCAGTATATTGTATTCCCTGGGCTATACGTGTTCACATAGTTGGATTGATATTATTCAAGTTCATTCTTTTTTACTACTATATAGTTAGTTATCTGTTTTTCATATTCTAATCATTGTTATCTAGGTAGTATTGCTCAATTACATAGGTACGTATTTTGATGTATGAAATGATAAATTTTCAATAAAATCGAGTATCCTTATAGTTAATTCTTTAGTGGTCTATTTATACAGATTCGAGTACTATTGGTCTTCTAATTGGATATCTTCATCAATCTACATGTGTATGTAGCAATTTTGAGAAGCATATAATCATAAGGGCGGATTTGACTTTATTTATGGGGGGACCAAGACAACATGCTTAAAACAAAAAAAATATTATTAAAAAACAAACTGTTTAAAACAAAACAATACTACTCTAATCAAATTTGGATAGCCTACCAGCCTACATTTGTAGCCTTGAAGTAAATAAGGGGCTAAGTGCCAAAAATTCGAAAACTGGTTTTATTGCTTTAAAGTGGGCTATGTACCATCGCCTTCAACGCGAATAACGGGCTATGCAAAAATGCACCGGCAAATAATTTAATTTTCCACCATCAGGCGACGCATGTGTCAACTCTCGAGTTCATATTAGTAAATAACGGGGTAAGTGCCAGCTTTTCCATATTCGTTAATTCGTGCTAGCGTGGACAGGCGGCGGAAATGAGTCTGATTACCAAAGATTTACAAATTTTTAAATCGAAATGGATCATGGGCGCCGCTAGTAAAAATTCCAGGGGGGGGCGGTTTTTTCAAATTTAAAGAATTAATTGTACTATACTAGATATAAGTAATAGGAAAAATCGAAACCCTTTTGACTCATTTTCACTACCAGTGTGGTTTGAAGAAATTGTGAAGAGGATATAGGTAAAGTAGGTTGGGTAGGTCAGTTGATAAGTAAAACAAGGAATTAAAAAAAATCAATTTTTTCGAAACAATACACCTACATTAAAACAAAAATATCACAAAAATTAAAGCTGAAAGACCCAAATTCCAAATCGATGGCCTTTTGGAATACATGTCCCATCAAAATATAATAATAGCAAATCTAAATCAAAACTCTTTGGTAAATACCTATATAAAATAAAATACAAATAAACTCCATAAAATGCACTTGTAAATACTGATATGGCAATATGCATGTAGGCAACAAGAATATAAATAAAACAATGTTTCTTTCGACCAAAATAAAAGCAAAAAAAAATGAAATTGAAAAATAAAGATACTGCACTGAGGGCAATCCTAGTCTACTCGTCAAAAAGGAATTTTAAATTTCTTTTTTCCATGCCAAACAAATCAATGACCTTATTAATTATTTCAAGCTTATTGTTATCAACGTATATTCTGTGTATACTTATGAGAGCCAGTCCAGAAAGACGGTTTTCGCTCATAGTTGATCTGAGCCAACTTTTCACTCTCTTGAGAGTACTAAACGATCGTTCAATCGAGCATGTTGTAGGAGGCATAATAACAAAAAATTTCAAACAAGTTTTAATGTTAGGAAAAAAATTACATTCATTATTTATTAGTTCAGTCATATCTCCTGAAAACTCTTTTTCCTTCCACACTTGCTGCCATGTGCAATATTCCGCACTTAAATTATCAACTCCAAATTGGTTTGAAATATCTTCCAACTGATTTTCACAAAGAATAATTCCCTCTCTAATGATAGCAGGATGAAACTGTGATAGAGAGGACGCAGCTGTTTTATCAGAGGAAAACCGAGTTTCCAGAGATCTTTTATGACTGAATCTAAATAAGGAATGAAAATAGAAATCATAAAATCTTTCGCATCCATAGCGCACAACAATCCACCGCACAGGCCACAGACAGATACGAGACTGACCACTAAAAAAATACTGATACTTGATAGGACACTTGTTCGCGTATCGCGTGGTGGGGTAGCTCGAGTCAGTCGAGTCAAGTGCTTGCGTTCCGAGTGTTTGTAACGCCTTAGGAAGTCACATGGTTGCGACGGCCGACGGGCAAATGCGAATTTCACCGAACGACTAATGAACTTACATTTGGGATGATCTCAGCTGATATTTCTGCTATTTAAGTTTATCGCGTCTTGACTGAAAAAGCTAAAATCCAGGGGGGGGGCGGCTGCCCCCCCTTGCCCTCAAGTAGCGGCGCCCATGAAATGGATCATTGTAGAGAAGGATTCATTGAGACTTGGGCGCGTTCAGGCTCGTGAAACTTTAAACGATTTAGAAACTTGTAAATCTACGAGGGTTTTCAAAAAAATATTTCAGAAGGAACTATCCGTGATATTACACTGCCACCATTATCATGTAAAAGCAAAATAAGCAATGAGAAGAAAGAAAACTTGAAAAAATGTATTCCTTATGTCAAAGAGGAAAATCGAGGATTTTTCGAAGAAATTCTTCGTTGATAGATCAACCTGATTTTTTTTCTATTTTTGTATGTTCACACAAATGAAAAATTGACAAAAACGATGTTAATTCCTTGTTTCGAACCTCTTTATTTTCTGGCACTTAGCTCATGGTAAAATACACATTGGTGTGGTACTTAGCCCACTATAAGAAGAGATAATGATGGCACTTGGAACCTTCTAATAATATCAAAGTTGTTTGAATTTTTTCTCTTGAACCAGAGCACCCACATGATAAATCAATTCAAATTCTTGTTTATACCATACAAAGGTTCATATAAAAAAATGGAAATATATCCAAATGAAATCGTTCATATTTTATGAAGTTTTTATCGAATAACTCGAAATAATTTTTTTGGCACTTAGCCCCTTATTTACTTCAAGGCTACATTTATATAAAAGAAAATCAGTAAATAATGATCTATCTCTGTTGAATCAACGGTCACGGAGTTTTTTGTAGAATTGAGGAATTATTTATGTATATGTATATGAGGGAAATTTTCGTTCTCAATAAACGGCATAGAGAGTGGCTTTTCTATGACACTTACCAGGAAGCAAACTTGTACTTTCTCTGCCTAGGCAGAAAAAGATTTTTGCTATGCAACGTTCCAAGTAATTTGAATGACATTTTTAATCAAAATTGACACTGAAATTGGGTGAACTAAATACAAAATGATGAAGTTTTCAATACGAGTATCGTAAAGACTCATATTTCGTTATTAGATGGGAAACTTGATGTAGTTGATTAAAAATATTCAATATTCCCGGAACTGACGATTCATTAGGAACTTGTAACAAGCAAGCGTTGCAAGGGTTCGAACTGTCAACTCTGACGCGTTAATTTCAATTCGAAAAAAAATTCATCGGCATGAATTCGGATCGGGAAAGTTCAAATTCCGATATAGAAATCGCGGCAAATGCAGCAATCGAAACTTTAGTACCTGCCATATTCATGATAAATTGGTTGTCCTTTCTTTTTTTGAGTAAAAATAAAATTGAAATTATATTTTTCTCACTTTACCGCACTAGTGCGTATATATATTATGATGTAAACTGTTAGCGTTGTAGTGATATAGCACCCTGTATACATATTACGCGGATGACAGTCCCCCACCAAGTATTAAAGATTTCAAAGCGAATTTACAGAAGCGCTGTGAATACTGCAACAGTTTGTATATGGGGTGTTTGGTGTTCTCTGGCCACGCAGTGAGAGTTCCCGCTCGTTTGGGTCATTCAATTTAAAAAATATTTTCGTGTTCGCCAAAGTAAGTGATAGAATAAGTTATTTATTATACAAGGGAAACAAGTAGTAGATTTTTGCTCCAGGTTGTGTTGAGCTGAAATCTAATATTTTTCCCGTGTATAATACTCTTTTTTTTCTGCGACAGGAAAAAAGGACGGATCAATATTGAGAAGATATTACATTATATTAAAATCAGAAAATTGCCGACGTGAAATTTGAAGTTTTTAACACGAGTGACACCTGGGTTGCAGGCATCGGTATGATTCTTTTGAAGTAATCAGATATGTGTCAGTCTAATTATGTGATTTGATTTTGAAAAGTTGCGAATTTAGTGGTTTTTTAGTAATTCACCTAACCGCGAAGTCGAATGGAAGATAAAAGGACTTGCAGTTCTTTCCTGGAGACGGTGTTATTAGCTTATTTTTTTGGAATTATAGCATAACAAAAGCAATCAACAGTGTATACAGGGTATCTAAATAACACCGAAAAAAATCAAGGAGTGATTCCTTGTCATATTTTTGGAAACAAAGTTCATATTAAAATGTGTCCTAACTTGCTTCGTTTTCGAGATACACGGTATTCATATTTCCATAAAAATTCTTTTGTCTTTCCATCAATTTCAATAAAACGTCGTGGTTTTGTTGATAGTAATATAGAGCTGCATCTAGTGCAATTAGTTTCATATTTTTATTAGATTGAACTATTGAAATTACAATGTTTGTATCCTACGTGTTACATTTTTGTATCTAGCTTAATTTTTGAGGATACAATAAAAATTCGATTCGACTCAAAATTTTGATGTAGGTGTTTTTAAGATTTTCATTGAGATTACTCAATAACCCCAGTTAGAATCATTTTGAAATTTTGGGGCTTTCTCAGTCTCCATCCATATTGAATTTTGATAAGTCTCGAGGTTCGTTTGCGAATAAATAATTCCTGATTTTGATTAGAATTTCTTGCTTGGAAGGTCGAGTAATTTTTTCTGGCATTTTTTTGAGTTGAAGTTCCTAAAGGCAACTAAACTCGATTTATGAATTTAAAGTTTACTTCGACACAAAAAAAAAGCTCGAGTGTGATTCAATAAGACAATTGATTGAATACGTAAATCAGACTATTGTTGATGGTTTTTCCAATTTCCTTCACTCGAAGAATCTCCAAATCGCGACATTTCCATAGATTAGATATTTTTCTGGCAACGCGAGATTGAGAAAAATTGACATAAATGTCATCAATATTCGTCACAATTTAGCAAAGTTTTTTTGCTGTCATAATGACAAAATCACAGCGGCTTATGGAATTTTGTATACATAAATCGAATTATCAACAGTAATTACACAAGTGGTGGTAATTTTTTTATAATTTTAACTAGATGCACGAATCTTTGTTGTTACATACAGAAATATCGAGTGGACGAAGTTCACGAGTGTAATTTCTTAATAGCAACAAACACGAGTGCAATTATTGATGAAATTATAAAAAAAATTACCTCAACGAATAATGCCCAGCGAGAACAAACTTTTTGCAGCCAGATACGTAGAACAGACTTGCTAGTCGAACAAAACAGCTTACCAACAATGCTATGGGCACTTTTTCGAACGAAGATCCAAACGTGAAAAATTATCGCTATAATTTACTACCTACAAATTATCGGTATGATATAAGACGATTGGCTAGAATTGAGCATTAATATTGTTTGAAACAACTAAAACGTGACACGTAACATTTTGACATGTGAACAAAATAATCAAGAGAATTGATTGATTAAAGCGAAAAAGCACCTTCATTCCGAAAATGACATTGGATTTTGTTATGATCATCTTGTTTTACTGGAACATCATGATGCAAAGAAACACTATTCTAGACTGCAACAAGTAACGTCACCTGGTTATATAGGGTGGCAAAATAACCTCTGCAAAAATCGTATAATCCCAGATAGGTATATTAATGAAATATGCGATCGAAAAAAAAGGAAACAAAAATGTATTAACAAGTTGGGAGCATCAAGAATTTTTTTAAATTTTTCAGATGTTTGTTGGTCACCATGTATAAGTAAAAATATAGCTAAAAGATTCATTTTTAAATCAAAATTTAAACGAAAGGTGCGAGTCAATTCGAGTTGTTTGAATTGATCTGACTAAATTATGATAACTGCTTGCTAATGTGAAAAAATTAGTGTGTCTACAAAACAAAAATGAGAATATACCTGATGCACAATCATCAGAAGAGACGCTTCAGATTTGAATGTACAGTGTGTCCAGTCTTCGATGCTTTTGCGCGATGTCTCAGTTATTCATTCATTCATTCAAAAATCAACGGAGTTACATCCGGTTGAACAGAAAGTGAAAGAACAATTTTTTTTTGAAAAATGAACAATTCCCAACAAATTTAATTCGACCTCAAATGATTCGAAACTTTTAAGTGTTGGGTATAGGTACCAAACAGATAACCAATGAAAAAGTGATCTGAAATATTTAATAACTGGCGAAATGGATTCAATTATTTTTATATAGGTACATGATCGACGGCTGCATGTGAAGACAAGCATATTTTCTCTTCATCAATGATTGGTATGCAATTTTTTTAACAACCACAAATTACACGTTATCTCTTATGTCGACACTGCCCCATATTCCCAATTCCAAACCATCGCGGCTGGTACCCAAAAGAACCTACTTATCTTCGACCATTTAGGCATTTACCGGATGATACACCAACATCAAAATCATTCATCAATCGATCTTGTAATTATCAAAAATAAACAATGGAAAGAGAAACAAAACAAAAGTGCAGCGATCAGCAAAAAACGCGACAGCATTGACAATGAAACACTTATATGACCCATTTGACGTGCTCCAAAACATAATATTAGTGCGAGCCGAATATAAACTGGTCGACCGTAGGTACAGGGCCAACGGAATTGTCTTGAATCTTTATGAAATTCATCAAAAATAAACAAATAAATCCGATGAGACTGATGAGAGTCTTGAAATATCTCGATAAATAGTGGTTTGTTCATATTTTCATTATCAAATTCGTCGCATCGTAAATGCAGTTTTACCGAATTTATATTGATTTTTCCTAAGAATAATTGTTGAGTTTCGAGTACCGTAGAATGGGGTGACTTGATAAGATTTTTGACACACTTCCATAGATTGCGACCTTACCATGCAACTTTCAACCAAACTAAAAATAGTCACCAACTCTTTCGACCCTAAAGAACAGAACGATACATTAAAACCGTTTCTATATAGTGTAGTTTTCGAAAAAAAAAATGTCAAACGTCATATTTCAAGTCACCCCAATATGGGGTGACTTGAAATATGACTTCTTATCAACGATTATTTCAAGTAGGATGGTCTAGGTGGTGACATGAAATGAAAATTAAATAAAAAATATATAGAAATCATCAATTTCATAAAAAAACACTGTGTTTTAGAACAAATATTTTTTAGCAAAATACAAAAAAGATAAAAAACTACAAAAATAAACAAAAACTCATTAGACTGAAAGACTAGTTTAGCTTCTTCCGTTGACATGCGACGTTGCCACTACTTCAAAATTTTCACTGCATTATATTTCAAGTCACCACACGATTTCAAGTCACCCCATTCTACGGTAGTCAAGGAAAATTTCAACTTGTTATTCTTGGGAATCCCTTTCGGAATTCCTCGAGACCGTTTTGACGTAACTCAATAATTTTTCATTCAAGCCTACCAGAACGTTGATTCGTGCAGAAACTCACGAATCTGATTCCAGTTGCGTCAGACAAAAGCCGATTCCAACGGTCCTACTGAAATAAATAAGCACCTACGACGGCATACTTATCGAAAAGACGTGATCGGCATAAAAATTTCGAATGCCTTTATCGACGAACGACATTTTTTTTTTTATTAGGACTGCGAAGGTCACAATTTGTTCATTCACTGTTTTTGCAAATTCCGCCATTCGGAATACTGATCGAACGAAAATTCTATACAGGGTGTTTCAAAATTCGACCGACAACGACAGGTAATAGCTCTAATGGGGAAGACCACTGAAAACTACCACCAAATACAGGGTGTCCCTGCAAAGTCTGTACAAAATCTCAGCACATCTTTCTGAGATCAAAAAATTTATAGTAACTCTCTTCAGTCCGGAATTGCTGCATTTCTGAGATACAGGGTGGTGATTTTTTCAGACGTATCACTTCAAAAATTGGTAGCCAAGAGCTTTTTGAGATGCGAAACCCAAATACGGAAACCTTTACATTGTGGCCAATAAATGGCGCTTACAAATGCACCTCTGATGGTTTGGAATGGTTATATCTTTTTTCTCAGTGTACTTTTTCACTTTTTTCGTGTAGGAAATGATTTTCTAAATATTGTCAAGCAATAAGAATGCACTTGCGAAAATTCGCTGAATCAAGCCGTTTTTGAGATATTTCGGTTTTTAGTGTTCGATACCGCACCGGAATTTTCGAATTATTATGAATAAAATACTCACGGAAGCACTCAATTTAACGGACACCCTGTATACAAACTCTATGTGTGTGTAATACACCTTTGAATTCAGATTTTTATGGAGATTAAAAAAAAAAAAGAAATATAGGGTGTTCTATTTAAAATGATTGTCGCGATCGTCATTACCCAAACGTAAATCATACTGTATATTTAATTTCTTTTTATAAATACGGCAAATGTTCAGGAGATTCCTCTGAAATTGATAGTTTGGCTGAAAATGAATTTATTCAGTACTTTACGAAAGCACCGTATAATATCGATTGTATACATTAGATGTAAATCATGATTCATTATTTGAAAGACGTTTGGACGGATTTCAAATAATAATAGTTTGTTTCTTAATAACTCAAGAATGATTGAATATTTTGCATTCATATTCGGTATATGGTTTATCTTTGAATGGCCCATTTTTTGACCAGGAAGTCATTCCGGACAAATTATCCAGTGGTGCGCTGGAGAGTTGTGGTAACTTTTCGTCCCATATTTCCTACGCCACTGATGGCATTTCGATTATTCTCAATTTCTCGAATTCATATTGTTCAATTTTGTTCAAAAAATGCATCACTTTTAACTCAGCTGGAATGGAAAGTACCAACTCCTATTCAAAATGTTTTGAAGAAAAAGAATGTCATTTGAAAGAATTACTTAAAGGAGTTCTGATTTGGGCATATTCCGTATCCAAATTTCGAAACTGAGTTAAATTTTACAACTGGATGCTTACAAACAGAATATTTTACATTATTTATTCATATTGAATCATAAAAGTATGTAGGTAGATGTTAACTTATTTCAATGCATCAAAATAGTTATCTATGTAAGTGCGTTCGTTTCGTACGCTCGTGTTCCAAGATTTTAGTTTTCACGAAAAATTATCTTTTTTCTGTGACGGGAGACAACACAACCTGGAGCTAAAATCAACTACTCTTTCCCTTGTATAATGAATAACTATTTTACGCCGGCGCGAGTAGAAGTTAGTTTCTCTGGTAACAAAAGAGGGGCAGAAGTCTCGTATTATTCCCTAGGGAGATGATGTGACATATTTCCTTCCTAGGGAGTTTGAACCAACTTTACAATTTCCGCATAGCTCTGCGCTCCCTTTTCGGAACACCCTTCTCTGAAGCGAGTATAAGTTGTGTATCATACAGATTTTCAGATCTCACTGCAGAAGCAGTATCAATAGTTTTTCAGGGTTTTCCCTCGATTTCTTGTTCCACAACCGTTCACCATTTTCAAAGCTGTTTTCATAAATTTCAGTTTGATATTTGCTGTCACCATGGGATGTCAACAAGATTCATATTGTCAAGATACGAATTGACACTTGACCAAATTTTCAATCTTTCATAATTTTTGTGTTTTCGCCAGCGTAAAAAATAGTATATACACCTCAGGACATAATGCTATTCTTCCCTGGGTGCATTGTATCTTGGAAAAAATCTTGCATTTCTGTCCCTTGATGTATAATGTACTATATTATAACGACAAATTGATTTCAAAAAGCGATTCATTGCTCCTAGCATTTTCTTTCCATTTTTCTTCTCAAGGTAGGCATGGCATTTTGACGTTTGTTGAATATTGCTGTCATCATTTAATATTAGCGGTTCATAATGATCAGTAATGGACAAGTGAAAAATAAATGTATTGTTTGCATTGACTCACCAGTTGAAGAGAACCACAATAATTCAAGAGTATTTTTCATAAAAAAATGTATATAAAAAATAATCCTACCAGACGAATATTTTTGATTGCTTTAAGTAGGTGAGAAAATAAATTTTGACAAATTTATGTTAATTCATTTTATGTAAATCTAGGTGTACCTGCATCTTGAATGGATTTTTTTTACGGAAAAGTAATATCTGAAAGATATTCAGTCAATATCACACACATAATAAAGATTGTACAGAGGGAATCAATAATGAATAAGTCACACTGTATACAAGGTATTCTTGAATTCAAGTGACAAAAGGCTAGAAACGATCAAGTCCATATAGAAATAAGAAATAAAAATTCTATACAGATTGAGAATTGGCAATCTCTGAAATACAGAAAGTTAACACCAAAATATTAAGATTTTTCCTAACATGTCTTATAAAAATATTGCTATAGTTTTCGAGATACAGGATGTTCAGGGGAAGATTTTATTTTGAAATTTCTCAATAACTTTGTAAATTTTCTTAGCATTTACATAAAATTTTGTATTTTCAGGTTCACTGACATGAATTTGTAACTCATTTTTTGATTGCTCATGTAGGGCAGGGCGCTAGTGATATTCGCCGGTTACAGCAAATTAGCATCACGTCTTCTGTGTCCATCGAATAATAGTGAAAATAAGTTGAAAATCTGAAAGCCTGTTCCACTTTGAAAAAAAAATTTATCTTTTACCATTTCTAAATAAACATCTACTGGGTGTTATTTCTATCGACATTTTATTAAAATTGGCCATAATTGTTTCTAGATATTCAATTTAAAAACATTCTCCATACTTTTGGGTTTTGCGGTATTTTACCGGTCGGATTTGGAATGTTTCAGAAAATTTGATGAAAAATGGAGGACCACTCTCACATCCAAGAGTTCTACAAAGGTCGGAACGTGTTCATAACAGGCGGAACAGGTTTCATGGGAAAAACGCTAATAGAAAAACTGCTGCGGTCTACGGAAGTGAACACCCTGTACCTCCTCATCAGGGAGAAGAAAGGCAAAAACATACACACAAGAATCGACGAACTATTCGATGATGTGGTAAGTCTAAACTGATGAAGTTAGTCTAAACTGATGAATATTTTCTCAACAGTAAAAACACAAGAGCTTTTTTCATCGGATATATTTCTCTTGGTAACGAAAAACATTTGCCGATCAGTAATTTTTCGAGAGAAATAACTGATGGAAAATGTTTGAGTTAGGAAATTTATCCAAATAAAACAAAAGTTCGAGTGTGTTTTGACTAGATAAATCAACGACAATATACAAATAAACAACAATAATGATTACATTTATTGATGATTCCGTGGAAGTGGTAGTTTGGGGAATTGATTTTCTCACATTTTCGTGGTTTCATCAGTCGAAATTTTCCTAAAACGGCTCATCTTGCTAATTTACGCGTGAACCATACCCATCATCAATCAAACATGACAAGACAGAAATTGAAGTGACATCAGGCGCAAATAGCTACTAGATCAAAGGAGCAGGCAGTTTATCAGCGATAAAAAGGTGCATCCTTTTTTATCGATGTCAAAATGACTCACGTCGTCGTCAAATAGCGTTTTCCGTGTAGGAGTTGATTTATCAGAAACCATCATGGATATATGCATTTTCGTAGAAGTAAAATATGAACATTTCACCAATTTCTTGATATTACACAATCATAGTAATTCACAATCATCTGATTTACAACTTAACAGATGATGATGATAAGAAAACTAGAATCTCATATTTAAAAGAAAAATAGTGAAAGTATATCTTATTACTCAATGAGTTGATTGGAAATGCACAAAGATATACACTTCCGCTTATATGGAAAGTTCATTCAACTAAATCTGAAAACGTATTCCGAAAAATAACTTGCCATCTTCAGTAGTGAGATGAGGAAAATATTAAACTAGATCGAATCATCCACCCGTCCTATTCATTGATAACTAGATCTCATAATTATTGAGATATTGTATATTATTGTATGTCTCTCAATTATTTTACATTTTTTTCATAATCTCTACATATAGATTCAAAATGATCCTTAAAAATCAATTCACTCGAAATCATCAATCACAGTTTCCTATAACTGAATATAATAATATCTATACAGGGTGTTTCATAATTGAATGCTGATCCTAAAGGGCGATGATCCTTGGATGATTTTAAGGAGAGAAGTTCATATCAACATATGTCCTGAACCTCTTAGTTTTTGAGCTACAGGGTGTTGAAATCAGAAGCGTACAGCGTTTTTTTAAACAAAACATTCAATATCAGGTCTACGAGGACATCACTGGTAAAAGTAAAAGTTTGATTTTCGTCTCAAAACAAAATGTGTTTCTACTTATAGTGGGTGTCTACTGAATTACCAAGAACTGAATAAGGAACAAAATTCTTTGGTTTTTATTTTTTTACGCGAAAACAGTACGTTGTATGGAAGTAAGTCTCGGAACCAAATTTGCTCCAAAATGAATGAGAATTAAAAAAAACCTGGTTCTCAAAAAAATCAGTGGCGTACTATTTTTTTTCTTCAAAAATTGTCAGTTCAAACCCAGTACGGACGCCACTGGTGAGAATGTTTAAATATCTTTCACGTGAAAAAATGCTCCTTAATAATGAAAAGGTGTATACAAAATATCATAACAATATCTAAGAGTGATAAAAAATTATGATGAAAAACTCATTTTTTTCTTGAAATTTCATCACACTGTAGCTCAATAACTAAGAGGTTTAGGACATATGTTGATATAAACTTTTCTCTTTGAAATCATCCAAGAATTATCGCCCTCAAGGATCACCATTCAATTATGAAACACCCTGTATATCTCTACTCGTATTGTATTGTTCATCAGGACTTGTAGATGTTATTATTAATTTTTTTTTCCACATCATATACTTTGATTTTCCTTTGATTACTAACTGATAACCCCAATTAGAATCATTTTGGAATTTTGGGTCTTTCTCAGTCGCCATCCATACTGAATTTTGGCCCCATGAAAGCTTATACAGGGAGGTTATAGATAAAAACAATTAATATTTCCAAGTTCAACATCCTGTATCTCAAAAACGGAGCAAGTTAGGACACATGTTTATACGAACTTTATGTCCTAGAATGTCACAAGGAAACACCCCTTGAATTTTCTCGGTGTTGTTTAGATACACCCTGTATAACTTGCATCACCACGAAGCTACAATGTGGATGCTATTTTGGTACTTTGTACTCTATGCAACCCAAAGTTCTAAACAAATAAAATAAATTAAGAAAACAAATATTATTCTTCATCTTCATCAAGCTGGGCTGGTGGCCGTGAGCGTAGAGTCGCTGGCTGTTGCCCAGGCGGTCCGGGTTCGATCCCCGGCGCGAGCACTGAATTAATTTTCGGTAGTTTCGTTGGGCGGGAGGAGATAGGTGGCCAACCCAACATTCTTGGTACCTAGATATCAATCCTTTGGACTGTCCACGGTTACCAGCCGAGTAGTGCTTCGGATGACACTTAAAAAGCTAAGGTCCCCGTCTTCTTAACTCACACAAGTCTCTGACTTTCGAGGGTTGCTTTGCAACTAAGCTGGCGGTTAAAAACACTTTTAAACACTTTTAATCCACATTTTCGTCCTCTGATCGAGAACTACATTTTATACAGGGTGATAATTGTCCATGGAAACACTAAGATTTGCATTCCGAGCGAAAAATTACTAGACCTCAACAGCTTCTCATGACCTACAAAGCACAAATAGGCCTCGTTCTAAAATACTGTTTCCCACATATGGGGTTCAGCACCAAAAATCGTTTGTCTATAGAACAGCAAAGCTTTGGAATTCGTTGCCAAAAGAAATAGTGCTAATATTTCATATATTATCCTCCAGAAACTCAAAATAAATTTCAAATCTCTACCTACCACGATGTTCTTACAATGAGAATCTGTGTTGCTAGATTGGAGAAACTCCCTAACCTAGGGATATTTCGCACGAAAAATCCTCTACCCTCACCACTACAAGGCTGCCATTTATTCAGCTCTGCTGTTCGAGACATTTTTTTTCTAGCCTGAGGAAAATATTTTCCGACCCTATTTACACCAATTTTTCATCCCTCCAAAGGTTTTAGATCGTCTGAAGAATGCCCGAAATTCCGACACAACAGATATTTTAGAATCTATAATCGTGCTGCAGTGATGTCAGATTGAAAGCAAATCTCTAGTCCACAGACTTCGGATGCGATGTTGAAATTTTTTCAATTTTTTCCCTAGTCCAGAGAAAGTATTCTTGACTATCTTCTTATATATCCGAAGGTTTTCGATCGTCTGAAGAAAGATTGCTTGAAATTGGGGCACTGCAGATATTTTCGAATATTTAATATATGTCTTTGTCCTCACTGACATCTAATTGGACATTCTTGCCAGATTTAAACGAAATCCCTAGTCCACAGACTTCGGATGTGATGTTTCAGATTGTGATTTTTTTCCTTAGCTCAGGAAAAGTATTTTCGACCCTCTGTTTGACCGAAATTCTCTTCTCTCCCCAGGTTTTCCATCGTCTGAAGGGAGAATGCCCGAAAATCCGGCACCGTAGATATCTTCGAATCTTCAATTGATTGCTTTGTCCTCACTGTAATCTAATTGAGGCAGTGTTGCCAGATTTAAATGAAATCTTTAGTTCACAGACTTGGATGCAATGCAGCCGGATTGTGATTTTTTTCTCTACCTTACGGAAAATATTTTCGACCCCGTTTGGCCGATATTTTCGTCCCTCCGAAGGTTATCAATCGTCTGAGAAGAGAATAATGCCCGAAATGCCGGCACCGCAGATGTTTCAGAGTTTATTATCTCTCGCATTGTCCACATTGTCATCTAATTCAGGCAGTGTTGTCAGATTGAAACGAAATCAGGTGCGATGTTGCCAGATCGTGAATTTTTTCCCTAGCGTGGGGAAAATATTCTCGACTCCGTTTAATCGACATTTTCGTCTCTCCGAAGGTTTTCGACCGCCTAAAAAGAGAGTGCCCGAAATTCCGGCATCGCATCGAAACGGTACCGGGCGATTGCTGCCTGTCCGGCCTCGGGCTGAGCATCGCCGACAGACGAACGCTCGTCGAAAAAGTGCACGTGGTCTTCCACGTGGCTGCCACGCTGCGCTTCGACGAGAATCTCAAGGTCGCCTACGGGATCAACGTTAACGGGGCCAAAGACGTGGTGAATTTGGCCAGACAGATGGAGAATTTGAAGGTAAACACTTGAATTAGCGCAGCAAAGGAAATTGGGAAATTGAAGAAGAAATGTGTGATGACGTCACACGGAAGTTGTACACTCTATGTTAGATTATTATTCAAAAAAGCAGTTAATTGAAATGAGAAATCGACCTGTGTCAGGATTTTGTATTTTTATAGTGAATTTATGAACACACTGTACAGGGTGGCTAGAATAATTACCTCATCATTGAGATTTCGTAAGCCGTAAGATAGTCCAGTCATTATATCCAAATAACGGACCTTACCCGTAAATAATTTTTTAGTGTTTTTTTTTCATAGGTGTCTCGGAGGGGTCACTGGGAGTGTAAATTCAAAATGGCGACCAAATCAAGCTTTTGCATATGTTCGAAAACTGTTTTTTTGTTGAAAAACGGTTTTTCTTGAATAACTCGGCCATTTTTGATTCTACAGAAAAAGTTTGGGGACAAAAATTGTAGTAAATTTGGTTCTCTACAAGTTTGGTCCTTACAATTTTTCTGATAGGATCGATATTTTGTAAATTAAACCTGAAAAAAGCGACAAATTCGAAATATTTTCATTATCTCGTTTATTTTCAACTTTACGGCATAGTAGAGAATCAAATTTTGGACAAATTTTGTCTCTACCTATTTTTCCGAAAATCGATATTTTCGGAATTAAACAAAAAAAAACGACTCATTCGAAATATCATCATTATCTCGTTTATTCTCAATTTTACACCATAAATGAGAAGAAACAAACTTGTAGGGGATCAAATTTAGGACAAATTTGGTCTTTACCTGTTTTTCCGAAAATCGATATTTTCGGAATTTAAGCAGAAAATATGTACCCATTCAGAAATATTCGCAATATCTCCTCTTCTTCAATTCTGCAGGTGCAACGAATAGGGCGAAAGTTGTATACAATAAAATGAAAATGATAATGAAAATATTTCGAATTTGTCGCTTTTTTCAGGTTTAATTTACAAAATATCGATCCTATCAGAAAAATTAAAGGGACCAAACTTGTAGAGAACCAAATTTACTACAATTTTTGTCCCCAAACTTTTTCTGTAGAATCAAAAATGGCCGAGTTATTCAAGAAAAACCGTTTTTACACAAACAAAAAAAAACAGTTTTCGAACATACGCAAAAGCTTGATTTGGTCGCCATTTTGAATTTACACTCCCAGTGACCCCCCCCGAGACACCTATGAAAAAAAAACACTAAAAAATTATTCACGGGTCAAAGTCTATAATGACTGTACTAAGAGATACAGTGGAAAAGTTGCGTAATATGCCGTTTCGAAAAAAACGAAATTTCCTAAAAGCTTCTTTTTTCATTCTCTCAAGTTATTTGAAGAAATTAAAACGAAATGAATGGCGGCCACTTTTTCTTTCCTACAAAAAGCTTCAAAAAAATGAAATTATTGTTATATTCATTTGGTGGATTTTTCTCCGAAAGTGCAAAAATCTCAAAAAACCAGCAAAAAATGCACTTGTGCAAATCTGCGGCATTTTTGAAATGTTTTATTTTGATTTGTAGTCACTTGTCCACGTATCAACTGCCTATTCAAATTGCCCATACGGAGATATAGAGGAAAAAGTTTACGAATGTCCAATCAATTACGAGCATGTCCAATCTGTGATAGAAAAAGTCAGCAAAGCTGAAGTGGAACTGATAACACCTAGGTGAGTAAAAAAATAGGTAGAATAGATAATTGTGGGATACAAAGAGGATTTATTTCTGTTTCAGAATACTCGGTAACTGGCCAAATACGTATACATTCACGAAAGCTTTAGCAGAAAACATGTTAAAAGACATTGGAGCCGGATTACCAATTGCCATTTTTAGACCTTCTATTGGTAAGTACCTATATAAATACAAAATTTTTGTTCTTTCGAGGGTAGGTATCTAATTATTGATTACCACAGATAGATTAAATTTATCCTGAGATAATTCTATATAAACGTTTTCAAAGAATCATTCGAATTCCCTATGTAAACTTATTTCCGAGTCAATGGGGAAGTTTCCTTCAGATGCATTTTCATAAAATAAGTTCAGAACTCTCCATCAGTTTTATGTCCACGCTGTACAAAATGGCGACCGATAAAGTCCAAGTCGTTTTCATTTCAAAATTAAAGCAATTGTTAATTTTCTTGGCGGCAAACTGTGACATACATTCTGAACCTAGTCTGAAAATAGCTGATGATGAAGAATATAGCCAGCGAGTAGCTAACGAATAGCTAACGAATGAAAAAAATAGAAGGAGTAAAACTGGTAAACAAGAACATTGATAACCACAAATGCACTCCAAGCAGGAATGCAGAGGGAAGTTGGCTTCATTCTGACATGTTATGGATTTGTTATTTATGCATTGATATATCTCGAATAGAGCTCGATCCTGGACGAAAATATCATTGAATCAATGAATCACTATCGGCTACATTCAATGATTCTATCCTTCCTATAATTTACCTCCATCGGTCAAAACAGAATGAATCCGACACCCATGGTTTCTTCCTCTTGTTGTGCCTCTCAGTATTTTGAGTGGTGTGGACGGACTCGAAGTATTAGGCGCTGTTGCAAGATATAATCTTCAACTTTCCTAGAAAATAGATCCGTTTCATTGAGGAATGAATTCAGTAGCAAAAAAAATTACTAACATGTTATGAATAACATATTGTAATATAGTGAAAGATTATAGATACTATCGCAAAATATCATAATTCATCTTTATTAGTAATCAACTCCATTCAGCCAATGAAAGATTTATGGGAATTATTCATATTACTTGACAAAGTAGGATTGAAGAACCTATTATATTCCATTGCTGTTATAATACAGTTATTATGCATTCAAAGAACAATTTCCGGAAATCTAAACATATTGATCATGTCGGCAACGTCGTAATGGTGGAGGAGCCAAGTTCCTCTTTTATTTATTTTTTTCTGAAGTGAAATTTGATCTTACGAAAAAAAAGGAAACTTCACAGTGAGATAAAAACCTCAATAAGGGAAACTTACCCATTGCGCCCCAAATTTGACTAAAATATAATATGAAGAATGATGAATTTTACTTCCAGAGAACATATCAGTTTCGTCAAATATACAGGGTGATTCACATAAGAACCGACATAGAGCAGGGGCATGTAGGGGGTCCCAAAATATGGCAATTTAACGCAACTTACCTCTATATCAAGTTGCTTCCCTAAGGAGATATAGGCTTTGAAAGTGAAGTTATAAATTTTGAAAAAAATCAATATCTCCGTTATTCTTGAACTTAAAGCAATCAAATTTGGTACACTTTGTGGATGTATTTAGGGCGTTACTTGACAGTAACTAGAGTTTAATTGAAATTTGTAAAGGGGGTATACCGGGTGGCGCACCATTAATATTCAACATAATTTTGTTAACCCTTGATGGATTTCAAAAATCTTTGCTTTGTTTTGTGGGCAATTCAATTCTAAAACTTTTCTTACTCTAGTAATTTTTCGAAAAATCTCATCATTTTCATCAAAAACTCGAATAACTGAAAATGCGCGCTCTAGGTGTGTTATTTAGAATCATCGAAAATTTAAAAGTTGGCTATGAAAATAAACGTCAAACTTGACAATGAGGCAAGTGAGTTGTTCAATTAAGTAATTGTTGTTTGAGTGTTTTTAAAATGAACGAGAAGTTTTCTTTTAACGAGCAAGTTGACATGCTGTTAGTGCTATGCCTATAACTCCTTAGGGAAGCAACTTGGTATAGAAAGTTGCGTTAAATTGCCATATTTTGGGACCCCCTACATGCCCCTGCCCTATGTCGGTTGTTATGTGAATCACCCTGTATACGATCAACAATATTTTTTTCTGAGGAAGCATATAAGTATGTCAATTGCAAAAAAACACGGCATTTTGAATGTTCCATTCGAGTAAGTTGATTTTTTTTTATCGCTTGGAGCGCACGAAAGGGAATCCCTATAATGTTCAAAGAACATCGTGCGTTCCTAGGGAGGATAGAGATAGGAGGTAGGTATTGGATTTTTTTTTGAACTTCTGGAGATTATATTTTGTTGGGAATACTTCCTCAGGCAATGAATTCCAGAGCCTAGCCGTTCTATGGATGAAGGAGTTTTGATAAAGTGCTGTTCGACATCTTTCGAGGTTGACAACGAAAGGATGTGCTGACTGGGCTTGTCTAGTTCGTCTGACTGGTATTGCACCAAGCACAATATTTTCAATAGACCCGATCTTTCAAACCAGCCTTTCCAGGAGCACTTCAACTGCTCCAAACATAATCTTTTTAACTTATTCACGATGACACGAACTTGTCAATCGGCCTTTTCTGAGATATCACGTCAATTACTCCAGAAGGAGCATATCACTTGGGCCAAACATAATCTTTTCACTCTTCCGTTCTAAAGAGCATATCAAATATTGCGATCTCTACAATATTTTCGCGGGGGAGCATGTCTATTGCGCCAAACACGATATTTTCAATCTTCCTCTTTGAAAAAGCATGTTAAATGCATTCGAAAGAGCTCATAAGGTGAGCCAAAATTTTCCAACCAGGGGAGCGTGCAAATTGCAAATTGCAATCCTCTTCTGGAGGAAAAATCTCAATTGCACAAGCCACGATATTCCCAATCTCTATTCGAGGAAGAATGTCAATTGCGAAAAGTGGCGAAAGTCAGGATTTCATGTAACTTCGAGGGAGAATGTCGATTGCGCCAGTCACGATATTTTTAATCTGTAGAAGAGGGAGAAAGTTGACTGCGCCAGACCCGAAAAAAAATATATATCACTACATTTTTTTCTTCTACTTTTTCCAGTGATATCGACGTACAAGGAACCCATCCCCGGTTGGATAGACAACCTGTACGGCCCCACGGGGGTAGTGGCGGGAGCCATCAGCGGGGTGCTGAGGGTGGTGGCCAACAACCCTGATAACACGTGCGATTTGGTGCCTGTTGACACGTGCGTGGCAGGATTAGTTGCTGCTGCCTGGGACGTGTCCAGTAAAGACAGCGAAAGGTGAGCAAAGACCTCAGACTAAATAACAATAGATAGACACTGCGATTCATTTATGAATCATTGAAAAGTATACGTCAATAATCCTAAATGCCAAACACGGATGAAATGAATGGTATCGCGAATGGTGGGGATAACTAAGCGGAATCATTGCCAGAGAGAATTGATATTCTTCATAGATATATGAAGACCACAGGGGACAAAGGGGGAATGTCACAAAAAGTTTCGAGAAGAACGCATTTCAAAGTTGTAAACCTCCTTACTTTTTGGAAGTTGAAGGAAACTGAAATCAAACCACTTGGATTCATTTGATGAAGTATAATGAGCGAAAAAGTTGAACAACTAGAAATAAAAATCATATTTGAATGGAAAAATTAAAATGCTCTCTACTCTCAGGGTAAAGTTAGGGTTCGATAAATAAAGTAATCTCAGTAAAAAAAGTATAGGTACAAAGAAATATAATAGGATATCAACAAATTTCCAATTGCGAATGCCTACTTCGGACGATCAACTATGGTATCTAACTAAAACTACATAGGTACGAAAATCCCAAAATCCCCAAAATCACTTCAGTCACTCAATATCAAAAGATCCATAAATACCTGGATATCACACAATGTATCTCTAACGAGGTGAGGGTCTCTGTGCAACAACACAGCTTTCACATCTACTACTCAAATCTTCAAATAGGCTATTCAGCAGTTCCTGTGAATTGGTGTCAGGAACTTTAACTTGACAACTTCTGCTTCCAAACTATCGTTTTTCCATACAGAGCGTCTTTCGTATTTTCTTTTAAGCGTTGGCGTTTACTGGCCCTTCTTTACAGGACGACCGCCAGTACCCAACTGCCTCTCAACAACTCCTAACCTTCCTTAGGCATCACCCGCATCCCGCGCTCAGCTTCGTGCTCGCCAAAAAACCTTTACGTCGTCAACCTCGAAATATGTCGAACAACTCTTTACGAAAACTCATTTATACATAGCACGGCAAAGCTTTGGAATTTCATAATCTCCAAAAGTTGAAAAAATTCCAATACCTACCTCCTCTCCCTATCCTCCCTAGGTACCCACAATGTTCCTCGAACGAAGGGGAATCCCTTTGGTACGCTCCAAGAGATGGAAAAAAGGTGGCCGTATCACTATCTTTTCTCATTTTTTTGTTTGCCTAAGAGTTCACTTTGACCTTTCGACAGTGTGAAAACAACCAATTAAAATCACGATGGAATCTGTATTCAGCATTTATTTTCGAACGAGCATATTAGCTGACTATACTGCGTTATTGGACTTCTGTTTATACTAAAGTATAGTAGTTAGGACATCAGATGGCGGTGTCAAGTCAATTTCCACTATATTGTGACATTCCCCATTTTTTCCCTGTGGTCTTCATATATGTGTGTATATATGCATTAATAATTTAACTCTCACGTATTGTAACATATTTATAATAAAAGTCATTTTGTAACATTTAATTGAGGTTTTTTGATGTATTTAAATAATATTGAAAGCACGTTATTGATAAACGAAAGTAAGCCCTCAAACAACACCGTCACTGTACCAAATTTCTATACGTATGTACTATGTACCTGTGTAATATTAGGTTAGGAAATTATTCACTAAATAGTCTGCTTCACATTGATAATATTGAAGGAGTTACTGAAGTATTTTATCATATCATACCTATTATATCAAAAAAATTGATGCATTCATTGTTATGTTCATATATTTCAGTTATATGCACATTTAAATTGAACTCGACTGCATTTTATATATCTTATCTTCGAACAGTGAAAGTCACCAACTGTGGATTCCACCACAATCATGTTATAATATTGAAATAGAAAAAATCTTCAGCTAGATAATTATTAAATTTTTACATAACGGAAACTAACTGAATGATTCGAGTTATGGCCTTGGTTATGGCAATACAGAAGAATGTCAATTTCGCGTAAATCTATTATAAATCAGTTATCGATTTTGAAGTTATTTAGATACTATATTTTTGTCGACAAGTCGACCTTGATAATTTGTTCTTGAGTGTTTATAAACAGTTAGGTCGCATATATACAGGGTGGCCCTTTGAAAACGAAACAGACGATCTGTAGGTCGCTAGTACCAGATAATAAAAAAACAGTGGAACACGTCAACTAAATATTCGGAGGGGACATCGTTCTGAAATATTTTCAAGTAGGAACAACTTTGTTATTTCATGTAAAACATATGTATTTCATTGCACTTTCAGATTCTTCCTGGGGAGCTGATACCATCGATGCATCATACTTGGGGTCTAGCGGTAATGATTACAGAGATATAGGGTATTCAAAAATCGAGATTTGTCAACTTTAGGATTTTCATGTGTCGAAACTATTCATCATTGGTCAAAACGACTCACATGTCCCCACTTTGACTTCCGATTTACTATCTACTGACATTTAAGTGGAACAAATACAGGGTGGTTTAGGATTCAGAATTCTGATCACCCTGTATCTGCTTCAATTAAATGTCAGTGGATAGTGAATCAAAAGTTTAGATAGGAACATTCGAACCATTTTCGCTTTTCAACACCCTATATCTCTGTAATCATTCCCGCTAGACACCAAGTGTGCTACCTTGACGAAATCAGCTCTCCAGGAAGAATCTAAAATTGCAATGAAATATAGGGTGTTCCTTTTGAAATAACAAAGTTGATGCTACTGTTCGATAGATGTAGTTGACGTATTCCACTGTTTTTTTATAATGCGCTTCTGGCGACCTACCCAAAATAGATGTAATCCCAAGATGGAAACAATAGGAAAAACATGTTTGAAAACACCTCAAATATAATAAAAAAAACAATCAATTCTTCACCTCAATTTTCCATAGGAGAATAGCTTGAGCTGAGAGAAAAAAAATGGTCCTATATCCATTCTTGACCCACATACCTGGAGAGGAAAGCAATTTGGAAAAAACTATTGAAGATACCTCAAAAAATCAAATATTCAAACCAATCAATTCTTCACACTGATTTTTTCACAGAAAAATTGGTAAATAACACCGAAATGATTCTAATTGCGGTTATGGAGTAATCTTGGAATGTCTTGAAAACAGATACATCAAAATTTGGAGTCACATCAAATTTTTATTGTTGAATAAAATAGTTGTTATTTCAATATTTCAATCTGCTGAAAATATGAATATACAGGGTGTTTCATAATTGAATGTCAATATTTGGGGACGCAATTCTTGGGCCCATTCTAAGAAGAAAGTTTCATATGAACGTATGACCTAAACATCCTAACTTTTGAGATACAGGGTGGTGAAGTTCTCAAAAATTAATAGTTTTTTATTAATATCTGTAATACCACTTCAGATATTCTGATGAAATTTGGCATACATGTACTATGTATCAAGAGGCATCAGTTAGCGTACCACATTTTTTGTTGTTGCCACCAGTGGCGTTCGTATGGAATTTCACATACCTATTTTGGCAGACATTGATGGTACGCCACTGATTAATCTCCAAATTGAAATCATTCCTGAAATTCCCGATCATTTCTAAGCAAATTTGATCACTACAATTTTTTCAATCTGATGCACGGTTTTCGCTTAAAAATAAAAAGCTTTTCACTACATGATTATAGTAATATTGTTAATATGATAATATCACAATGCAGAGAAATAGTTTTTATTTTAAAGATCAAATTTCAGAAATACAATTCATAGTTCATGAACTTTGTATTCGTATTTGGTATTTTCGAATTATAACTTCTCATTGTAGTAGGCCATATTAATTTTCGAGAATTTTACCACCCTGTATCTCCAAAGTTGGGACGTTTAGGTCATACGTTCATATGAAACTTTCTTCTTAGAATGAGCCCAAGAATCGCCTCCTCGAATATTGACATTCAATTATGAAACACCCTGTATATGGCGTACATTGACATTCACCATGAATATCGATAAATTAACCCACTGTGACGCCACTGGAAATATTATTTCGAATATAATTGCACCAGAAGCTCCGTATTACTATTAACAAAACCACAACGTTTTATTGAAATTGATGAAAAGACAATTGAGTAATGAATAAAAACGATTATTCATGGAAATAACAATACCCTGTATCTCGAAAACGAAGCAAGTTAGGACACATGTTCATATGAACTTTATTTCCTTAAATATCAAAGGAATCAACCCTTGAATTTTTTCGGTGTTATTTAGATACATCCTGTATAAACATTGACTGACATACCCCGGGGAATAAGGAGCAATTTGGAAAAAACGATTAAGGATATATAAAAAAAAAATGTAAAACCAATCAATTCTTCAACTTGATTTTCCCACAGAATAATAAATTGGGATGAGAGAAAAATAATGGCTGTATAAACAAGTTCACATTATAATTAGACTGAAAAATCTAACCTCAAAGAAGTTATGTTTAAAAGTACTCGGTACGAATCGTGTGACTAGCGCCCTCTATAAGTGTCAGATGTTTTACCCACCCTAGCAAGGGGGTTAGGTTTTTTTGAAACACCCTGTATAGTTCAAATATTCCCTAGTAGTAATACATCCATGATTAGTTCCTTGTTTTTCCAGATCTACCGGAAACATCGTGGTCTACAACTACGTATCGTCAGAGGAAAACAGGCTAACTTGGGGTGAATTTCACTCTTTGAATTTGATCCAAGGCTACAAAAACCCTTCAGCGAACTCCCTTTGGGAGGTTTTCGTTCTAGTCACGCCGAACATGTTTTTGTACTGGCTTTTACGAATACTTCTGCACACCTTGCCGGGAGCCATGATGGATTTCGCCGCCATCTTGACAGGAAACAAACCCAGGTAACAAAACAACTCAGATCATAAGCAAACAGATGCAACAAGGAGACACACAAATTATTATTTAATCAACCGTTTTTGTTAGGGTAACGACACTATACAAGAAGATTCACAAATTCACCGATATCCTGTTGTACTTTTCGATAAGGAGTTGGAAGTTTTCCAACAAGAACACGCAAAATCTGTGGCAGAAGTTGAGCGAAAAGGACAAACAGCTCTTCCCTTTGAGCTTGAAAACCGTTTGTTGGCTGGAGTATTTCCGGACGTACATCAAAGGAGTCCGGAAACACCTTCTGAAAGAATCTGATGACACTTTGGAATCTGCGCTACGAAGAAATAAACGGTATGTATATGAACAGATCGTTTGCTCAATCGTTACATATAGGGCATGTGAATGGCAACATAGCTAGAGAGAATAATTAGTCGGTCGGCTACCGTACGGCTTCGACAGTGTTACAAGGTCAAGAAAAAGAAAAGGGATGGTCAGAAAAAGCGGTAGATTCAGAAATAAAGCGGGTGGTACCAAGATATAGTTTGGTTTTTACCAACGACTAGTGGTTTACTATACACCTGTTCAGTCGATCCTCAAAGTAAATACATGACTCGATTGTATTTGAGACAGAACCCTTTGTTTGACTCTGGGACGTGGGTTGCAAGTCGAAAAAAACAAGCCGCAATTCCAACACTCAGTATATTGGTACTCTCTGAGTTAACACGCAACTGCTAAAATATAACATTAAAGTAGTTATGCAACCTTACCCTACACTCTATCTACATTTTCTTGCCTAAAATATAACACCAAGTATATCCCTTATACAAGATTAAGTAATTTGTATTATCGGAGGATCGCTACCAAGAGGTTGCTATAATATAACGTCCTGTACACCTCAAGATGGCTTCGATTGAAAATCACGAGAATCAATCCTCGAGAAAACATTCGATATATACCGTGCATTAAAAAAAAACAGATTAGCACAAAAAAGACCCGTGAGCAGTAAACATTTCGAGATTGGCAAAGGGAATGAGCTGCAGGCAACCAGCAATACACCGTCAAGGTGTATTTTATTATTCACATTATTAATGAAAATCCAATATGGCGTCCATGAGAAAAAAAAGTTAATGATGGCGTAGAGGTCGGATAGTGAATCAGAAAATGTCATCGTATAGAAGGGAAAAGGTGACAATGTGAATGTGCTCTCAATTATTTTGAATTCTTCAGCAAATATAGCCAGGCAAAAATTGAAATGAATTGCCAAAATTGCCGGAATCCAAAAATTTCCTCAACGGAATATTCTTAATCACAAAAATGTGCAACGTTGCCCTGATTCAAGCATTTTTGTATTTCCTATAGTTTCCGAGATCCCTCGAATAAAATTATTCATTTATCAGTTTCCTCATTTTCAATTAGAAATATTCGTGTACCTTGATGATGGAAATGAATCGAATCAATAGCTAATGATTCTCTCAATATATTATGTAATGAAATCGTGAAAAAAAATATTTTCCTTGTTTCTCGAATATTTTTTAAGTATCGGAGGGTACGCCACTGGCGGAACGGAAAATATCACTCTGTTTATTAATCCATGTTGGGTATTCACCGATTACCGACGTTTCTTAGGGGATTTACCGACAAAAGCCAAACACTCAAAATTTTATAAGTAATCCGCATGCGATCAAAAAATTGCTAAATTTCCGCGAATATTATATCATTATTACAAACAACGAAAAAAGTCAACCTTATTCCATCCTTTTTTTTCAGGTTTTCAATGATCGGGAAAGTCCTGAAATATGGTTTGATTTTTGTGGCTTGCAGTACATTATCGAGAATGATTTCGAATGTATATAGTTTTATTTTATAGTATATAAGTATGTATATATCGACGATTCTTTAATAATTTTAATGTATTTATATAAATGGACCTAAAAAAATATAAATCACTATACAACGTTTCTATTCATTCAACCCCCTACCCCAACACAATGGAAATATTGATTGTGAATTCATAAATTACTGAATAACTATTATTTCTGAAGTTCTCAATCAAATTTCAACACATGGTAACTCTACTACAGTTCTCAAAACACAAAATAGACCACTCATAATTTGACTCTATTTCGAAGACCTGAACCTTTTGAAAAAATGGACCGATCTTCATGCGGTTTTCGATACCAGATGTGATATTACATCGGCATCAAAGAGAGCTAGAACACTCTAAAAAAGTCCGCAGAACAAAACTTACACAGGGTGTAAAGTGGAACCATTACACTATGGTCTACATTTCCAATGCTGCCAGAACTCGAGAAATTTTTATCTTATCAAAAGTCAGTCATATTGATACACTGGGACCTCACCTCGGGACTTTTTCGTGATTTCTCCTTAATTGGCCATTGGAACAAAAATTTAATTTTTTCTCGAAAGTCTTGCATTTCTTGAATTTTTTCTCTAGAACTCCACTTGGGCTGGCTATTGGGAAGAAATGTTCTCATGTTTTGTGGAGGACAATGAAAGACGAAAAAAGCACTTTCTTGGAATACACAGGATGATAAGAAAAAAGGACAAAATCTCATTTCAGTAAAAAAAAAATCAAAAATGGTTGCTGATACCATGATCCATTCGATTCAGTATAATCAGAAACGGCCTTCTCGATATCCATTATTTATATTAGACTATTAACTCGGGACGTTTTCGAAAATTCGCCTCAAATTGAAATACAGGATGAAAATTTTCAGTTCAAACTTGTATCCTGATATCGATGATTCTTATCAACTGATTTCCAATATTATTGCCTAAGTATGAGACAATATACTGAGTGTTTCACAACTCATCTGACAAATTTCAACCACAACTACTATATTACATAAGGAGTCTATCACAAAAGAATTTTATAGAAGTAAAACGAGATGGAAAATAAAGTTTATAACACTTTATATCCACTAAAACTATTCGAAAAGGGCTCAATTGGCGAAGTATGACATTAGTGAATTCTCCAGCATTATGAAGATTCAAGTAGAAAGTGCTATAATTATCCTAAATTTCAGTACTTGGTAGGCCTCCTCGATTAAACAAAACCTGATGAAATTGGTTTGGCATAGATTTTATGAGGTTGTTTTTTTTTATCGCTTGGATAAGGTTGTCATTATTTTGGGGTGCCTCTCGCCTTCTCGATAGGTTAAGTTTCATTCGGCTCCACACATGTTCAATCAAATTCAGATCTGGAGATAATGCTGGTCACCACATTCTTCTAACATTATTGTTTTCGATACTCTGTGTCTCATACTTGGGCAATAATATTGGAAATCAGTTGATAGGAATCATCGATATCAGGAAACAAGTTTGAATTGAAAATTTTCATCCTGTATTAATATTAGAGGCGAATTTTCGAAAACGTCTCGAGTTAATAGGCCGTTTCTGAATATACTGAATCGAATGGCTATGGTTTTATACACCATTTTTGATTCTTTTTACTGAAATTAGGTTTTTTCCAATTTTCTTATCATCCTGTTTATTCCATGAAAGTGCTTTTTTCGTCTTTCATTTTTCTCCACAAAACATGAGAATAGTTCTTCCCAATAGTCAGCTCAAGTGGAGTTCTAGAGAAAAAATTCAAGAAATGCAAGACTTTCGAAAAAAAAATCGAATTTTTGTTCCAATGGAGATGAGGTCCCAGTGTATCATAATATGAATGACTTTTGATCAGAAAAAAAATTCTCGAGTTCTGGCAGCATTGGAAATGTAGACCTTAGTGTAATGATTCCACTTTACACCCTGTGTAAGTTTTGTTCTGCGGACTTTTTCAGAGTGTTCTAGCTCTCTTTGAAGCCGATGAAACATCACATCTGATGTCGAAAACCACATGAAGATTGATCAAGTTTTTCAAAACATACAGGTCTTCGAAATAGAGTCAAATTATGAGTGGTCCATTTGGTGTGTTGAGAACTGTATATGGTGGCATTATTGACGATTTTAGCACCTGGAAATCGACCGAAAATTTCTTAAAAAATATGAAATTGAAAGGTATTTGAGTGATTCTATTTAGGAAATAAAAAAAAATTAGTCCACCTATTGTACCGGGTGTACCACTTAGGACGGACGTCGGATAGAAATATTTATGATAAAAGTGGCCAAAAAAAATTTCTGGAAATTATTTTCAAGTTTCCAGGACAGCCACTCGAGGGCATAATTGCATTGGCCAACTCAAAAAAAAACGGGTTTTTATGAAAATTTGATATATCAAGACATATCAGAAACACTTTCTCCATGTTCTCTATTTGATTTCCAATCATTTCGTTGAAAAAAAAAATTGCGCTAGCTCTTTATTATTAAATAAAAGAGGGAGGGAAGGATGAATAGTACTCTGGAAAAACCCTTATTACTACAGTTTGGTGTAACGGAATTAAGCGATCTTGGTCCCATTATGAAGGGTTTCTTCAGATCTTCCCGATAAATCACGAATCAAGTCGATTTAAATCCCGTGGTGGCCGCTAGATGGCATCGTTTGAAAAAACAGCAGATTTGCCATTTCTTTTCGAGAATTTCAAATGGAACCATATATTTTTCCTGCTATGATATGAAAGTGAAGTAAACGAGAAGAAAAATGGTGAAAACCGCGAGTTGATACCTCTTGAAGAACCAGAGAAATACTCGAATATTAAAATTTAAACTGTTAGCATGTCAAATGCCTCCTCATTCGTTATCGGCATTTTGACAAATAAGCAATCCACAGTGAAAACTTCCAATGGAACTTCAATTATATTTTGACGTTCCTTTCATTCAAAGCCAACTTGTCTTTTCTCATTCCTGAGCCTATACTCACTATTTACATTTCAATTAGCTATGTCATTACTAAGAGTGAGATTTGAAATTTTCGAAAAAAATGAGATTGTCTGATTTTTTAAACAATGTCATCTAGCGGCCACCACAGGATTCAAATCGACTTGATTCGTGATTCATCTGGAAGAACCAAAAGAACCCTTTATAATGAGACCAAGATCGTTGAATTCCGTTTCACCAAGCTGTAGTAATGAGAGTTTTTTCAAAATACTATTCATTTTTCATTTGAAGAGCTAGCGCAATTGTTTTTGATCGAAATGATTAGAAATAAACTCGAGAATATGAAAAAAGTGTTTGATATATCAAATTTTCATAAAAACCCGTTTATTAAACTCGCCGTTTCTAGGCGGTGTTCTAGTTTAGTACTGTGTAGATACGTGGTTTTTGCTTAGCAGAAGTACCTTATTTGGCTAGATACGGGTTATTGAGATGACCAAAATAACTGATTTGCAATATAAATTCCGGGTTTTTGCTTAGCAAAGATCAAGTATTAGTTGCCAAGAAACGAATTCGCCAAACTTTCAATTTTCGTGAATTGGTTGGTTACGGAGGTTTTGCTTAGGATGGCAGAATAGGAAAAGATATTGGTATCTTCCTTACCCCATGCAATTTCAGATGGAATTGAGTACAAAACATTCAAATTCCAAACAGGCAATAAATGGGGATTGCAAAACATCGAAAAGTTTATGGCAAAAAACTTCGTGTTGGGTGTCTATATAACTTATTATGGCATTCTATATGAGACAGAGTATAGTTCTCCCTCGAGGTATATTTTATGCAAATCATCTTATAGTCGCAAAGTCTACTGCTTGGCAAAGTTAAGAAGGAGAAAACAAGAATGTGTGCCTTGATCTTCAGAAAGTCGCGAGTATTGGTCACGTAAGAGTGTTGTGAAGTAAACAGCAGCCGATTGACAATAATGCATGTCTTTTAACGTTTAGTGAACAGAAGATATACAAGCTTCGGAGAAACTGTTGATTTTGTGGTATATTCACAAGAATTTTTGGAAATAATGAAGAAGTAAGTATGGCTTTTATATTACCTACAATGAATTACATTCTCTATAATTTAGTACGTAACAATGAATCAACTTCCGCGCACAATATTCAAATAAATAATGAGGTACCTACACCGTGAAAAAAGCGTATCAAATCAAATAATTGCTAGAAACAATTTGGTGAAATTGCAGGTTTGAAATAAGTAAGTATATCTTCATTTTGTAATTCATTGATTAACAGTAAGAAGTACTTCAGAAATCGAAACGAAAATAGTTATTCCATGAGGATAAATGCTATTTTGATCAGGACCATAGACAAAAGTTACAGTATGAACGACCTTGAAATTAACAAATTTCACTAAGTAGTCACGATACACATTATACACTTTCACCAGTTCGTCATGCGATTTTCGTGAATGTCTATAATCATTATAAAACATAACATTAGGTACCAGTTAAAATACCGTGGGATTGTTTTGACTTGACTTCCTGAAGTTTTATGTACAGTCGTCTCCAGAAAACATGTCGCACATGTTCTGGTTCCCACGAAAAGGGATATCCTGTAATGTTCAAAGAACATCGTGAAAACCAAGGAAAATAAGGTAGGAATTGGTTCTGGAGGTTATATGCCTCGGGGAACACCTTCCTTGGCAATATGTTCTTGAGCCTCGCTGTTCGTTGAATGAACGAGTCTTTGGGAAGAGATGTTCTGCAGGTCTCCAAAGTGACCACGAAGGGGTGCGAAGCCTCAACTCGTCGGGTTAATCTCGCGGGGACTGCCAAGGGAGGTACAATTGTTGATATTTCAGAAGAGCATCGTCCATGAAAATATCTATGAAATAGAGCCAGATCACTTGGAAAGAGATGTTCTACAGGTCTCCAAAGTGACCGCGTAGGGGTGCGAAGCCTCAACTCGACGGGTTAATCTCGCGGGGACTGCCAAGGGAAGAACAATTGTTAATATTTCAGAATAGCATCGTAAATGAAAATATCTATAAAATAGAGCCAGATCACCAACTTTTCAACGGTGTTTCAGAGAAGTGAGTGAGTTTGTGAGCGAGGCATCACCCACGAGACGAATTGCCCTTTTTTGGACAGAATCCAACAGTTTCATACGACCCTGAAGCTGAAAATTTCGAAAACGTTTTTATGAAATTCGTTTTGTTTTATATTGAGCAATGTCATTCTTTATCAACTTTTCAATGTTTCAGATGGAAATGTGACTTTTTGGGAACGTATTTGAAGAGATTATGGAATGATGATCTGGTCAACAGCAACCAGAAAAATGATTGTTCACCCATACTGAAACAGGTAAAACATGTTGACATCTTACAAATGATTGGAGATCTTTCAACTGATTCACTCATTATTTCATGTTATCTAATCGAATTTCAGACCCTGGTGGCCTTAGCTCCTCTACTACTGACAATATGTTCAGGAATGACTTCTGGATATTCAGCTATTTTGCTGCCCCAACTCAAGATGAACAGTACTATCAACATCAATGATGAAGAAGCTTCATGGATTGGTAAAAATATTCAAATATGCATATCAAAATCATCATTTTGAGTTTAGTGAAGGAAAATATGAATCAAAATTCAGAGTACCCAATGAATCTAGTGGAAAGTACCTACCTACCTACCACAGTATTCGTTATAGTAAAATTCAAACATCGCTTTTTTTCAGGAGCAGTTAACAGTTATTCGAAATACTAGAACTGAATGTGAAAAAGAGTCAGAAAACATAAAAAACTGAGAAATATCCGAAAACATTTTATAATAACACAAGAACTTCTCTCACCAAAAAGACAAACCAGCCAGAGAAAAATTTTGTGGAAGTGATCGCCCTGTAACTCAATTCTTCTCAGATTTTGGTGAATTTACATACTAGCATGAATTTTAGTTTCCAAAAAAAGTTGAGGACTTGATCATTATACAGGGAAAAACATTATTGAAAAAATGCTCTATTAGTTCTGAATTATCGTTAGATATGAAAAAGAAAATTCCCATAATTTCTTGATACACTTAAAATGAAGATATTGACGTGAATCAAAAATAATTATGTTCAATCTTAAGCATGCTGAAGCTAAGTTCAACCTTTAAGGGTGAAAAAGTAACTTTCATTTTTTTCCTGTGCAGATCAATTCATCAGATTTCCCCAAGATCTAAAATTCAGGCTAACAGCACTCCGAAATATTATTTTACGTTTTGGTCGATACTCCAACAAAATATCACAAGAATTAAAAAAGTAACATAGCGATCAATTTGGGTAACTTTTTTGTGGCCGTTGTTTTTTGCCAGTGAGAGTATATTAATCGAAAATTATAATCCGAAATATTTGTTTCGCTTCCCCTTCTTTGACTAATTTTTTTGATTATTTCACTTTGAATTATACAGGGTGTCCTGAAATTGCTGGGACACAGAGCTACCACGTGTAATATAGGTCAAAATAAGTTGATTAGACCCAATTTATTTCTATACCAAAATATACCGTTTGTCCGTGAGAAGGGTTCAAAAATTACTTTCAAATCACATTTCTGTTCGCTGTTCAGAAATGAGTGAAAAAATTTAATGAAATTTGACAAAGGTGCATTTAAAAGGATCACTCTCCTTTCAGTTATCAAAGAAACCCACAAGAAATTGAGGATTGAAACCTTTCCCCCTGACAGTTTTTCCAGAATATTCTTAAGGTTGGTACAACGGTTCTCATTTTTTTTTAACGAGAAGACAGATTGATTATCGTAATTTTGTCACTTTTGTAAAAACTTCGTACTCCCCCAAAGTTTAGTTTACAGTGGAAGCAAAGTCAGAACCGGCTTTTATAATACGTTTTCAGTATGACACCCACGTTCATCAATACATATGGTCAATTCGACGTAAAAAATTGAAATGCAGCTGTCATTTTTTGAGTTAACTCAGAATTCTTTACACATACAATTGAAATATAAATAAATTGGGCCCATCAACTTAATTTGACTTCTATTACACGTGGTAGCTTTGTCTCCCAGCAATTTTGGGAGACCCTTTATAACCGAACTTTATACAGGGCGATTCATTAAGAATGGGAAATCTCTGAACTACAGATAGTAAACACAAAAATAATGAGATGTAGCCCAATACGCCTGATGAGAATGTTGCTGGTTTAGGAGATACCCTATAGTGTCCTAGGGGGAGATTTTATTCAAAATTTCACAATAATCTTTGTTAGTTTCAACAGCATGAACATGAAATCTTGTATTCCTAGGTTTTCTGACATGAGGAATATGAATTTGCAAACTTCGATAATTTACATCATATCTTCTATGTCAATTCATTGATGATCAATATGAGTGGAAAATCTGAAAGTTCGTTCAATTTCACATGAAAAATGTACTCTTTATCAAATTGTCTAACTTCAACGGTTTTTGTGTAACTCAAAATAAGTGTTCAGAGTAGGGTTTCACGAGACTCTCGAAATTCGAGATTTCTCGTCTCGTCTCGTCTCGATTTCGAGACGAGATCAAGACGAGACTAACTTTTTTCTTTCGAGACGAGATCGAGAAAAGCATTTCGAGATTTTTCGAGATCGAGAAATTATTTCGAGATTTCTCGATCTCGAAAAATTATATGTGCTGCATTCACAGCTCTAAATACTCAAGAAATAAGAAAATAAAAAACTTAATAACAGAAAATAACGAAAAAATAACAAAGATTACAAAGTTAATAAAAAGGACAAAAGTAGAAATAAATATCTTCATTTTCTTAAAGAACTTTAACGTTTCAAACTATTGAAAACTATCGAATACGAAAATCAAATCTGAACACTCAAAAATTAACAATTCATAAGAAAATTAATGGACAATGAACAAAGTTTTTCAACAGAGGACAAAAATGTTGATTACACACTTGTAAATATATCTCTGGTCTGGTACATAGCCAAGAATTCAAACATAGGTAGTAAAAGTTGAGCCGATTCTCCAGTTAATCGCCTTCGTTCTTTTCTGATGGTAAGTGTTGCTCTTGAAAACAGTCTTTCTGCCGGAACTGATCAAAAAATCACGAGCCATCTTTGATGAATTCGGATATATGGCCTCGTTTTTTCTCCACCACTCTAAAATATCTTGGTTTCCTTCAGCTCTCTTCGACAAACAATATTCATGTATTTCTTTTCTCCAGTTATGCTCTCTGTTGCCGTTGCTTTTTTCGAATAAACTTTGCAAATCAAAATCGTCGGTATTGTCATCAACATCATAGTCAGTAAGAGGCTGCGATGTTGAAGAAATATCGTAATAATTGGAATGGCATAAATTTCACTATGCAGTACTTCGACCCCTACTATTGAGATAAAATAATTTGCTATATAATTTTTTTTTTTTTCGATTATATGAAATGAGTTCGTTGCTGTTGCTGTTACATTCTTCACGAACGAAGAAACAATTTTGTACTTTCACCTTTCGTACCTAGGTAAATTTAAAATTATGGATAAAAGATTAGGTAAATTGAAACATCGAGAATTCGTTAAATTTTCATATTTGGAACAATATCCTTTATTTTTGTGCTGATACTCGGCGGTTTTTTTCATACGTGGCTTTTAGTTCATATAGCCTCTGTATTTTGACGTAATTTTTTTATAGGGAAAATGCAATGCCCTGTATTTTGGTGCAGCCTTATAACCTATACATAGCATTTTTTAATAACATTCAGTTTTTGTTTTCGAGACTCTCGAAATTTCTCGATCTCGAATCGAGATCGAGAAATTGTCTTCGAGAAAAACATCGAGACGAGAGTTTGTTTATTTCTCGTCTCGATGATCGAGACGAGACGAGAAAGTGCCTTCGAGACGAGATTCCTCGTCTCGATGAAACCCTAGTTCAGAGACAGCATTTGTTCGTTTCCAGCTTCAATGGCCGCCCTTCCCATGGCCATAGGCTCAGTCGTTGGCGGGTTCCTTGTGGAAAAAACAGGAAGAAGAGCCACCCACGCCATTTCCTGTATGCCCACGCTGATTGGCTGGCTGCTCATCTACTTCGCATCGAACATCGAGATGATTTTGGCGGGAAGATTCGTAACGGGCTTCTGCGTAGGCCTGCTGGGATCAGCTACCGGAGTTTACATTGGGGAAACCTCGGAACCCGCGTTCAGAGGGTTCCTGCTAGCTGGAATATCTTTTTCCATAGCTTTCGGTGAGACATTTGAGTAGAATACTGTCTGTAGGATAATAGAGGAGCTGGTACTTTCATTTTTCCAGATATTTCCAGGTAGCACATCAAATTGTCTGAATTCTGATATTATATTGAAAATACCATATTGAAATGATAATATTGGTGGAATATTATATATACATATATATATATTATTCAATAGCAACATAAAAATTTTCAATGCACCAGATCCACCAATATTTCCAACTAAGTATTGTCAAATGTTCACTTTTCATTTCTCGCCGATATTGATTTCACATTTTACGACCAATATAACGAATATTCAACCAATATTGGTGTGAAAATATTTCACCAATGTTTTCAAGACGACATTGCAACATGCTGATTTTCAATATTCCACCCACATTTCGAAACTAATATTGTTCCAATATCGCCGAATGATCACATTTTGTTTCTCTCCAATATTAGGTTCACAATATTTTGCAGATATTTTCGTAATATTGCACCGATATTGTCCCAATTTATGTGTGCTACTTGGGTTTTGGAGAAAATCCCAAACATTCTGGAAAATAGACATTTGAGTGCTTCTATTTTTGTTTCCTAGCTGAGTAACACTGATTCATCATATCTGTTTTGTCTTGTATGCATAAGGAGTTAATACAAGATCTATTATTTCCTGTTTTTTTTTTATCCGTAGCTATAATAATTTCTCTGGTCCTCAGGAATTTCAGAATAGTACTATGTAAAGTAGTGACTCGTCCTTCTCTATTTTTTGTGCTCTCCTCGGTTTCTTGCCCTTTGATCCTGTAGTGTGACATACCCCCTCAGTATGTGGATTAAGGTTTCCCCCCTCTTCCTTATTGAACCTGCATTCGTCTTCCTCTTCTAAGCCGAGCTTCCTAAGATGTCCTTCAACCGGCAGCGCCCTGTTAGGACTCCCGTTAGTATACGAAGTTTATTTTTGCATAGGCTTTTTACATATGCGTTCGATCTTTTGTGGTTATATGTACCCACTACCAGTAGTATCTTAGCATGCCTTGAGACATTAAATATTTTCTCAGTTTAATCTCAGTTAAGCTTTTCCTTCTCTAATCTCTCGCTCCTAATACAGTACTGCTGCTGGTCCAGCAGAAAATTTCTAGCCCCACAAAGGGTGATTGAGCGAGATTCTCCACTATTTTATTTCCTTCTACTCTAGAATGTCCCGGAGCCCTTTGAAGGGTGACTGTATTTCTGTTGGCTAGCTCGTTCAGTTTTTCCCGGCATATCCAAACCATTTTAGACCTGACAACCATAGGGCTCACCGCTTTAATGGCTGCTTGTTTTCTAGATTTAACTTTATACACTTCAGTTCCGTCATCTTCGATTTTGGAGCCATCTACCGAGTATCCCAGATCTTTTCATACTTCCAATATCTCAGTTATGCTGCTTGGAAAAATCAAGCTACACTTTTGTCAAACCCAAATGACTTCGAAGCCATTGCGTCAGAGTCAACTTCCGTCAAACTAACCCTGAAAAGTCACCTCGAATTTCAATGATTCAAATTACACCCTATACATGTTTTTGTTAATGTGTGAAGTGCAATCAATTTTAACTTTAATCTGCTGATTTTTCATTTCAAAATCAAAAAAATTCACTGAAAGTGACAGATACTTGTGAGCTGACATACTATATTCTGCTGAAATTGCTGACTATCAAAAGGTAGTGTAGCTTCAATGAACTGTCATTATTGTTGATAAGGAAGGAAGGTCACATTCATTTCTGTGGTTTTTTAAACATACAGTCTTGTCTTATCAATAATGAATAATTTCATTTCTAATATCTGAAAATGGTTGTTATTAAAATAATTGACGCTGATAATAATATTAAAATTTCACCAGCTGATCAACTGCTGCTGATTACTGATGAAAACCATGAAAACATGTTGCGAATTATGATGTTAAAGTCATCTATAAAATAGGACAGTTCTGTTGAAGGTACAATTAGAAGAAATAAAAAAATATCAAGAACCGAAAGTTACAATAGAATGTTCAAATTCAATACACATGTGTAAAATTGGAATAGAAACAACGTTTCTTCTTTTTCAAAATTTGAACAAATAAGTCGATTTTCATCAATTAATTCGAACCAACCCAGTAGACCATTTCCCATCTTTTTTGAAACAAAACTAACGTCGAATTTCAAGATAATTTTTTATTAAAAGTTTTGCTCATATGATGCAAATTTTATGAATGACACTGCATAGGGTGTAATTTGGATAATTGAAGTTGGGGGTGTTTTTTCAGGGTTAGTTTGCCAGAGGTTGTTTTTGACACAATTACTTCATCTGGGTCATATGAGTTTGACAAGTGTTTTTTTTTAATCAGCATAACTAGCTGTATGTACAAAAAGATCTGGGACAAATGGACAAACGGGATAACTCGACGATACACAATGTTCTCTTCATAAATATAAATAATGCTCCTTCTTTATTTTTTTAGGTCTGTTTTTGTCACACTTGCTAGGCACGTTTTTGCATTGGAGGACCACAGCTTTGATCAGCTCCCTGCTTCCTATCGCGAGCCAACTGATCCTACTTTTCGTACCCGAATCTCCATCATTTTTAGCCAAAAAGCAAGACCAAGAAAAAGCGGAAAAATCGTTCTATTGGTGCAGAGGACATACGGAACAAGCGAAAAAAGAACTAACCATAATGCTGGAAAGACAAAAGCAACAAGTGCCTACGTCACAAGCAACAAGTATCAGAGACAGGATAGACGAGCTACTAGTACCGGAATTCTTGAAACCGCTTGGCATCATTGTAGTTTTTATAGTAGCCAATCAGTGGGCTGGAATCAATGCTATAACTTTTTACACTGTAACGATAATGAAGAAAACCATAGGAGAAGGAGTGAACGAATATGTAGCGATGCTAACGGTAGATACCATAAGAGTTTTGATGTCGATATTAGCTTGTATTTTATTGAGAAGGCTGGGCAGGAGACCACTAGCTATAGTAAGCGGAATAGGGACATCCCTAGCACTCATCTCTCTTAGCGCTTCGATATACCTCGCAAAGTTCTACCCTAACCTCACTTTCGGCACTTACATCCCCATGACTTCGCTTGTAGCTTACATAGCATTCGTTTCCGTGGGTTTTGTGCCTTTACCATGGGCCATGATTGGAGAAGTGTTTCCTATGAAAACAAGGAGTATTGGTAGTGGAATTTCTTCGTTTATGGCATTTACGGCATTTTTTACCGTGGTTAAAACCAGCCCGGGGATGTTGGCAGAATTGGGGACCAGTGGGACTTTTTTGACTTACAGTGTCGTGGCGACAGTTGCGACAGTTTTCGTTTGTTTTTATTTACCGGAAACCAAGGGAAAGGCGCTACATGAGATCGAGGATAAATTCAAAGATAAGGCTTTGAAAACTGCAAAAGTAAAACATGATAACCATTGAAAAATGACAAATTGAAAGATATATTCCTTAGAAGGAAGAAGTCAGTTGGAGATCAAAAATCATAAAACTCAATATTATGATTTGAAACTTTGCAACATACCTATAACATGTAAGTTGCAAAAAATAAAGTACCAGAGAGAATAAAATATGTTTCAAACTTACCTGTAAAATAATATATTCAAACATGATATAACTTCATATCATCAAAAAAAATAAAGTAACAGCAATCAGTTGTTGCATGGATGTATAACAAATAGATATTCATCATACAGGACATAGAAAGAAATTCAGGAAGAAAACTGCCCAAAGTGTGATGTTAATTATTGTATAAGTATATCATAATATAATAATTAGGTTAAAGCTTACATATAAACTGAACTCTGATGAACACATTAAGTTGCATGGTTATGTTTCTTAACCATTCTCTAAATATCCAAGTCATCGTCTGGATCTTCTTCATCCCAATCATCAATCTCATCAAACTGATAGAAAATCCGTCCACCATCTTGAGAATCTGTTTGTTCACTGCTAAAAAAAAAATTTACCATATGTGTGATGATTCAGAAAAAAAAACTATAACTCACTTGGGCAAATAAGGCAAAACAAGACTGTCCCTTGATGCCTTATCTTTATCACTCAAGGCAATCTTAAAAGTAGATAAAGTCTCTGGATTGACATCTACTGGAGTTGATTTCTCCAGCAGCTTTTTTGGATCCAGTCTCTCAATTTTCTTTGAAAACAGTATACCATCTTCAAACCAGTATTCCTCTATCTGGAAATATTCTTCAAATAACCAGACCAACAATTCTACAGTTAGGAAATTATGTATCAAATTCACCATTCTAAATTTAGTAAGTAAGAGGGGATGCATAAAGTTGGATTCCCAATCTCAACCCTACTTTTCTATTTACAACTTCCAAATGATATGGAACAGGAAAATATAAATTGTGACGTCAGTTAAAACCAAGATATTGTAAAATATTAAACATACAGAACCATAATAAATATGTGATATAGTGACATTTCATTCTATATGTGTATTTTTTTTGTACATTCAAACCTAAAACAATGTCTTCTGAAATAAACATAGAAATTTTGAGTTGAAAAAACCAACACATCAAACACTGAACTGAAGGGTAATACATATTCAAGATAATTCTTACCTCCTTGATGATTTTTCCTCCTAGTTTCTTGAAGACATACTGGATACGTCCATTATCAGAATTGAATTTTGGATCCAAATGTAAGCTGAAGGTGCACAAGTGTTCAAACAATTTTTCTGCCTTGACATCTTCCATAAGAAGATCTAGATGTAGCACTGTTATTATTTGTGCAACTCCAGTTTCCACTTTTAAATAACTGAACAGTCTGTATGTTTCTGCTAGACCATACAGGTAGATGACATGTGCTAAAGAGTCCACAAAAACTACATCTTTCTCATTCACATTTTTCACAACTTCTTCAAATACTTTAGGAGTGTTTACACTGTCCCATCCATCAGAGCCCCATCTAGCATAGTTCCATCCTTTAGAGTCTGTCACAAAATCATGAAGAATAACATCATTTTCATTACCAATATTGGATTTAACTTGACTGAAGTTTTCATGGAATACAAAGTAATGGATCTTGTGCCTGGACCGTTCTAAATGAGTTTTCAGAACAAAATCGAAGATTGGTTTGCCTCTTTCTTGTAGAGTATCTGAAACAGACAGAACTGTGTTATCACAATTCATTCTGTTGATATTGAAATTGTATCACTTACCTTGAATTATCACGAATTTTGAAAATGGAAAATTGGTGAGATGACTTCTCAGCATTTCGCAGTTTTGAATTCGCAAAAATTGTATGTTATTTCGCAATCAAAACATTGTCACGCAAAGGTCATGCATTTGTCACGTTGAGGTTGTTGTTAAACAAAGAAGTGAGGTTAGGATGTTAGGAACGTAGAACCTGTCATTTGTCAACAATTTTTTTGGCCGGTTAGCCCGAACAGCTAAGACCACTTCAACTTAAAATGATAGGAATCTTCTTCAGTTTTTTAAAGCAAAACTCAATCTTCTTCCTTTTTAACACTTGCGATAAAAACCCATTTGTCCACAAGACGCTTAACTTAATGCGGGAATTTTGACATTCAAAATATAATATAAATTATGACATCCAAGAACATTGAATAGAAAAAGAAACATCTCAGAATAAAGTATAATGAAGTAAAATCAGAAATGGAATCAAATAAAGCAACGTTCGAGGAAGCCATTTTATCCTATCTTAAAGGACAAGAATTATGGCCTGAAGATGATTTCGAAGTAAAACCACCCGACGATAATGCAGAAGAAAACGTTGAAGAACTCATCAAGGAATTAGTCATGAAAGTGAACAAACGCATTGCTTGCAAAGACCGGTACGAGAATCTAAAACAGCTCCATAATCAGTACCCTTTATTCGATTTGAACGATTATTTTTCGGATTTTTGCATGGGTAAGTTATTATAAAAACCATGTTTATTCTTTGCAAATGGGGGATAATCAGGTACACACCTTGAATGTGTCAGAAAAACAGAATAAATAAAATGAGTTCGCTTTCAGCAGCTTTTCATAATATGGTCCATCAGGTACTAAAATTTTGCATGAGAAATATTATTTATTCACTATATATAGTAGATCACAATATTTTTACACCTTGTGGATGAAAGATAAAATGAACTTCATGCAAATGCAGTGGTTCAAATATTAATATTCATTCATCCATCATATTATCATTATTATTGAAACAGTACCAAATAATTAATATAACAAAACTATAATATAAACATAAAAATATCACTGTTTAGTAACTTATTATATGGACTATAATGAGTTATAAATATAAAAAAAATAACACACAAATCGCCAGTATCATTTATATAACAAATAATGAAGTCTTTCAAATCATCACACAATAAAGTGAATTAAGAATCAAAACGAAACCTCACTTTTCATATTATTATTGTAATTACTTATTTGTATTATAATCAAAGTTTTAGGATTTTTCCATAACATATTTTGATTGATATTTGAATATTATGCTGTTTTACACTATTGTGAAAACATCAATTAGTATAAATATGATAATCCACCGATACTCGCTATCAGACCCTTCTGAGCATTAACTATCAATTATTGACACTCAAATGAATATAATTTCAACAAAAAAATTATCAACTATACTTAGTTTATCAAACTTTTTTCAACTTTTGGCATTGCTCATTTCAATAAATATCCGATCATTGACATTATACAGGGTATCCCAGAAAGGTCTGTACAAAATGATACCATATAGACTTCTGAGACCAAAGTGGGGATGATCCAAACTTACCTCTAAACAGGGCGTTGGAATTGGAATTTCTATTATTTATTTTTATGCAACACCCTGTATAAAGAATTCGGAGAAATGTGTGCCACATATTGAATATCATTGATATGATATTGATGATTTCATACTAAAATCAAGTGCGATAATTAAATAATTCTGAAGAGTATCAGAGGTAGGTTTGCATCAAATTGAATTTGGTCAATCAACTTGCGAACCAACAGAAATATCACAAACTTTCAAGAGATTTGAAAGTTAGATATTGAATAAGGGAATAGAAAACAACATTGAGAATTGAGATCAGTTCAGTGGGACAGTGGGATACTCAAAAAAAGTTGGGTATTTCAATTTTTCGATCAATAGTACTCCAAATATGTCTTTTATGCATTATAGTCCTCTTGGTGAACCTACGTAATTTCAGACCGATATTTATAGACAATATTGAAAAATACAGAAAAATAAAAAAATAATATTCAATTCCAACGCCCTGTAGCGGCTTGAAGGATCGTTTTGGTAGAGAGGTGTTTGGTATAATAATCTCACTTTGGCCTCAGCAGTCTATGATATTACTTTGTACATACCTTTCATTAGCTCCTTAGGTTTGTGGTAACCAAAACTAGGGGGTAAGTGGGGTGGGTGAGACATATAGACGTACGCAGGCATATGGGTGACACTCAAAATTATTAAAACAAAACCTAGCATGCTATATGCAAAAACACAGAAAACAACTGACCAAACTTTTAGTATTGGACATTCAATTCACACATGGCCGCCAATCATGAGTGGTTCTCAAGGTTAGCAACAATCAGCAGTATTAGATTTGACTTGATGTAGCAATCACAGACATAAACTACTACTATATAAGTACTATCCTCTTGATTATTTACACTCACGAGATGAACCATCGTTATGAGGGCTTTGAAGCCAGACATTTTATCCAGTAGGAGGCGGTATCTATGAGCGACAAGGTTAACTATTTCTTTTTGAGTAGCGAAGGGAAGAGATCAGTAATGCAGAATACACTCGAGTTTATTTTCGATATTTATGCAATAAGTAATATCGCATTCGGACCGGATTAAAATATTTTCATTATTTATAAGTTAGAGATTTTCCTGCTTCAGGAAGAAGGATATTTCCATAGTTCAGCAACTTGCAGATAGATGGACTCGGAGCAAATTACAAGTTTACCTAGCGCCGCCTACGAACCAGCAAAAGACTAAGGCCAAATTTGGCTTCAACATATCACAAAGAGGTGGATCATCTTGTTAGTGTAAACCAAAGGATATTAGTTATGTCAGTGGTAGCAATGCGTGGAACCCAGTTTTTTTTTTGCTAATTTTCTATCGGAGCTGACTAAATGATATGTTACCGTTGCATGAAATCAGCCAGTTGAGCAAGATTTTCGCGATATTTTCTACTAACACAAAAAAAGTTCCACTTTCTCTTTTGTTCAAGACGAGGAACAGATGAAAAAGTTGTCGAGACTTTGCTCATCAGCGAGCTGGATGCTGCATCAGCTGCAGCTTCAGGAAGCAGGCAAGAAACTGAACTGACCGTTCATTGTGTTTATTTTCGCGATACTTTCGACTACAAAAAATAATTCTCACTTTTGCTTTGTTCAGGGCATTTCAAGATGAAAAACTGATGAGGAAGTTTGCGTTCCGAGAAAGTTTGCGTTCCGAGATATTTTACTTCCGGAAGCCGACAAAAACTAAACTGACCACCGTTCAAGTTGTCTTCAAGATTTTCGCGATATTAAAAAACTTTCTCTTTTGTTCAAGACGAAGAACTGATGGAAAAATTGTCGTTCCGCGAGACTTTGCTCATCAGCGAGTTAGACGCTACATCAGCTGGAGCTTCAGGGAGCAGACAAGAAAGTGAACCGACGCCGGTAGGCGGCCTATGTCTTCACGTCGAAGTGGTCGACGCCTACATGCCCGACCAAAGAATGAACAATGTCGACATGGACAGGGAAATCTTTCAAATATATAAGAGAGCGAAACAAGGTTGGATAAAATGATCATATAAACAAAAATTTGTGATCATTTTGATAGCACATACAGTGATAACAGTGAAATTAGCGTTAGAACTGTCATCAGTGTTGATGTTACCGATAGCGCGATAGCTGTATCATATGGTTAATTCAACTCAAAATGTCAATTTCAAGTTTTCAATTCTTCTCACCAGTTGGCGTTACTAAAAAGTGAGATCAATGTCAAACTCAAAAATCCCAGAATTTTACCGGATAGCCCTAAAGTGGTAGACAAAAATAAGCGATCACCCTAATGCAACGCAAATCTCAACTGGAATCATTAGAAATAGTTATTTGTTTAACTAGGCAGCAAAGTAGTAGATTGACTGCCGAGGCTGAATTCATATCCAGCTAAGGCAGTCAATCTACTTTGCTGCCGAGTTGAACATATAATTTTTTCTTCGATTGTTCATAATGATATAGGAGGATATTGTAATTGCAAATTATTACAATTCCCACAATCTCTTTATTTTTCCTGTAGTGTTCAATGAAAATGAAATTTGATAGAAATCGCAGTTGTCCATGATAATTATATAGTTTGACAATTCATGAAAATTCTGACAGTTGTGCGAAAAAGTATCGGTATATTTAAATCATTATATAATGGACAGTGATAGCGACCTGGAAGTACTTACATAGGCTCTGACTTACACCTCCAGAAATAAGGGAGGTAGCAAAAAATATAGAGTTGAATTTGTTGCCGGAGAAGTCTCGAATGAAATATGAAGGAAATCATAAACGATTTATGGATTATTAATTTTGGTGATACATATCAATCAGCAAAGTAACCACTTTGCTGCCTATGCAGGAAAAGTAATACTTTGCTGATTGATATGTGTCAGCAAAATTAATATTTGCTGCCAATCGGAGAAAAACTATATTATTTTATACGTTGAACAATCAAAAACTCGAATGTTGCTGTGGAAAAAAATCGATGTCGCGGTCGATTTTTTACGAAACGAACTTGGCTGAAAGCAAGAGGAGTTTTCGGTTGTTTGAAATGACCAAAATGTCACTTTTCAAACGTTATAATTTCGATAACTATTGAATTCAGAACTGTTAAGAATCATGAGGAAACTTCAAAAATTGAATAATATGTGTTCCATTCAAAAAAATAATTCAAGATGGCGTTCAGCCTCCATTTTTAAACTTCAGCTGTCATTTTTTTTATAAAAAAGTAGTTTTCATCGCCTATTTGAGACACCAAAATGGCGGTGTGATATACCACAATAGTTCCAAAATCAGTACTTATAGGGGGATTCGGACTTCAGTCGGGCACTGTATAGAGAATGACAGCACTAGGTTATGGCTATAGTGACTCTGACATATTGACATTGACACGTATGTCATGTCATCAAACGGCAGGATAATAACCAGGCGCAAATATGTTTAATAAGAGAGGGTATATTGGATATAATCAATGATACATGCATTCATTTCTAGACCTGAAGTGAGAAAGATATCTGTTCGAAATTGTCAAGAGTGTCTTCCTCGCTACGAGAATAGAGCCGACCCTGTAACTACTGAATCACTTGAGGTAGAATTATGAAATTTAGAGGGTTCAAATAACATCTTATTCCGCATTCACTGATACAATTACACATTTTGAATTACTTCCGGTTTCAGCAGAAATGACCTCAACTTTTGATTTTCAAAAGTGATACCCTGTATATTTTTACATTTTTGAATTTACGAGATGATTTTACATACAGTTGTATGATTTTTACATTAAGGCATCATAGCCAACTAGTCATCCTAATCTCTCTCTTTTAGAATTTATTTTGATTTTACTTTGTGTTTCGATTATCGATCGGAATCGGATATTGACAAATGTGGTATCAATTGATTAGTTGAAGAATATTCTTCGAGAAGAACTACCTGACCCCCCATCATTCCACTTGAAAATCAGTTTTTCTAGAAAAATCATTTATGATCACTTATAGGAGAGCCGATTATAGACAAGATAGCCACCTAGATAAGATTCCAAAAATCACATAAAAAAATTGACGCTAAGAAGATTTTCACCCAAAAATTATTCAACTGTATGTTAAATGACCTCCTAAATCAAGAATTATGAAAATATACAGGATGTCTCATTTGAAAATGAAAAAATGACGACATTTCCGGCGACACCGGGAGTAACTCGAAAAGCTTCATCACATCAGTGAATGCAAAATATGATATTAAATGAACCCTCCAAGTTGCAAAATTTCATGTCGAGCGATTCAAAAGATACAGGAGCGGCCACCCGGTATACAGTGCTTTTCTTTAATGCCCCCTTTCATTTTTTGAACGGGTCGAATGAAAAAATTGAAACTTGGAGTAGTGGAATTGATGCATGAATAATATATTTTGGAGTGAAATTGACAGATGAAAACTTCAAAATGGCGACTGTGGGCGCCATCTGGAAAAAAATTCAATAGAAAGGGAGGTCTTCTGATACATTCTTTTGAAGCTCCTGACGAATCCTTCGCAGCCCTAGAATATGAAGTCAGTATTTTTACCTACTACAAAATGGCGGAACGTTCAATAATTGCTCGAATACACATCGACGTTTATTTCATAATTTGAGGAAATAAGCTGAGTTCAGTTCAGAAGATCCTGGAAATGGTTGCCTCGACATTTTTGACATAAGAACAGCCTATCCGATATTTTACGCCAAACACAGTTACGTCGATATTTATACAAATATTTATAATTCTCTGTCGTATATCTAATATTGAAGCAGGTGCATTTTCGTACACGTTTTGCTTCAAATAGCCCCGAAAAAAAAAAACGTCTGAAGGTGTCAAATCTGGCGAGCGGACTGGCCATTCCGTAGAACCTAGACGGCCAATCACACGACCGGAAAAAGTTTAATCCAAATATTGTGTTTGTATTCAGGCAAATATTAAATGTTCCGCCATTTTGTAGTACGTGAAGATATTGACTTTATATTCTGGGGTTGTGAAGTATTCGTCAGGAGCTTCAAAAAGATCTATCACAAGACCCTCCTTTCCATTTAATATTTTTTCCCTACATCGCGCCCAGTTGCCATCTTGAAATTTTACTTCAATATATAGTATTCATGCATCAATTTATTGTCATTATTCCAAGTTTTAATTTTTTCAGTTGACCCGTTCAAAAAGTAAAAGAAAGGGGGGTCATACAAGAAACACATTGTAGATGTAGTACAATGTTGAAGGTTTTCATATACCTACTCAAGTTAGAACAAGCCCAAGATTTCTCAAGGTCTTCAACGACGCACCGGCAAACTCCCATCGAATACGTTTCACCTTATATTGAAAAAACTCAACCTTCCCTTCCAGCACTTCGAGCGGAAAAACTCGAGGACTATGCCGACGACAAAATGGACGAGGAACTGCGCAGAACCCTCCTCGATTACGAGAGTTTTTTGCGCAACGAGACCAAGGCGAACGTGAAAAAGTTCGCGGTGCACTTGTCCTCGCAATTTTCCATCGAGGGAGGCGGTAAACAAGTGAAGGTCGCCGACGGCAACGCGGGATCGAGGATAACGGCTTGGGTCGATCGGAATTTTCACACGCTGGAAGAAAAGAGAACCGAGTTGAGTTGATATTATCATTTTTTTCTTCATTTCCTGAGTACATTTACACCTCGACACGTGTTTCGCTAAGTATGTTAGCATCTCCAGGAGAAGATTAAAACTAAATGCTCTATCCGAGTGGGCTACCTATATATTAAGAATATGTCCATCCAACCGTGAATAGACAATAACCGCCAATACTAAACTATACAGAGGGCTGACTGGGATAGGCCCATTATCCTTATTCATTACTCTATTACTATTATTAATAGTATATTATTCAACGAGCGCATAATGATGGCTATTACCCACGAAGATGAAAGTTGCAGTACGAGCCGAAGGCGAGTGCTGTAATCATCTGAGTGGGTAATAGTCATTATGCGCAAGTAGAATACTATTCTTTATCTACAACTATTCAAATATCAAAGCAACTCTGAGAGTTCAGAAATATATCTTTGAAAAAAATGAAGGTTATTATATTGCAAAATCACTAAATCTGATTTTAAATACTCATTAATTCCATCGAAAATTTATTGACAAAGATTCCATTCAACGAACAGCTTATAACTTATTTCAATAATTTTGATTGTGAAAATTTGATAAACAATGTTGAATATAACTTTCATTAGCAGGAAAAAAGTCGTGCAATCACATATCAGTCAATCTTACCAGGTATTATATGATATTTCACTTTTCAGTTGTAAAATGAATCATATACTATTGCAGATTATACATTTTTTGCTTCCGCTGTAGCGTTCCCCCACCGCGATGATTGATTGTAGTACCCTGTCTCAAGAAGCTAGTTATCAACAATGAAATTCCATGGTTCTGATTGGTCTGTACTAGAGTCCCTGTATATACCTTAGACAAGAGTCCGGACACAACTATACTTCTGTCCTTTTCTGTTTTCAAAAAATGCATTGATGATTGAATAAAGGAATAAGACATATATATCGAGCTCTGTCTTTCCAATTCCCCTAGTATCAATGATTGTCAGAAACAATTTTGAGGGTTAGATTATTTGTCAAACCGTTCATAGCCGTAGGTAGAAGTGAGAAATAGGGCTATTTTTACTAGAATAACTATTAGATTTTCAAATAATGAACAACAGGGTGTTCAAATTTCGAATCGATAATTTTCGTAATCAATTCCTGAGATGGCTATTGCAAATTTTCGTCATCAGATATTTCTTTCCTTCATTAGATATAAAAAAGATAAATTAAGTGTTCTTTCTACGTGGTACCACATATAGCCAAGAAAATATAGTTGTTTTCTGTTGGGATATAAAAAAATAGAAGATATATAATTGTTTCAATATAATTTTAATTGTTTCGGTTTCCCACCTCTTCCTGCAGTCTACCCAATAAATTCTTTAATTTGATCTGAATTAAAAACACCTTGGACTGGTGACATAGCACATTGCAATTTCTCTAAATCTTCTAGTTTTGATTTCAAACTTTCAATTTCTCTCCGCATCATCTCATTTTCTTTCTCTGCGATCGTATTATTCAGTAATTCCCAATACGATGACGACGGAACTCTTTTTTTGAAGAGATTGACGGCACAGCAGACTCTTAAGACTCAATTTGAAATCCATCAGCTTGAAAGAATCTCTATCAAAATGGCCTAAAATTCATCTTTTTTGTACTGTTTTTACAAGTAAATTCGAATGTTTACCTCACATATTGCGGATTTCTTGAAATTAATTTTCCATTCTGGACGTTTCATTGCATTCTTCCATGACATTATCTTCAAAGGATCATTCGGAATATTGAATAACTCGAATCCCTTTTCTAATGAATTATCGCAATAATGTACGCAGCAGGACATTGAAATAATTTGAAACGCAAAATTTTGGCGGCCATAAAATTTCAAAGTGACAGTGACAGAAATTCGAAATAATTAAAAAAAGCGAGCGGGACGACTATGGTGTTTCGTCACATTGTCAGGTGGGCAAACCAAATGGAACAAAATATTAAAAACCCCAACGGCTGTCAGTTTTGTGTCCGGACTCTTGTCTTAAGTATATACAGGGACTCTAGTCTGTACTAATCTATTCCAATAGCCTGTAACCATATTAGTGTTAGTGTGTGCCTTAGATCATACAGGATCTAAGGTGTGAGCATGGACGTATAAACGTCCATGGGTGTGAGCAAATCTGCAAGTGTTAAGTCCTATTTTATGGTTATGGTTACTCATGATGATAGTCACTGTTGAGGATGGAAAACAGTGAATCCTTATTTTTCCGTGTATTTGTAGAATTAAGATGTTCAAAACTACGAGAACAATGGTACGGTGGATTTGCGAACTAATAGAACGAATACCTACCTAGTTGAATTTGACAAGACGATGGGATGTCAAATTATTACGCCACCCTACTGTCATTATTACTCTTATTACTCGATTCATCACAATAATGACTGCCATTAAATGTCGAAAATCGAGTAAGCAATGTATGAATGACTCCATAGTTGTAGATAAATATCTTTATGGTCTCATATGCATCCAATTTTCTAACATTATTAACTTGCTGAACTAATTTGTGTGTTATGATTGTGATTGAACATGTGTTCAGCTACACACGATTTATCTAACCTACCATATTTCAATACCAAGTACACAAGAGGACTTGATATTTGATAAGGTTTTCAGAGACTTAGGTTTTGAAAGCGTTCATCACTTTGGAGACCTGCAGAACATCTCTTTCCAAAGACTCGTTCATCCAACGAACAGCGAGGCTCTGGAACACATTGCCAAGGGAGGTGTTTCCCGAGGCATATAACCTGGTTCTCACGATGTTCTCTGAACATTACAGAATATCCTTTTTCGTGGGAACCAGAACATGAAAATAAGACAAGGTGGACACACTTGAAAAGTCAGGAATGAATGAAATTAGTTGTAATGATTGTGATGAAGCATATATAGGCCAAACCAGACGTCCCATAAAAACAAGGTTCAAAGAACACTTATCACATTTGATATATTATGGTAGGATAGATAAATTGTGTGTAGCTGAACACGTCTTCAATAACAATCATAACACACATATCAATAACCTCAAATTTGTTAACCATGTTAATAATGTTATAAAATTAGGTGCATATGAAAGCTTAGAGATATTTAAGAATAGTAATAGAGTAATGAATAAGGATAATGGACCTACCCCATTTAGCCCTCTGTATAGTTTGATTGTCTTTATCACCCCAAGAAACATTATTGTTTATAATAGGGATATATACAACAAAACATACATATAATATAATGAATCGAAACAATATGAATTGCACAATTATTGTTTTTCATAAAAAAATTATAATAAAATATTATAATCCATTACAAGTAATCAAATTGTGAATGATTAGTAGATATGGAATTAAAGTTTACTGAGCAGATATTTCTTTAATTTGATTTTAAATTTTTCTGCTCCTTCTATATTTTTCAACATGTGGAATCAACCATGAATAACAGTACCTTGGCGGTTGTTGTCTATTGTCTACGGTTGAATAGACATATTTTTAGTATATATAAGCAGTTTTAATCTTCTCCTGAAGATGCTAACATAGTCAGCGAAAAACGTGTGGTATAAAAAAACGATTTGGTTGGTGGTAAAACAGTGTTGAGTATCTCCTTGTATCAATTAATTTTGAATGAGCTCTTCTTTCATCTTATTGCATATTTAATTTATTAATTTTATTTTTTGTGCCCCTCTATATATATGTACCTATGTTTCTTGGTATAAATAAATATTATTACTATCTTATTGCATATTTAATTTATTAATTTTATTTTTTGTGCCCCTCTATATATATGTACCTATGTTTCTTGGTATAAATAAATATTATTACTATCATTATTTTCGAAAGCAAAAATTATTGAAGTGATTAGTAAATGTTTTATAACAATTAAAACGACTCATGATAAATTATTCCTCATGTCTTCAGGTATTTTACAGACGAAGAAGGACAATTCAATGAGAAATCTCTTTACGTGGCACTGCAGAAGAACAAGTACTATCTGAGAACGACCAGTTCCCCACCAGATATCCAAGAAAGGAAGTACTACGGTCTAGGAAAAACACACGATTTCGTTGGAGAAGGAGCCAGCTTCATATTGATGAGATATCTGGCCGTCACTAGATATACAGGAAGTTTGGAACTGTCCACGACTTATATCAACGGAGATATGTGCAGAAATATTTACGTATAGACATTTTTAAGATCGTTGAATATTTTTTATACAGACTGTTCCGCCTAAACCGCACATTACACGTATTTATGGTTTTGAAAATGACACTGATCTGGAAATTTGTATACATGGGTTATGGATCAAGTCCTTTTTTATGTTTAACTTGATTTTGAACACCCTATATCTCTATAATCATTCCCGCTAGACCTCCAAGTGTGATATATTGTTGAAATGAGCCCTTCAGGGAGAATCTAAAAATGGAATAATATATAGGGTGTTCTATTTGAAAAAACTTAGTCACAAATAATGTATTGAAATTTTCATATCAGTTACTTTTCTGGAACTCCAAATACTTCTAATATGCGGAATATTTTTTTCACAGGAATGTACCGGACCCAAGATGGGATCGGTGAACGATAAAAATATGGAAGTCTGCAAAATTTATAGATACATCATAGAAAAATGCGGCATAGAGCACCATTGCGTAACAGTTTTAACTGTTCATGGTATGATTGAAACATGTTTTGCATTAATAACATTCATAATTATTTTTTTTTTATATTCCAGGTCAAATAATCTCTCAAGAATGGGAAGGCTGCAATTTCATTTTGAACATAAACCCAGTACAGTATGTTGATGACGGCAAACCTTGTCCATATGATAGACTGATATTAGAGAAAACCTGGATAGATGATATGGAGTTATTATCGAAATATCTCGATTGCAAAGTACGTATCTAACCTTTAATAATACCAGAAAACATCGAATTGTCGTTATAAGAAACATAATATATTGATTCCATAAAATGTTATAACAGGGTGTCCGTAAAAGATCTTTACAAAAACATACCAAATATTCCTTAGACCAAAATAAGCCGATTTAAGTAAAATTACCTTAGTACAAAGTTGCATCGTTTGGGCTCCAGAGGGCCATGAAGTTACAATTTTTAAATCGTTTTTCCCATATAAATTTAAAACGGCATATGCGATTTTGCTGAAATTTGGTATATTGATAGTTTTATGTGGCAAAAAAATGGTGTTAAATTTTTGTCCGATATTAATCCATAGGCGTAGGACTTGATTTTTTCAATAATTGCACCTTTAACAATTCTACGAAAATGGAATAAAAGGAGTTTGAGTATGAAATTTAGATTGCGCAACTTATTTACATTGAAAAAGGTACTCTTGATAAGACTCGATTACTCTCATACAATACCCCCAAAAGTTGAGGTCGTTTCCAGTAATACCGGAAGTGATAGAACAAAAATTGTTTCGTCAATTAATGGTAAATTTGGTATACTAGCTGCCCACCAATTTTCAAAACCCTATCTCGAATAATTCAGAAGTTGCAGTCCTGGCCGTTTTTTGTGCACTTCTCTGTATGTGTAGTAGGACAAATCAGATGATTTGCCCCAAAATATCACTGCGTTCAACAAATTTCCTTTCAGGGAGCCTGAAAGGAAAATTCAATAGCTTGCCAGTGAATTTTTGATGGAACGAAATATCGATATATTTTTTGATTGATTGATTGTCTTTATTACGAATCTGTCCCCTTCTCAACATAAAAATGCAAAAATATTTTTCTTTGAGAGTTGTGCTCTTATAGTTTGACATTTATCCATTTTTCCAAACAAAGTGTCACTGACAAGCTATTGGACTGGGAAGTGTCAAACTATAAGAGCACAACTTTCAAAGAAAAATATTTTTGAATTTTCAGAACGGGAGCAGATTCGTTCCGGAAACGTCCAAAGATGTGTATTTATTCGATGTTTTTTCAATATATCTAAATTTCTTTTCTTCAAACATTTTTTCAAACAAAGTGTCACTGACAAGCTAATGGATTTTTCTTTTAGGGTCCCTGATAGCAAAATTTGTTAAACGCAGTGACATTTTGGGGCAAATCGTCAAATCAATCAAATCAGTCATAATCCACTCATTTGGTGACGGAAAACACTGGATTCAAGAAGAAATTGCCAAAGAATTTTTCTCGACGGATCTATATGGTTTTTGTGGTGCTGAATCTGAAAATCTAGTTATCGACTAGATTCGAATATGGCTTCACCACGAAAATCGCAATAAACCATGAAAATTCGGAACTTATTTTGACTTTTTGCTTATAACTCTGAAACGACGTGATTTAGAAAAAAAAATACCTCATGCAAAAATGAAAGCCTATAAAATTTATTGTGGAACAAGACCTAAATCGGCTTGATATCTTGTTTGATTCAGTCGCTAGAGCACTCTGAAAATAAACGTCCCGATTTTTCAAAATTTTCTGCCATTTTCATGGTGAAGCCATATCCGAATCTAGTCGATAACTGAATTATCAGATTCAGCATCCCAAAAAACATATGACCCCCCGATGATATCTTGATTTTAGACGGAAGCAGAGCTAAAAATGAAGACGTACTCCGCCGACCACCCCGAAATGAAAGACATCCTAGCGGATTATCTGAACAACATTCTGTTGCTGAAACCCGAAAACATCCTGACGTTCACCATGGACTTTTTCGAAAGCTTGTGTCCCATCAAGATAGCCAGGATGGGCTACATGGACCAAGATAATCGCCCAACAAACGACTACTACCGAATGCCATGAAATTTTGACGTTTATACAGTGTAAAATTTCGATATTCGTGGTGTCATTGTAATAAAAACGACTTGAAAAAAAGAATTGATTCAATAATTCACATTCTCATTGCTACTTTTTCTGTTCTACAAGATGATATCAGATTTCCAAACCGACTTATCGTCTCTGAGGTGCCATCATCAACTTTGTTTTTTTAATACGGTCCTAGATTTTTTATTATGGATTTTGAGAACTTTCAATGCCTTGAAATCAAAGATGTATCTCACTTATTCGAAAAAGGTGATCTCTTTCTTTATCTAACATATCGTCGGCTTACTGTCAAAACCTCGTAAGTCTTTCAGAGCCAACTGTTGATGAATGAAATCAACATTCTGAGAAGACTTGTATTCTCAATTTTCAAATAAACGAAATACGAAGTATTTACAAAAATAAATTGAACATTATTCAGACTGAATTGGTTTTGATCAATTACTAGTGAAAATTGTCATTTAGTTTGGCCTTGCTTCACAGTGCATGTAGCAACTCAGCGGGAGTTTTGATAACAATGAGAAATATGGGTTCAAGAATAATGAACCGGAATATTTCAATCAATGTCTTCATTTGGAATGAACAGAATGAAATTACACAAAAAATATCCATAACATCTTCTCAAAAGCTCTAAAGTCCTCTACTAGATAGATAACATACAGATCAGAACCTCGTAAGTCTGTTCACATGAAGAATCAAAACAAGATTGTCCTTCGCATCACTGCAGAAATATTCGAGAAGATTGACCAAATAGTTCATCATAAACTTACTTTGGTGTCTGACAACTTTTCTGAGTTCAAAATCTCTCAGAGTAGAGTTAGGAGGTTTGAATTATATCTAATAGATGTCGTTACCAAGAATATAGACCTCGATATAGACTTACGATGATTTGGTGATGAGTGCGCTGAATTTCGTAGATGGTGAAATGTTTGAACCTAAAATTCCCTAGAAATCGGATTAACGAGGTCTTGAATGAAATTTTGAATATTCTTTGTTTTTATCCAGAATTCTTTAGATGTATTTGGAATTCATCATATTTCAATTTTGTAAACCATGAAATTGAGCAACTTTGCCTCCATTTAACTGATCTCACATCTCTTCTACTTTCCGAAATCCCAATGATGAGGCTCGAATTCCAGCCACCCTGTACAGGATAATGTACAAGAAAGTATATCAGGGCGTAATCGAATGAGTTCATAATAATTTTTCAATAGTAAATTCGAAGCAAATTTGTTTTTCGATGATCTCACCTCTATTTTTGTTCTTTAGCGTAGCAAATAGCACATTTCGTCATTTTATTCGGCATGCACTGTACATGAAAGGCATGTTTACAATTGAACATGGCAACACCAGCAGCTCTAGAGGGATCTGAAAACAATAATCGCCATACAATTTTTCCGGATTCATCAACGCTATTCACCTTTTTCGATTAGTTTTCTATGGCAAGCACCACACAAGAGCTCGTCGCAGATAGAGAGACCTTTTTGTTGTACTTTGACTAATTTTTTTTGCAGGTTAAAATAGTCCAATACCAGTATCTTCTTACAGCCTTCTTGAACAGACACCTACAGAACGAATAATACACATGATTCGACAGGAAACAGGAAATAAGTATAACTCATTGGATCATTCCCAATAATAGGAATGTTCTCACCATAAAGTCAAAGCACTTTTGTATGGTATATGAAAATTTCACTGATTTTCCGTTTACATACCTGTAAATTGTATTGATTCAGCATTTTAACCAGAGAATTTTTCAACCCCGGGATTTCCATGTCTTCTTTGATTTTTAAAACGAGAGGTGTTGGATCGACGTAAGTGCCGATGCTTTGTAATAAGAATGTGATAAAATCTAGAAAATTTACTCATTATAAAATTTCCTCCACATCCTTGATTATGCACTACCAAGATGAATCATTCTTATGAAAGCAATAAAGCCAGAAAGTCTATTCAGTAGATGGCCATACCTATGAGCGACAAGGTGAACTACTTTTTGTAAAAAAACTTCACAAACTCTCAGATTTCCACAAAATTCTTAATTCGCCAACACAGTAGTTTCTTCTGGTGAAATACTAGTACAATGAACTAAACTTTTTCTTTTGCACTGGCTTGTCTACTTTTACTTTCGCAACTCGAAAGATAGCACATTTCGTCATTTTATTTGGCATGCAGGATGTTTCTTAAGTACGTATCAAAAATTCAGAAGCATGTTGCTGACGTCGAGATTAGAAGAAAACTTTTTATAAACATATGTCCGCAAGTTATTTGTTTCTAAGATATAGAGTGTCAAAGTTTGAATCTTATTTCTGTATTTCGTGAATAAATTCCGTGATATTCCAGAATATCACGATCAATTTGGCATTTAGGAGTATTTTTTTGAATGACAACATGAAATTTGATATTCTTCTGACTCTTTCGTGGAGGTGGCGCCACCTACATGTCTTTTCAGTCATTTGGAATGTCATAACTTTTTTGCACTTAACTGTATCACATTTTCTAGTTTATATATAAAATTCTCTAATGAAATTGTGAACCTATCTAGTGAGTAATCGGTAATTGATACATCATATGACCAATTAGTAATCGTGTCGTTGTTTTGGGTGTGAAATCCATATCATTATCTTACAAAGCTCAAAAATGAATGGACCACACCGATTCACTGTACAAAACAAGAATTATAACTCTAGTTGATATCGCGAATTACTTACTGACACTAGACATTAAAGACAAAGACACCTCTGTTGTAATCAACCTGAATTCACTGTTCTGATACGATATTCGCTGGAATGGCACTCGAATCTAGTAGTTATTCATTACGGTCCCTTGATGCAAACTGACGTATTTGTCATCTGACAGGGTACGGACAGATCATAGATCCTTTCCCTTTTAATCATCTAGTGACTTTGGTTTCGTGTATTGGCGTCCCTGACATGACATTGCTGTCACGTCACATTCATAAGCGTTAAAAGAGATCTTACAAAATTTCAATTTCATACTTTATCTTAATACATTATTCAATTCTGTTTTGGAAGGATGGTAAAATGTGCTGCGTTAGGCTGAATCCTTCAGTTGGATGGCAAATTTGAATTTGTCGGCTTTCCATCAAATGCAAATGAACTTAGAACATGGAAAGTGAAGTGACCGAATGGGGAAAATTGGTAAATACATACATCAGCAAAATATTCGAGGTAAAACTTATACGAAATCACATATGATACTTTCTCATTGTGCCTATAACTATCCACTCCACAAGTTTTTGAATGTATTTTAGTAGAAACAGTTTTGATTGAAACGGAGGATTAAAAGAAGAGGCATATACCCTACCATTTATGAAATTACGTATGATACGCCAATGTCCTCAATATAACCTAAAAAACAACAAATGCAGAAATCTAGTGTTTATCCCCAGAAATGAATAAAGATGGAACTATATAACTGTTTCACAAACACTTTAGAGTGAGAGGAGACGAGGATCTGTCCGTACCCTATTAAGATGACAAATACGTCAATTTACATCAAGGGACCCTAATATTTATCAATAACGACTTGTCCTAATATAAGAGAAGTGCTTTCACAGTTACAATACGTCCATATTTCAGTTTCACAGAACTATAATGATTGAAATGTATTGCTAGTGGTGAACAAAAGTAATTTAAGGTAGTAAAGTTTCGCTAGTGCAGCCTACGAGCCAGCAGCCAGCCAAGAACTAAGGCCAAATTTGGCTGAAAAATTTCACATGGAGGTGGTTCATCTTGTTAGTGTGGATAATCAAGGAACATATCAAGATTTTTTTTGTAACGCACCTGGCTTGTTAACGCAATGATTGATAAGGTCGTTCCACAGATCTGGATCGTCGTGTTCTTGACAAAACGAGATGGCATGCTCCTTGTCTTTCAGTTCATTTATTATCAGCTCTAGGGCTTCTTTTGTGTCCCCTATTCTACCTGAGAAATACTGATTTTGTCAATAATTCATTTAGAAAATCAAAATCATAGAACACATATTATATAGAAGGGATTGCCAAATTATACTGCTTCTAAAGAAATATAATTGGTGGTACTACTATACCCGGTAGAATATGATTTAAAAGATACAAAAAAATGCAATATACTGAAGACAAATTAGCAGTGTAAATACCTAGTAAGTACACCATTTCTTTGTAGTATTTGCCTCTCTGACAGATATCCAGAGCCTCCTGGATGGGATAATGATCGGATTTTTTCAGGAAAGGTAACAACTTCTCTCTGGCAAATATCGCATAAAGCTTCACCAGCTCTTTGTGGTAATTTCCTTTGGGATTTTTCTTATCATATTCATCGAGAAACTAAAACACCAGAACACCAGCATTTTAATGTTGCAACTTTTCCACGGTCGGTAAGGACATACCAGGTAAAGGTGTGATTCGTTTTCTCGCAACTTTTCCACAATTTTGTCGGTGGATATAGTATGTTTTTCTAGTAAAAGCGCTATGGTTTTTTGGTGGTCCAGATCCATCAAATCCAGTAGCATGTCTTGGATAACTCCGTATAGGTTATGTTTCTGAATCAACGTGAACACATCCTTATGTTTCAACCTTGAAAATGTAATAGAAGAAAACCGTGCCAAGGGGCTGAATATGAGATACTCACTTGAGATACATTGAGAGACTTCTGTCGTATTTTTTTTCGTAACTGTATAAAATGGCTAAAGCTTCAAGATAAATATTTTTGTCCACTTCACAGTTCAGTAAATGTTCCAATACGGCATTGATGACTGCGCAGACATTGTATAAACCGGAATTCCATTCTTTGACTAGATTCAAAAACCCCTAATAATACAAATAAGAGAGTTATTTACGTTGAAGTTTGAAGGATAGCTGACAGCATCTTAATGTGATTTGGGGCATTGTCGATCTAAATAGAATATTTAGTTAGGAGGCGAAAGGTATAATTTTTTGTTCATTGGAAAAAAAATGTGGAAACAGCCCTCATTGTGACAGTTTCCTTTACCATCTACATGAACTGGGGTGTTCATTTTTTATTCCTAACCTAAAAATTGTTCATGTTCCTGTCAAGAATAGCTTGTTAAGTTTGTAAATAAAAATTTCTCATTTTGAAACTTGACGTTGGAAGATTATCAATGATATTCATCAAGTATGAAAATCATCTACCCATACTCAAGTGGTAGCAATGCTATATTAACTCGATTTATTATGCTATTTGAATTTGAGTAGGAACTGCGGAACTGCGGAATTGCTGTGATAAAAAAAACGTCACTGTTTAAACTTTTTTGACATGCAAGACAAGCAGAAAGGTATGGACTGCTTATTTCCTTCAATAGTTTGATGGGGTTGATTGAGGAAGCAGTGTGTATATATAATCACATCACCGCTTGGAGTGTAAAATGAAACAAAAGTCTATACGCGCCATTATGCACAGCACAAATAAACCCACAAACTCTAAAAATTAGACAGTGAAATAACTATAAGCTGAAAGAGGCACTAGATAGAAATAGTTATTTATTATACAAGTGAAAAAAGTAGAAGATTTTAGGTCCAGGTTGTGTTGTCAGACATAAAAACGTGAGCTAAAATCTAATATTTTTCCTGTGTATAATACACTATTTTTTTCTGTGACAGAAGGAAGGACGATATTACATTATTTTGAAATCTGAAAATTATCGACGTGAAATTTTTTTAACAGTGGGGACACCTGGGTTGTAGGCATCTTTATCATTCTTTTGAAGTAATCAAATATCTGATGTCACTTCTGTCAGTCTAATTCTGTGATTTGATTTCAAAAATTGCGAATTTAGTGGTTGTTTAGTAATATACGTAACCGCGAAGTCGAATGTATGATAAATGGACTTGCAGTTCTTTCTCGGAGACGGTATTATTGACTCATTTTTCGGAACTATAGCACAACAAAAGCCATCAACAGTGTATATATATGTGATATATATCCGGAAAAAGGTACTCACTTTTTTCCCACGGGAAAAAGTGATATATGAAAAGTGACATTTTATAACCTGCCAACAGAGATGAAAAGCCTAACTTTTTTCTCGTCACAGAGAAAAATTATTGAAAATGGGCAATCAAAATGATAAATATTAGAAGGTATGAACTAGGTAGAAGTACAACAGCTAGAGAAAATGAACAAATCAATGTACTTAATTGGAAGTAACTATTTACAAATACAAAGCAACTAATTAATAGAGAACGAGCAACACTAGGAGAAATAATTAATAGAAGATACAATCGCAATTCTAAAGGATTCGGAGAAAGATAATTTAAAAAGGGAGCCCACAGTCAACCACCAGTATCAAAACTGCTAGGTATAAAAAAAACCAATCGTTACAAATATTCTTCCCTTTTATCAATATCTGTGGTTGCCTGGTTGAGTTCTGTTTGGAAAAAAAAATTGAATAAGACAAATTAAACCTGAAACAGTGTCACTGAGATTGAAACAACTGAGCTAATGACAGTATCCGATGCAGTAGCGCCATCGACAGGTAGACAAATTTCGAACGACAATATTATACATCTCGCCTACTAACTAGTTTTTAGTTATTTCCCCCATCTCACCTTATGTAGGTATTTGAAAAAACTTACATGTGCGTCTAATTTTAGATATTCATAGAGAATCATTTCGTATATGTGTGGATTCAGTTTTGATTCTAAACTCCTAGGAATATATGGACTGACCGACCTATTGAAAAAAAAAAATAGTAAAGCTAACTCACAAATTCGAAACTGACAACCGCTTTACCTCAATTGATGAACGCCGGCAAACTTGTAAATTTGATCTTCCCACAGGGCCGGATTTTTTCCGAAAATTTTCAAGCCCAATCTACCGGCTGCGTCGTACATTCCTCGATTGAGCAAGTGATCCAGATAATCTATGCCTACGGATTGGACGGTGTGCCTCAAGATATTCCTGGTGCCGTTTTGCATCAGAATCTCTAAAGCGTCATCGAATTTGCTAAGGAGAAACAAACAGGGTGTCCAGTAAACCATCGATCATACTTTAGCTGGTGATAGACAAGTTCATAACCTAATACAAAACCACAACTTGACCTGTGTCTTGCACCAAGTATGCTCCTATGATCAGACAGACGGCAGTATCTTGCACCAAGTTCTCGTGTGAAATCAAGTTTTCGGAGGAGCCTGATAAATGGTTACAAAATCCAAGAGAAGCAAGGCGTTACTCGCAAAAGATAGAAAAAGAACTAAAAAACACGCATTATTATTTTTTTTTATGTATGAGAAATTGATATTCATCATACAGTACGTGGAAAGAAATTCTGAATTGAGAAAACCTAATCACGAATCTGCGATTAAAGGTCTATGAAAATAACAAGATTCCATCGTACAAGTTTGAACCCGTTGATTGGGTGAAAGTATTGAAAAGGAATATTCTCAGATAAATTATGAACATGAAAAAACGGATGCATATACCGGGTGGCTACGGAAGTATTGCCTACCGAATATCTCAGTTATTGTATGAAGTAGGTTTGTGAAATTTGGAGCGTCGATATAATGACATAAAAGCTAGAATTTGAGCATATTGACATGTCGAAGTTAACTTCGGGTCTGACCGGAATAATAACATCAACTTTCTTATTTTAAATGGAAACCCTATTTTTTTTCTCTTTTCGCTTTATTCAGCATTCAATTCCCTTTCTAATGACATATCACAAGTTGGTATCTAACCACAAACTAGATCAGAAAAAAACTATTATTGAAATTCACCGAGTAGGCCGTGGAAGCAAAATGAAAGCCAAAAATTGAAAAGTTGGCTATGGAAACCATACGTCACTTGATAACAGTTGCTACTACTGTGATATTTTATTTTCATTCGTCGGCGTTATAAAGAGCCGCCAAAAAAAAATCGGAAAAATTGGGAAAAAAACAATACTCTGTAGGTCCATAACTTAAATAGAAACATACAACTTTTTCTTGCCTGTACTATTCAGCATCACCATTCCTTTCTAATGATATAAAAGAAAGTCATTTTTTGAAATGAAAAAGTTGTATGTTCCTATTTAAGTTATAGACCTACAAAGTATTGTTTTTTTCCCAATTTTTCAATAATAAATTTTTTCTGATCTAGTTTCTGGTTAGATACCAACTTGTGATATGTCATCAGAAAGGGAATTGAATGCTGAATAAAGCGAAAAGGAAAAAAAAGGGTTTCCATTTAAAATAAGAAAGTTGATGTTACTTCCGGTCAGACCGGAAGTTAACTTCGACATGTCAATGTGCTCAAATTCTAGCTCTTATGTCATTATATCGACGCTCCAAATTTCACAAACCTACTTCATACAATAACTGAGATATTCCGTAGGCAATACTTCCGTAGCCACCCGGTATAAAGAAATACATTGAGAATTCTCATTCTCATTCTCATATGATGAAAATATCAATTCTTTCTCGGATTATTCAACAGAGAACTACTTTCATTGCTATATGCCACGACCAACATTGACTAGAAAATGAAACGATTACCTAACTAGACGAAGATAAAGGTTAAAAAGAGAATGAAAAACCCGATTTTTAGCATAATCTAGGTGACTTCGATAAACCATCGTCGACTTTACATTATTGTCGGTTGAAACAGCCGATATGCATATTATTAAATTTTGCATGTCTCTATTACCTTCAAGAAAGTGAACCCAAAAAATGATATTCTCAAAATATCAAACACACAATAATGCCACAATCTAATAGTTATAAGGTCCATTTCATGAATCTCGATGAGAACCCACCTGTGCTGTATGAACCACTGTATCCTATCGTCCAAATCGTACGGACTGGCAATAACGACATCTTTGGGAGCGACTATGAAAAACCTGTTCTCCTCCAGCAGCACATCGAGATGATAGTCGTTTACCCCGTATTCTTCGTAGCCGCGCAAAGACAGACTGTCTGTACATACGTCCGTACAATCGTTGTCCCTGTAGAGTATTCATCAGGTTCACATACACACAAGTGAATGTATACATCAAGGCAATTCAAAACTTCGGAATCCATGATATTAAGATGTTAAAAATATATGTGAAGGTCAAACTAGAAGATCCATTGTAACTAGATTTGAAGAACATCTTGCACATGAAGTATGGTAGACTGGGTACAGCAAGTATAATGGGAGATATGTTCCTAAACTAACATAACCTGACCTGATCAAAAATAGTAACACATACATCAAAAAACTGGAATTGATCAAATTAATAAATTATTTTCTGTTAACATCATCTAATTATGCGAATAACATAATACCTTTCAAATATTCACTTTCTGGTTGTTGACATGTATTTTAGTCACATACCTGTACTCGACTATGTAGAGTTGAGGCCTGGGCGATTTGTGGTTCTTGTCCAGCTCTTTGGGATAGCCTAATAGAACCAATTGCTGATCCAGAGGGGCTATACCGCTCAGGTAGAATTCCGTTTGGAATGTAGACACTGAGAAATATTCAGATTCATTGAATGTCGAGTTATGAACAGTGTTTATAAACTTATGATAATCAACATCAATGATTGATTCAGTTGAAAAATTGGAAATTATAGTGAGGTGACTCAAAAAGCTGATATGAATACTGAAAGTGTTTTAGAAGAAATATCATGTTAAATTTACGATGAAGTTTTATTGTAGCTACCTGGATCAACGAGATATTCTGGTAAATCCCTATTGGCCAATTCAATATTGCTTCTTTTCCTTATAACACAGACTCTTACAGTGTCCACCCAACCAATCAGCAAGGTTCTACTGTCTGCCCACCTCAAATTGCATCTGAATTTGTCGAGAGACAACCTACAAAAATTGAATCCAAATATCTGCCCATGTTGTTATTCTAAAGGGTTTTCAATATTGGCATCACTCTGACCAATCAGCTGTCAATGAATACTTGTTTTCAATTTTTTAAATGAGAAGTGCATCGATGACAATACTAGACCAATCGACCCCTATCTCACCCATGCTATATTCTGAACTGAAATACCTGCCTAACCCAACGTAGTTTGGATTTAACAACGTCTCTCGAGAATCTTACCAAACTTCACGAATTCGTCAAAGCATCAGAAACTTCACAATCAAAAAATCGTCACAAAAACGTCATGGAAGCTTGAAAACGTCACAAGAATGAGTAAATTGATGATTTAGGTTAGGTTAGATGCTTGAACGATGTTGGTACATCCAAACTACATTTGATTTGACTAAAATTTGCGACCTTAAGAGCAAATATACTCATTGGACAGCTGCTCGATCTTCGCTTCAATTTGACTTTACCCTGGATGATCCTCCCACTTGATCAGCCCCAACGAACACCTGGCGATCATGTCGTACACTCTGACACCTATATTGCTGGACCAGGCTAGAAAATGTTCACCCCAACACATGCTCCTCACCAGGCCTTCGCTTTCGCAGAGCACTGTCGGTCGAAGACTACCCAAGAAAGTCCGTTCGTACAGGGTGAGTTTGTCATCACCTGAAGCAACACCCGAAATTCGTCAATTTTCAACGATTATCTATCTTTCTCACCGAATATAATACTTCAACTTCAATAAAATCTTCCCTCAACTGCATAACACTTTTCAATGCACTACCAGAGGTTCGGTATTACCTGTCAGATCCTCACAATTGAATAGTACATCATGTAATGCGGGTGAAATAAGGATTTTCACCGTATTTTGAAAAATTCCTATTTGTTTATAATTATCCAGCAACAAATCAAAATATTTTTTTATTTATGGTTCGAAGGACTAATATGTTCGACGCTTGATAGATAGTGGACTGTATTTGTATGGATTGATTGATATTTGAATTGAAATTTATATTGATCAGTCCCAACAAGCACCTGGCAAACATGTCCTACACTCTGACCGCTATATTGCTAGACCAGGCTTTAAATTTTCACCTCAACACATGCTCCTCGCCGGGCCTTTGCTTTCACAAAGCACAGTCGGTCGAAGACCACCCATAAAAAGTCCGTTCGTACAGGGTGAGTTTGTCATCACCTGTAGCAACATGCAACAATCTTCACTTTTAAACGATTACCTACAGCAAAGGATTGATACTACCTGTCAGATCCATACAGTTGAATAGAAGACCTCAAAATGAGGATGTTTACCGCATTTTAAAATCTAGGTTTTTTCATCTCTATTGGAAGAGCATTAAACATTTTTTTGCCGTAATCGGAGCCCCTTCTTGTACGTTTTAACCTGTGGTAGCTCAGGACTGAATTATCTCTATTTCTAGTTGAATATGAGTGAATATCACTATGTGATCTGAAGTGTATTAGGTTCAGTTTTATGTAGGTTAGACAGTGAAGTATAAAAGTACTTGAGAGTGTAAGGAGTCTCAGTTCTGAAAAACTAATTCTACAACAGTCTTGATATGTTGAACCTGTGATAATGAGGACGTTTCCTATATTGAGGCTTTCATCCCACTGTGAAGTTTGTGAAAAATTAATACATACATTTTTTTTCTTTTTTTCGTGAAATCAAATTTCATTTCAGAAAAAAATAAATAAAAGAGGAACTTGGCTCCTCCACCATTCCTATGACGTACTTTCAGAAAATCCATATTCATACTGAGTCAAAATGCGATCCCCTGTGTCAGTTCGACGTTGCCGACATCATCAATTTGTGCAGATTTTCGGAAATTGTTCTTTGAATGTATAATAACTATATCATAATAGCAATGAGATAAAGTAGGTTCTTCAATCCTGATTTGTCAAGTATAATGAATAATTCCCATGAATCTCTCATTGGCTGAATGAAGTTGATTACTAATGAAGATAAATTATGATGTTTTGCGAAAGTATCTATAATTTTTCACTATCGTTACATTACAATTATTATGTTATTCATGACTTGTCAGTAATTTTTTTGCTAATGAATTCGTTCCTTAATAAAACTGATCTATTTTCTAAAAAAGTTGCAGATTATATCATGCAACAGCGCCTAATACTTTGAGTTCGTCCACACCATTCAAAATACTGACAGGCACAACAAGAGGAATGAGCCATGGGTGTCGGCTTCATTCTGTTCTGACCGATATGGCAGTAAATTAGGAAGGATAGTATCATTGAATGTAGCCTATAGTGAATGATTGATTCAATGATGTTTTCGTTCAGGATCAAGCTCTAGTCGAGATATTTCAATGCATAAATAACAAAATCATAATCTGTTACCAGTTTTACTTCTTCTTCTATTTTTTTCCATTCGTTAGTTATTTGCTAGCTATATTCTTCACCATCAGCTATTATTTTCAGACTAGATTCAGAATGTACATCATAGTTTGCCGCCCAGAAAATTAACAATTGCTTTAATTTGAAAATTAAAAAGGACTTGGACTTTATCGGTCGCCGTTCTGTATAGCGTGGACATAAAACTGGAGTTTGGAACTCATTTTATGAAAATTAATCTAAAGGAAACTTCATTATACTTGAGTCTTTGGGATTTTCTCTCCTTGTTTCTATAAAATAAAAGTATTCCTATTATTTCAATATATTTGTAGAGGGACAAATCAGATGATTTGCCCCAAAATGTCACTGCATTCAACAAATTTTTCTATCAGGGAGTCTAAAAGAAGAAGAAAAATTTGGCTGTTAGTTAATTTTTAAGATTGAATTCAATAAGAAACTATCAATAGTGACTCATCATCAAATTCATCTCTCTTGAAGTTGTCAAAATACAGAAAACCAAGATCAAGAGCACTGAAGAGTGCATGACTTTCCCCAAGTTCTTATTGGGTCCAAATATCGAAAAGAATTGAAATCATAGAAAATAATTTGTTTCAGTCTATTGACTAAGCATTAAAAAATATTTGAGAAAGATACTTATGACCTCAATGTATCACATAAGGAAATGTATAGATTAAAATGAGATTTCTGATTTGGAATTTAGCCTTTCCTATGCTCTCTACTCTCCAGTGTAAAACCATTGTCATTATCAATCTTATATTTATTTGTTAAACATCAATAAAAACAAATTCACCCTATGGTAAATCAGAGGATGAATCAGACTGATAAAAATACAGATAAATTATCACCAGATGCATATTTTCAATGAACACCAGGAGGGGTCAAGAAACTCTACAACATTTTGGTGAAATATTTTTTGGGTTCAAGGTCAAAGGCATCAAATTGAAAATTAGACAACATTTCATTAGGAAGGGGTTCAAGAAACTGGGACAAACATTTTGTAGGGTAAAAAGGTTGCTGGGATTCCAGGTTGAATGCCTCAAAATTAAAATTCTTGTAGACTGAGACCAACTCCATCACATTATTATAATTCAGAGATTCCCTGATTCACTTCAATTTTTTCACCATATCCAAATCAACAACTGGGGTTTATATTTTATGTATGATACCTTTACTATTATACTGAATGATGTTCAAACAATTTTTAAATGATATTTTTCAATTTCAAGTACTGATACAATACTGATGATGTGCTTGAGGATGTGCTTACCAGGAAGAATCTAAGTGGATTGATTTTTTTGTAAAAAATTAGGGGGGGAATTCCCCCCTGAATGAAGCCCATGCTTATCACCTCTTTAGATAAACACAAATAGGATTTCTTTCTAATGAATTGTGATTTCCATATAAGATTTGAATTGATTTCAAAAGGGTGTAGAAGGGGTTTCTTTGATCACTAATTAATGTCAAGTTATAGCAGTTAAACCCCAGATATTCGAAATGAAAATGTACTTAAGACAACACAACATCAAATTCAAAAGCTTACCAATTACAAATCGTTTGTTGGAGCCCAACTTATAGTAATGAGGATCCAAGGCTATAGTTTTAACAAGTCTCCCAAGATTCAAGTGCAAGTTATTCTCTTTGGAAAAGAGACTGTGTATGAATACTCTGCCATCATCAGAACAAGTACCAATAAACTCTCCATTAGAGTCAATGGATATTTGGTTCACACTCACAGTATGGGCTTTGAGCTCTTTGCCCTCAATACTGTTACCTTGATGGTCTAAGATATGGATGACGCCCCAATGCGATCCCAGACAAATAAACTACAAAAAAGAATAACAGATATGTGACAGAAATAATATTTCATTTCAATGTACCTTTGGGTGTACTGCTATGCATGTTGCTGAAGATTTCAACAAGATACTTTGTAGACCGTTTGAGAGTCTCACGTACTTTAATTTCGGTTCTATTTCGTCCTCTGAACTTTCAGTATCGCTTGTGTAGTCCTAAAACGTTCAAAATATTTGGTTCTTTTGGGAAAGTGGATCCTAACCTTACAAATTTGATTGGATCGTTTGTGTTAACTAGGAATTCCAATAAAAGGTGCTGCTCACATTTAGGTTGTTCTCAGACATTTTTTGATTCAGGACAATGCCTGAATGTTATCATTTTTTGAACAATAAACTTGTTATTTGTTATGATGATTGATGAATCATAAAATATTGACATTTAATCACTTGACATTTTTGACATTCTTCTTCTCATCATTTTGCGATATATAAATGACCTTTGCTGTTTGGGCTATCCGCCTAAATTTCTCCTAAACTTTCAATGGTGCTACGATCTTAGATCATGTATGGCAGAAGTTTGATTCTCGAACTTAAATAAAGAAGAGCATAAAATATACACAGTGCCCAAGATAAGGAGGCCAGTAGATTTGGTTTATAGGAGAAAAGTTGCGCGAGTGAAGGACCAATGAAATGACTTTCAAAAATCTGATATATATGACTGTTGATGGTTTTTGAGTTACTTATTTCCAAAAAACTAGCTGAGTTTCCGGATTATCAATTTTATTTTTTTCTGGCGTTAATAATGGAGTTTTGAAAACAGAAAAACATCTGCATGACAACTGTTGATGCTATTCAATGGAATTTTTGTTGAAACTAAAAAAATGGCTGCTCCAAGATGGCGGACAAGATTTGGTCCGATTCCATTCGAAATTGGTAAGTGGGGGTTTTTGATGTCGGAGATCATGATTTTTTTGTTAAAATTTATAAATTCAAGATGGCGGCTTCCAAATAATTTTTTGTTTTTGTTTAAATGACGATAACTCTGTTGTTATCAACACAAAACTATTTACTGCGACATATCATCTGTAAGAGAAAAAAAGTCATTTGTAACTAAGTCATAGTGAGCTATGACCTACATTTGAAAAACTGATGAAGTTGGTGCTGAATTCTAAAATTCTAGAAGAGTTGGTATAAATTTCATATTATTTTCATATCACTTTGAAAAACTGCCATGAGAATGTGAAATTCCTATTACGGAGGTAACAAGGTGACATGAAAATGATAAGAATCTGTTTTTTGCGTATAAAACAAAAACGAATAGATTTTATCAAAATATTTTTTCACATTATAGTTAGCCTTGGCAAACTCCACATTTGGTGTCATTTAACCGACCTCGTATCTCTCACCGTTAAAAAGATACCCATGGTGAGCATGGTAAGTGGGACACACTGTATATGTACGATGTACGTACATACATCGCATATATAGGTACCAATAAATGTAAGTACCTATCAATGTTGTTTTCTGTAAAGTGTTAGAAGTGTTTTATTTTCAACGATTATTATTTCACATCATTCATTTCTTGTTTATCAAAACCCTCATTTTTAAATATCATTTTAATATGTGTGTTCTTGTTTTTATACTTCACTGTCCTGAAGATGAAATAATGAAGTTTCGAAACGAATTCCCGCTCAGCACCAGAGATAATAATGTTTACATTCAGCCCTACCCAACTGGGTTTACCTCGGAAACCACTAATCATAAGGAGCCTATATAGCTTCAGGAGATGGGACTCGTTTGACCAAGGAAGGCATAAAAGACATACACCCCTCTGATGGCTTTACACCAGTCGACTCCACACTGCGTGAGGAATTGTTTTAATAAGTATCATTTTTAAAGAAATGATGAATAAATATATAAGATTTGAAGTCGATTTGTAACCAAGTGATAGCGGAAGACCAGGGTTCGAATCCCGTGGAGGTCGTATTTTTTTTTCATTTGAATGTATCGGCAGACATGATGGCCCAGATGACGGACAGAGTCTCCTATTGGTACTGGCCGTTACCACCGAATCGGTGGTAACGTACTGGCACAGAATAATTGTTGAGTATTCTGTGGCCCATCAATGTTCACAGGAATTTTTCCGTTCTGGCCAATTTTGGCTAGCGTATTCTGGGCCAGCATGAGGCCGACCAAAATTGTTTGCTGGGTATATGCTTATAGAAGGCAATGGCTGTCTATTTGAACATTGTGATAGTTTTGATGTTCAAAGAAGTGTTTGATCTGTGCATCTGATGTGCATTCACGTATTTTAAAATGCGTATATCGATGTTGATGTATTATTGTTGAATGTTAAATTTGATTGATAAACCTTTATTCACAGAATTATAAAGAATTCAGGTCCGTATATCATATAAAATAAGCTAGAAACGCATCAATAAACTACAATATATTATTATGTAAATCATCGAAATCATCCATATCTCAAAGTGGTCCAAAGTAATTTCAAAAGAGGACACAATAGCTCCAAAGTCGGTCGACCACACAGTATATAAAACAATCAAATACTACATGTAACCGGTTTCGGCACAACGGCCATCATCAGGCAAAACCGTACCTCTAAAATGATGAAATATGACAATACAATCAGAGGAAGGAAAAGAATCTTTAAAAACATAACGAAGTATAAAGCTAAGTAGTATTATGGAGAAACAAACATGACGGGCAAATCAAATCGTCAACGAGCTATCAGAGTCAGGCACATGTGGTTCTTTTTAAATTCAGTAAAGACACTACACTGTTTTACCACTAACCAAACCGATTTATTAACGCCTCGACACGTGTTTCGCTAACTATGTTAGCATCTTCAGGAGAAGATTTAAACTAAACTGTTTAGTTCCTCACTCTCCCATCTTTGTACATTTTTGAAACAGTATGTTTGATACATAAAAATAAATCAACATATGATACCATTGTTGGATCCACCCGTCAAAATAGCAATTTGAGGCTTCCTATTCCTTCTTCAAATTTGATAAAAAACTCATTAATATATAATGCTGTTAAGCTTTATAATCATCTTCCGTCCAGTGTTAAGGACATAGGATCAGTTGATTTTTTCAGACGTTCGGTGAAGTTGATTCTTGTAGAAGAGGCATTTTATGATATTCAGGAATATCTAAATCAAACTAGTAGATAGTAGTACTTCTCGTTCTTGATGACATATGTAATGTGTCTTGTCTATATATAGTTCGTTTCAGCTTGTTAGTTTATTCATATGTATATATTTGATTTTATGTGTACCTACTTTATATTTTTATATATGTAAAAATTTTTACGACTTTGTCAATGAGATATAAATCTTCGGACAATAAAGCATATTTTGATTGATTGATTGATTGATCGTGCCAAAGGTTCCAGTCTTCGATATATTCAGTAAAGAGCCAGAAAAAACTGGCTCTGATAAGATTGAACATCTTATCGAGTATTGAAAGGTTTTTTTTGCAATATATGTCGTCGGAAAGGGCTATTCGAATCTGATGTCGAAATTTCAGGACCGTATTTGAAAAAATGGTGATGGTTGATGATGGTTGTTCAAAGACGGTAAGTTGGATCAGAAAATCGATGAGGCCATAGATGAAACAAACTCGCCAATAATTTGCCAGTTTTGTCATAACTTCATTGAGGAAATAATAAAAGTGAGAATCATGAAATTCAGTTTTTTGGAAATAACTAAAAAACTATTGGTCATATCAGAGATTTTTGAAAGTCATTTTGATGGTTCTCATTTAACCAAATCGCTGTATCTCTCGTATTTTGAATTGACTCGGCTGTTACTTGATGAAAATCCATAGCAAACGTAAAAACTGAAAACTGGAACGTAAAATCAGGTGAAATACTATATAAAAAAGTAGATTTTCATACTGGCCCTCCTTATCTTGGGCACAGTGTATAAATCATATCGAATTCAACAGAAATGAAACAACATTCGCAATGATGCACTTGTTTTCTTCACCCCATCCATCACAACATCAGGGCGAGTCATCTGTATTAATATCGAAACCCTCGGTCTGATTAAAATATTGCGGACATATGGAATTTGCCTCGATATTGTTTTCAATGCGAAGGGGATAAGCCCCCATTGATCCTATTACACGGTATAACGCTCTTAATTTAACAAATCGGGGGTTCAGTTGTCAAAATAAATACTTCGATGCTGAATGGATTACCACGAGCACGGTCCTTGCGTTTTTTTTTTGAAAATATGCTTCATTTTCAATTCATGTACAGTAGTCAACATTACAAAATAGTATATTGTTTTATTAGGATCAAAAGTGACACTTTGCTTGACAAGCGAATTTTGCATTTGCGAGGCTGAGAGGAAACAAAATATGATCCGAATGAAACATGCTATTTTTTATGTGAAGTAACCACCAATGCCGTGCCATATGTATGCAATGCAACAAATATGTAATCCGTGTGTTGAGAATATTCTACCTGCATGAACAGATCAGGTTTATTCAATTTTCAAGGATGTTCGAATTGTAGTTTGAATATGAATACAACAACAGAGTGACCCATTTGTGTATGGGCCAGGTGTAAGTCCTAATAGCAAATACCTTTCCAATGCCAGGTATAGGAAAAAGACGTGGAAAATGTTAGGTTAGTGAGCATATCAACAATGATAACAGCGATTATTTATTTCTCTCCATACTCCAATGTGTTTGGCTCGGTAATTATATGGAGGTAAACAATATCGTTGTGTGAGACAAAAAACTATTGCTGGCCGTGATATTATTAATAAACAAGTTAATTATCCCGAAAATAACGAATGAATAAATTTAACAGATATACAGCGTGTAAGGAATATTCATATAATATGAAAGAAGCAAATTTCGACTATCGATATTCTGTGGACTCCTGGGATAAAAACGAGTTGGTAGAAGGCGTTGAAGTTTTTTTTGAAAAAAATAATTCAGCTCAAAAAAAGAGTAGGCTGGGATCGATTTTCATAATTTTTGGCATGGCATGTTCTGTGACTGCATGTAAGTCACGTTTCGAGATATTTTTGATCATCATCAGTGACCTGGAAACAACCATATGTAGCGTACAAATTTGGTGATAACTTATCAGACTGGAAACTTCCAGTTTTTTTTCCAGAAAGATATTCCCTTTAGAAATGTTTTTAGTATCGTGATAATATTTGATAAGTCACGTGGTTCATGTGCAAATAAATAATTTATGATATATAATGCACCCTGCGCATTTTTCAAAGTTAATCTCATTAGTCGGACTGTTTATTGATCATGGCTACAATGTATTTTTATTGTGAACAAACTGATATGTTGCTGGTCCTCGCGGGCATTACAAGAAATCTCGCGTTACAAATTAAGCGATACCTATTCAGGACCTAAGGTGAGCACTTTAACGCCTCGTACCAACTCAACGAAACGATTTTGGATATAGGTAAGTTGGCTAAAATCAACTTATTTCCATCCCAGGAATATACAGTCAAGCCATGTCCCAACCAGATTATTAAAAAAAAATGCATAAGATCAGATCAGAAATTATTGATTAGCAAATGAACCTCGAGATTTATCAAAAATTAACAAGATACGAAAAATATTTATGATGGGAATATCTTTCTGGGGAAAAAAGACTGGAAGTTTCCAGACCGACCTCTGAAAAGATATCACTAAATTTGTACGGCAACATGGTTGTTTGAAACACTTGCAGGTCACTGATGATGATCAAAAACATCTCAAAACGTGACTTACTATCACAGAACATGCCAAGCCAAAAATTATGAAAATCGATCTCAGCCTACTCTTTTTATGAGCAAAATTATTTTTTTACAAAAAAACTTCAACGCCTTGTACCAACTCAACTTGTTTTTATCCCGGGAGTCCACAGCCGAGCCATGTCCCAACCTTTTACAGACACCCTGTATATATGATAGCAAAATGAAATAGTTAATTGATAACTGTTGGCTCTCTTGCTCATTTTTGTATTCAAGGATCTTGAGATGAAATATGGAACATAAGTTGAAAGAGTCGTCAGGCAACATTCTCACTACACCTCGTTTAAAACTAAAAATAGGTACCTAACTGGATCGAGTTCCTAGGAGGTTTAAACGACAATCTGACCTCTTTGATTTTTCATTTTGCATACAAATATCGAAATGAAAAATATCACCCTGTACGAATAAGTAGAAAACGAGACAGTAATAGAGAGCATCCCCTTCGTTATAGAAATATTAACTGCGACACGTGCCTAACTAGCGCGACATTTCGGAGGGTAGTAGATTTAATATTAGCTAATACGGCCTGTCCAAAACAAATCGAGATTGTTGAGGGGTGAAAAAGCCCAGATATGAAGAAAGAATAATAATAATTTATACAGCATATTCGCGGATTTGTGAAAAAGCGGAAAATTGTGATTGATGGCTTTATGTAGAATCATGATAAAATATGAGATATATCAGCAGGATCAGGAATAGGAAGCGTAAGCAGTTATTTCAATTGTTTCCTTCTCCGCAGTAGAGTATTTCGAATCATTGTTGAATGATTTCCCATGTTATACATCATGAAAGTTTACTTATATTGAAGTTTCAGTAGAAATTTGAAGAATAGGTATCCTTATTCAAAATTACATCAAATAAGTTCAATTTTTCCTGTATAGATGAACTGATGATAGTCGCCTATTTCTATAAAAAGATTTTATTGTGTATTGTGAATACACTGCTGCGACCTAAAATATCTATTATGCCCTCTTCTTATGTTATACCCGATGAGGATAAGGATATGAAGTAGTTCCAGGTATGGTAGATGATGTATACCTACTCCTAAAGGTTTCTTGCCCTATAAGGTGACACATAGTATGTGGATATAAGTTTACTCCTTCTCCCCACAGAACCTGCATTCGTCTATCGTCTTTCTCTCCTAATAAGCCAAGCTTCCTGAGATGTCCTTCTAACCGACAGTGCCCTGATATTAGGTCTTCCTCAGAGTCTCACAACTTGTGATTACGGGAATGGTGAACCCAAGGTACCCTAGCTGGATATTCACCAAACTTCAATACTTGTCTTATCCTCTTTTCTCTCCCTTTTCCAATTTTTCCTATCGGTCTTCCTTGGCCAACTTTTTTACTCTCATCCTCCAAGCCAAACCTCACCATCAAGTGATGTGGGAATAACAGACTGCAGCCGCACGACAGATGAAGCATTTTGGGACCATCTTTGCCATCTCCGGGCCAGATGGGACAACTATTTGTGGATATCTGTGGTGGAGATGGGGCGATTTCCTGATATTAGGTGGCCAAGGACTGGTCAATGGGTCTCTGGCAACCTAATTCAAGCTGTGGGAACCCGTGGCGATGGATGAATGGCACCGAGGATGGTGTCGCTAAGGGGGCCTCTGGGAAACAGAGCAACATCTCAGAGCAAACATCAGCCTTAGACCTGTGCAGGGAGCATCACAGGAATTGACCAACTCCTTCTCCCGTCACTGGTAGGAGAATGAAGACTTTTGGCCTTCTTCGTAGACGAGAACAGGGATCGGAAGAGTAATCTCCAGGAACCTGAACGAAAAGAGAGAGGCCCTTGATGATGAGCACGATGAGTCGTATATGGTAAAATTAATAACGGCAAGATACAATAATGGGCCACTAGGCCTAAGTGTCGGTCTAATGTATGTACGCTGGAAACACCAGTCAGACGAGCCTACCAATCGGGTGGAGTGTTTAGTGGGTAAACCCTGGAGTCAGGGGACTCACACACTATCAAATGGTGGATTAGACCCAAATGATGTCCATAAAGGATTTCAACGATTTCGACCAACTCGACGAGAAACAAAAAAAAAGATCTCCCGTTGGTATACGGAGTTTATTCTTCCTTTTAGGCGGACATATGCGTACGATCTCTTGATGTGGTTATCATCAATATAGCTAGCTCGTTCAATTTTTCTTGGAATTCGCAAACCTTTTTAGATCACGGTTGCTTGACTATCGGACATCATACTATTTCGTCTTCCCTCAGCTTTTTTTTAGATTGAGCTGTACTGTACACATTTCCCTATGGCGTGAACTTCCGCCTGGAATATGCTTGGGAATTTGCTGAGGCTTTCGAAGTAGGTAACTGGTATACGAGGCTCGTAGACTCCTATTCCAGTTCCAGCATCGGTTTTGGAGCACAATACCCATGGATTCAGTGTTTCATTCTTTTTGCAGCTCATCAGAGCCTTATGGTAAATTGTTCTGTATAGGTACTTTCTCTTTATCTCATCCTGTGGAAAATCCTGGATATCATTATATGCTCGTTGAGTGGCCTGCCTTAGATCACTCCTTCACTATAATCATTCTGTATATGACGTTCTCTTTGCCGCATTCTCCACAACCAAATGTAGAGGATAGTGAGGTCTAGAATCATCTCCATTCTGGTAATGGGGTACTTTTCCATTGCATCGGTAATACATATATACACAAAGGGTATACCTGCTAGTCTTTGAACTTTCGTTCCAGAGATAAAAAAAAATTATATAGTTCTGTCTCCCCATCAGACCACCGTTTCATATAGTACCTATGTGCATGATGATAGGTCACACTTTGCTGTGTAACAACATCCAGCTCTGAGGACTTTTTTCCTTTATGAAAACATGCATCCGAACAGAATTTGAATATTATTTTTGCATGTTGGCGAGAGTCATTTTTGAGCACTACATTGATTTCTATTGTTTTACACAAGTGTTTTTCAAATTGAGGCTGCAAATTCATCAAAAATCCATGGAATAAGAAGTTGATACAGTTGATAAACAATTCATATCGTACGGAGAATAATTTGGGAGATTTTTATGGAATTTGAATAAAATAAGTAACAATTCTTGTGATTCAAAGATCCAACTCAGACGATAGGATGAAACATATTGCTATGTCGAAACTGACTTCACTCTGAGGGACTGATATTGGTGATATTCCGTTTTCGCAATTCCCAAATATCCAAAAATCTTTACCACGATCTAGATAAAGTCAATAATCCGCTAACATGCGAAAACCATCCCTAACGAAAATATCCACAAGGCCTCAAACCCCATATCACCTATGGCAACATGCTGCTACCCTCCCATTGGCGCATCCCCGTCATAAAACCACCCTACGACCCTGCGTGCGTCCAATAAACGCCCGCCTAATTTCCACCCTTTGAATCGAGGGTGGTTAGGACGTGTTCAGAACAGATTTGCAAAAAAAAACTTCGATTTTGTCCAGGGATTAACGTCCAGTCGCTCTTCTGATTTCGAGTGTAGACGTTCAGAGAGTATACGGGGTGTTTTATTTTTGACGGGTGTCAAATTAAAGTAGTTGGGAATGAAAATGTCATTTCCTAACGACCGCGGTCCTTGGGACGCCAGTAACGTAAGTAATAGCTATTTATATATCAAGGAAGGAAAGGTATCCATTTCCCCCCAGTCAGATGAAAGTCTAATGAAATATTGAATTATTCGACTAGAAGATGGAAATTACGACCCTTGAGGTGTTTAGGAGGTGCTGAGAACAAAAAACAATAGTTATTTATTATACAAGGGAAAAAAGTTGTAGATTTTAGCTCCAGGTTGTGTTGTGTCCCGACGCGTAGCGGAGGGACACAAAAAACCGTGAGCTAAAATCTAATATTTTTCCTGTGTATAATACACTATTTTTTTCTGTGACAGAAGAAAGGACGAATCAATATTGAGATTGAGAATCTTTGATATTACATTATTTTCAAATCTGAAAATTATCGACGTGAAATTTCAAGTTTTTAACAGTAGGGACACGGGACACCTGCGTTATAGGCATCTTTATCATTCTTTTGAAGTAATCAAATATCTGATGTCACTTCTGTCAGTCGAATTCTGTGATTTGATTTCAAAAAATTGCGAATTTAGTGGTTGTTTAGTAATATACGTAACCGCGAAGTCGAATGGAAGATAGAAGGACTTGCAGTTCTTTCTTGGACACGGTATTATTGACTCATTTTTCGGAACTATAGCACAACGAAAGCCATCAACAGTGTATATATATATGTGATATATATCCGGGAAAAAAGTAATTTATGAAAAGTGACATTTTATAACCCGCCAACAGGGATGAAATGCCAAACTTTTTTCCCGTGACAGAAAAAATAAATATTCTGACTTGAGCAGTCAGATGAAAGTCTAATAAAATATTGAATAATTCGACTAGAAGATGGAAATGACGACCCTTGAGATGTTTAGGAGGTGCTGAGAAGAAAATACAAAAAAAAATTGATTTTGTCCTGGGTTTACCGTCCAATTGCTCTTCTGATTTCGAGTGTGGACGTTGTGAGAATATACAAGGTTTTTTATTTTTGAAGGGTGGCAAATTAAAGTACTTGGGAATGGAAATGTTATTTTCTAATGACCACGCCACGCCACTAACGTAAATAAAAAAAAATATTTTGACATGTAATTTAACACTTTTCAAAGCCGACGGAAGTTATAAAACGTTTTATTTTACGCAACCAGTTGCGTAACGTGAAATATTTTACCTAAATATGTTCATTTCAACACTAGTTACGAAATAAAAATATGGATGGGCGACGAGAATAGAACAATTTGTGCTGCTTTCACGATATCACTTGGGAAATCTGAATTTGAATCAGCATTTTTCTACTAATGAAGATATCAAACGAATCTATTCGTCGCTGATTTTTGACCATATTCTTGTTTGACGGATACTCCAAAGTGACGGGCGAAGTCAACTTGCCTACTATAATTTGTACATAATCGGTAGAACTCAGAACTGGTCATTAATTCTGTTGAAGCAATTCTGTTGAAGCAGCGAAAATTTTTCATCAAAATTAGAAAAATCCCATCGGTATACTAAAAATGGCGCGTTCCCTATTTGGTTGCGTGAATATCTATTTCGAGTCTCTATATATAATCCATTATTCTCATAACCTGATAGAAACCATATGAATAATATAAAATATACAGTCTCGATAAAAGTCACAATACAATTTACAATTCTCTCAAATTGTTTTTCAGGGTCCGGATTTTCCTCCGGGTTATCACCCGGACCTTAACGGATATCCCGGAATTTGGGATCCCCACCATTGTTTGAGTGGGCAGAATGGGGGATTGACCGGTTATCCAGAGATATTGACAGCTTTCAATTCGGATTTGGGTAAGTGTGTGACACAAATTGAATTTGATTTGCCATTTGGCAAAATAGTCTGATAGTATGTCAGTTATTCATTATATCCTGTATTATAATATATATAAAATGTATTCGAACATTTACAACGGCATATCATTCATCTTTTCTAAAATGACGTATTGATTTCGATACTTCTATAATATTTGGTATGATCCTGTCTCTCAATTTATTTTCAAAATTTCTTAAGGAAGATTTACTGCAAATTAGTATTCACATTTTTTCAGGAATTTCCAGGAAAAAACTCGAGAATTACAAAACCTTTTTACTGAATTGGTATAACTTTCCTGATGGTGTTAATAAATAATGTAAATTCCAAGTATTTCCTAGTTAGTTCTCTTGGAATCATTATTTTTCCCAATTCGATGATCCTTTTTAAATTAACTCTATTTTTCTTTATTTCAATGTTTTCTCATTATTGAATGAATTGATTCATTGTTTTCAGTTTGAGTATTTATATTGTGGAAAAACAATTTTATACGTGGATTAATTCATCTCTTTCACACACAGGTCACTAAACTATGTGTGATACAACATCTTGAAATATATATACACGTAATTGATATTCGAAGACAAAATGTAGATTTTACTTGATTCAATGAATGGATAAATAAATGAATAATAATTGTACAGGGTAAGTATTTCATAAGAAGAATCTAAAATGGCGTATTTTTCCTAAATTCCAATTGATTTCAACCAAATTGAAGTGAAGTGCTTTTTGTGCTGCTTCCTCGATATCAAACCAGTCTATTTCGTGAATATCGTAGAATTTGTAGAACTGGTCATTATTTTTATTGTTCAAGCTAATTATTTTGTCGAAATTGAAAAAAAAGTTTACATAACTATAGTTAGGAAACGCATTTAGTGTAACTCTATGTTACATAAAATTAGGTACGCGTTTTTTCTCTAACTGGTCACGTAAATATCTATTTCCACACCTCCTCAATTAACTAGACTAGTGGTTCTTAACCTCTTGGTGATGAGGGACTATTTTAAAATTGTTTGTCTAACCATGGACCGCATACTTACTGTTTGGAGGTACATATACATTGAAAAAACATTAAACAAACGGAAATTTAACATTACGAAGACATTATATGGGCATACCTCACTGTGATTTTTGTGATATACTCCTCAAGAATCCCTGCTCGCATAGGTATGTTGATGAAAACAAAGTTAGGTAACGCGAATACCAATTTCTGGAATGTATGCAAAAGAAATGTATCTTTCAAGCTTTTATCGTGTTGCATTTCAATCACTTTATGTTGAATTCCATCAGGCACCTCAGAAACATTGACAATGAATGGATTGCGGATCAGTAATTTGATGCAGCTTATCAAACACAAAAAAATATATTTTTCTAATGATTCATAGTTCGATTTAAGGGATAATTGCAACGATTTTATCTGTATGTACTCAATTTTTTAATACTGAATAATACACAAAATCAATTTATTTAGTTGTGCGAAAAAAATCAACCTCATAGGCAAATCTTATTTCGAATTGGGAATCGCAGAACTGTCAGTAGTGTCAATTGAGAATGTTTGTACGTTCCTCTTTTTTCTCTTTTTGGCTCTCATCTCGGTTAAGAACCACTGATCTAGTCAGTGGAGTGTGGAGTAGAAAAAACTTCTAAATTATTTTTTAGTATGGCAGAGACAACAGTGCGGAGTGTTGGTACCGAACCGATTGGGGAGAAACAGCACCCCGCACGGGGTACAACAGACGAAAAAGGCCAGAAGGAGGGTGGCCACCATTGCCCAAAGGAGGGCGGCCAACATCCGAGAAAGACGCAGGATGTTCAATTTGAATGAGGCTTTCGACAAATTGAGACGCAAAGTAAGAACAATCATCTATCGAAAAATTTGGAAACGATCCCAGCGAGCACAAACATCCCTGGGATGTTTTGGGATGTTTTGAAAATGTTGGCATGAAGATGTTATTTTGAGACGTAATATGCACTGACCAAAGAGGTCTTTGAAGGATATTGAAGTATTGTTTTTGTTCTTCTGTGGCATTTCTTTGTTTGCCTACTGAGAGGTATCCATGGGATGTTTTGGGATGTTTTAGAAATGTAGGCATGAGGATATTTTTTTGAGGCGTAATATGCACTTCCCAAAGAGGTCTTAGGAGGATATTGAAAGTATTGTTTTTGTTCTTTTGTGCCCTTTTTTTGTTTGCCCCACCACAACGTCTCATGCTTACGTCACAATACGATGAATTCTTATTTGTTTTCGATTTTGTTCTTCTTGTTCGCAATTGGCATTCGCGTTTGCAGCGTGTCACGCTTACATCACGCTGCTAACGAACAGAAAGGAATTTGGTGAAGTTTATTGTGTTAGAAGACTTATTTAGTTTGTAATAATGACCATCATATGTAAGATGTATTGTTCGGCGCCTCAGTGTAATCAATATATAAAAGTACGAATTCATCAATACACAGCTTCTCCGCAGTTGCAAAATTATGCATTGTGGAGAACATTCCAAAAATTGGGAAACCTGTTTCCAATTATATGTCTGTGTGTAGTAAGCACTACTCAGAAACCGATTAAGAAGGTAATTTCATATCAAGAAAATATTTTTATGTTCAATCTATTTTTATTCAAGGGAAATGGAATCCTAATGCATCAAAAGTTCATTTTGACAAAAGGCTTCAGAAAAGTACCTCGAAATTTTTTTTACAGCGATTTAATGTGCGCAAGACGCGTTGAAAATGTTCTGTTGTGTCCATGAAAAGGCTTTAAAAAGAACTAGGGAGAAGTTAGTTTTGTGACATATCAAGGACATCTCGATAATTGTTGCCTGCGGCGGACATTAGCTGTTCTATAATAGTTCTATTCATGTGAATCATGTGTGAACAGAACATCGCAGTGGAGGTTCAATGTCTCGAAATCTCGTACTTCTAACATCTCTGAGATGTTTTTGTGCTCGCTGGGATACAGGATTTCAATTTTGGATGTATGACAATTATTGATATTCATCGTACAGGACGCGGAAAGAAATTCTGAATTGAGAAAACCTAATCACGAATCTGCGATTGAAGTTTTGAAAATAACAAGTTTCTATCGTTCAAGTTTGAACCCCTTGACTGGGTGAAAGAATTGATATTTTCATCACATAGAGAATGCGAATTCTCAATGTATTTCTTTATATATACAGGGTGATCCACGGTGGATGGCCTATTAGAAGTATCTGGAGAACGAAAGGACAGAACATTCTGAAAATTGGGATGCTTTGATAATTGAACATTCTCTATCCGTCTAAAATATTTTCATCGATACAGTGTGTCCACTTCTATCAGAAACAACTAGCAACTTTGTTATTTCAAATGAAACACACTGTATTTTATTGCATTTTTAGATTCTTCATGAAGAGCTAATTTTATCAATGTATCACCACACTTGGGGTCTAGCAGGAATGATTACAGAGATATAGGGTGTTCAAAATCGAGATTTTTCAATTTCAGGATTTTTTTGTGTCGAAACTATTCATTATCGATCAAAACGGCTTACATGTCCCTATCTTAACATCCAATTCACTATCAACTGACATTCAATTGGAACATATACAGGATGAACAGAATTCTGAATCTTGAAGCACCCTCTAGCCCTCTGCATTATATTCAATCGTCTAAATAAGGCCGTTTCAGCCATAGACTATTTTTTCAACCACCAAGTATATCAAAACGAAATTTGGGAGGCTCAAATAGGCAATAAAAGTCAAATTTTTATGAAAAAATTACAGCTTAAACATTCGAAATCGCGGCTGAGCACCATAATGAATTTTTTTAAGGAACGTCCAGCATTTTGTTCCATTTTTTGAAACTCTCAATTCTCAACTCAATAGTTTTACCTGATACACTTTACTCCTAATAAGTATACCTTAAGGTACATTTTGGCCATTTCAAACCCAACCAAAATCTCAAATGTTGCTTTGTTGCTTTCAATCATGTTGAATTTGACAGTAAACAAAGATGTCACCGCGACAACAATTTTTTTCCAAAGCAAACTTTGATTGTTTTTGATTGGGATCTGAAATGACCAAGATGTCACTTCTCAAACGTAAATATTTCGAAATAAATTATAGAATTTAAAGCCGACAAGAATGAAGAGAGAAAATTTCCAAATTGGATACCTATACCTAATAATGAAACAATGTACAATGATACAGGGGGAAATTGAAAATTTGCCGATTTCGATTTTATTTTCTGACTACTTTACGGTGAGAGGTATCATAAAATTCCAAACGTATATTTATACAGTATGATGCGTGGAATCCATTGGCATCATCAGAAATTTTATACAGGGTGACGTTGAAAAGATACGGCAGCCAATTATGTTTTTTCTAATGGAACACCCCGTATATTTTGGCACAGTTAAATAGTCCCAGGCGTTCTCATTACAAATATATATATAACCCTACCTTTTCCTTCCACAATTTCAGATATATTCGCAAAAATATATTCAGTGTGTCACATTTCTTATGGTTACACCCCCGTATCTTCTGTATCTGGAATTTGGACATCTTCTATAAGGCTATATTTTTCAACGCAACCTACTGATTTCATAATTGAGTAAATTATTGGTCTTATTTCTGTATCTCAAATGTCTTGATAACAATGATATCAAATCGAATAATTTCCCATTTTATTTCTCACCAAATATCCATTTGTCTGGAAATAACATTCCCTATGATATTCATTTTCCACCTTTGGTGAATATATACAGAGTGTCATTTTCAACCTCGATTCTGCCTGTTGATAGCGTTATCCAGAAATATCGATGATTCCATAGCTGCTGGCGAGCAGTGTTATCATTGGAGATGATCCCACTTGGTCCATGACTCCAAGTATCATTTATTGTATCTTTCTGACAGTTGCGAATTTCTGAATCCTACCTCAATTATTTTTACAGAAGATACGGGGGTGTAACCATAAGAAATGTGACACACTGAATATATTGTTGCGAATATATCTGAAATTGTGGAAGGAAAAGGTGGGGTTATATATATATTTGTAATGAGAACGCCTGGGACTATTCAACTGTGCCAAAATATACGGGGTGTTCCATTAGAAAAAACATCTATCTTTTCAACGTCACCCTGTATAAAATTTCTGATGATGCCAATGGATTCCACGCATCATACTGTATAAATATACGTTTGAAATTTTTTGATACCTCTGACCGTGAAGTAGTCAGAAAATAAAATCGAAATCGGCAAATTTTCAATTTCTCCCTGTATCTCTAAAACGAATGAAGATATCGAAATTTTGATTGTGCCATTCGAGGTTTCTCCAAAATCGAACCCGGAACATGTATATCGGTTTTTCGATAACTCCTCTAGTTATTGAGATAGACGGCGAAAACGCCCAATTTTGCCCACCCTGTACAGGAGAGTGTCCCATTTGAAAAAAATCATTCAAGATATGGCGCTCAGCCGCTATTTCAGAACTACAAGCATCAGTCAGTTTTAAGACCTAATGTCGATTATTATCTACTTGAAGTTTTGTTTTTTTCGCAATGAAAGCAGGATACTTCTTATTCAAGTCCTCTGCAATTCAGTTTAGTTAAGAAATTAATCGACATGGTATAATACGGCCCCTTTTTCTCCTTTGCTTTTCTAGCTATATTTCTGAAATTTGGAACATCGGATCGAATATACTCACTATATAGTGATGAAACTTTCTCACATTTCAGAATTTTTTTCCGGTTTTCCTGGAAATGCTATCAAAACTTTCGAAATTCAAATGTAACACCCTGATGTATTTCATTTCATAATATATTTTTTCGCCTGATGGTGCGCACGAAAGGGAATCTTTATATAATACTTCCTCAGGCAATGATGAATTCCAGAGCTTCCCCGTTATATGAAGAGAAACAATAAGTTTTGAAATAGTGCTGTTCGACATACTTCGAAGTTGACAACAAAAGGATGTGCTGACTGCGCTTATTGATTGAAAAAAAGAGTGGAATAGTCTTACGAATACAACTCGTGATGCAATTTTTTCTGTAAATATTCGTCTATTGACATACTTCAGCTTGCTGCTTCAATTTCGCTCGAAAGTTTTGATAAACGATGTTATTCGCGAAATTGTTAGACAATTAATAAGAAGCTGTCGTAACAATCGCCCAATAATATTTCCGGCAAAATAGTCGTATCGCTTGTGGTAGGTATTAAATATGCGACAATACCACCAACCATAATAGGTAAAGATCTATATGTATATACTTATACTTATCTGTAATTCTTTCTAGGTGCCAACTTTCGCTTACGAAAAACGACTCTCCCGCATAGAAACGCTCCGATTGGCCATCACCTACATCAGCTTCATGTCCGAGCTGCTGCATACGAAAGCACCCTGGTGTCACGCACACTTTTCTTTTTTTGGAAACTCATTATAATGACTTTTTTCTCATTATAATGAGTTTTTTCCCATTATAATGACTTTTTTCTCATTATAATGAGTTTTTTCTCATTAAAATGAATTTTTTCTCATTATAATGACTTTTTTCTCATTATAATGAGTTTTTTCTCATTATAATAACTTTTTTCTCATTATATTGACTTTTTTCTCATTATAATGACTTTTTTCTCATTATATAGGTATATTGACTTTATTATTATTCGCCTTTATATTATCTGTGTAAACATGATTTCTTTGGTTTAGATTATCATTATTAATTAGATTTCTTATGATTTATATCAAAATGGATGTGGTGGCCAATTATATTGCATACTACTTTTTATTGGGTCTTAGTTGCGAAGAAATTATGGCTTTCCTGACGGTATATCATAAACAGTGTATAAGTTTATCAACAGTTAAACGAATATTGAAGATAATGGGCCTCTACAGAAAGAAATATTTTACTCCCTTACCAGAAGTTTTGAATTTTATAGCCGAACAAGTTGAGAAGTACGGACAGTTACACGGCTATCAGAGATTATCTCTGCGGCTATCGATGGATGCATTTGAAATGCATCCAGCAAGGATTTGTAATTACGAATAGAAGTGTGAGAATTATATTGAAAGAATTGGACCCTATTGGTGTTAGTCTTAGAAGCAGGAGAAGACTCCGAAGAAAGAAAGTAAATTCATTATAATGAGAAAAAACTCATTTTCATGAGAAAAAACTCATTATAATGAAAAAAAAGTCAATATAATGAAAAAAAAGTCAATATAATGAGAAAAAACTCATTATAATGAGAAAAAAGTCATTATAATGAGTTTTCAAAAAAAGAAAAATGTGCGTGACACCAGGGTGCTTTCGTAGCTGCACGGTCAATCTACCGACCATAAGAACTCAGACGCGTACCCCCTGCGAGAGTACATCCCCTATCATCCCCTGATGAACTGAAGTCGATCGTCGACCAATATAATGTTAACATCAACATCTAGTTCGTTTTGTTCTGATATCAATCGATTTTTTGTTGAATTCTCGACAATTCGGATTTTACTATTTATATGTGCCCGTGAAAGCTTTTAATTCTTATTTATTTTTATCTGTGATACATTGTTTCTTAGCTTATTTATAATATCATCCATTATCTAATCGAACATGTTTCATTAAGATCCATAGAAACCATAAAGTTCTATAAATATAGGTAAATATAGGTGTAAGTATGGTAAATTCAAATTGTACTTCCAAAATGTCTTCCATTTCATGTAAATTTACACCAATGAATAAAAACTATTCACTTGATAATTAGTATATAGGTATTCATTATAGTGTGTTGGGGTTTCCTTTTGAATACGAATACAATCAAAATTAATATCTGTGACGAAAGAATCCGGCGTTCTCGAAAACGTTAAAGAAGAATATCTGCTGCCTCGCAGCCATCCCGCAGCTTGCAAGAATTTAATACTACCCGAACCGTATCACCGTGCCATAAGAATACGATGCAACAAATAATCCAGAAATTAGGTAATCAATTATTATGCCGGCCTGAATAAATGTTTCATACATATAAGTTCACAAGAAACACAATATGACAATCAGTTGGTAGCGTGTACCTGCTTGATATTGGTATATCATGATCTAGAGGTCGATTCTGGGCTTGGCTGACGGGTATACGTAGAGAGCGCAGAACCTGCTGCGACAGACAGTGTAAGAGTGATTCGCTATTCCAATTATATGTTTTTTCAAGAGATTTTCTATATCTCTTCCGCATGGATTATTCGTTGCGCCCTGACTCTATATTGCAGGTTTCAAGTTGTATTGAGTACATACGCCCAGCTTCCACATCGCATCATTTTGAATGAGGTGTCCCGTTTTCTGTTTGTATTTGTCATTAATCCAACACCGATGACGTAGCATCTCAATTAAAATTCAAGTGTTTTCGGATTTTTTGGATCGTGGACTATTTTTGAAATAATGAATTTATTCCATACATATTTGCATCATACTGTATATCAGAGGGCTGTATCAAAATAAGCCTTTAGTGACTGGATAGCAAAGAAATCTATGGACAATCCAACTGAAAAAAAGAAGAAGAAGCGAGCTCTTGGCTCAAAGAGAAAAGAAGTTGAATAGAGACATCCTCAGTTCACTGAAATTAGCCGGACAGCCTAAACAAGAAAGTTTCAGAAATCAGAAACACAATTATGAATATTAATTTAATTAGCGAATATTTGATATAAAAAAAAATAGAACTCCATCCTTAATCCATTCGTGTTTTCAAATTCTTGATAGTAACCTTATCCTTTTCTCTGAAAAAAAAAAAAAAAATTGTTGATCAAACACATTTCCATTCCAAACTGTCATCATACTCACATTATATAAACAGTGGCCCCCCATCCAGAAATAGCGTCCCTATCGAAGGCATTGATCAAAGCCTGAGAGGTGGTCTCAAACAGATCCTCAGGCCCCAAATTGGGCTCCCAGAGAGCCTCACACATACCATAAAGCTGTGCAGAAGCTGTACCCCCAACAACAAAATCATTTGGAGGATTAATACACCCAATCAGATCCATATTGCAGATGTAGGGCTCGTAGGTCTTGGGCATGAGTCCTGCAACAACAGGCTCCACGAAAAACGGCCCAAATCGCTTTTCATAGAGCAAGTTTGAGAGCATAGCTGCAAATACTTTTGGTGACATCAGTCTATTTTCTTTGAGCTCGTACAGGTTTTTGCGAAATCTGAGCTTCTCCATTACTGTTTGCGTGTCGGTGGCCAGACCTGGCAGGCCCACGTACAGGTGGGGGCCCATCTGGAATACTTTTTCAAAGTTTGTGGCAATAGTTTGTGCTTGGATACCGAATCTTCTGTCTGTTGCTATCGAAACACAATTTTCTCCTTTCATAGCCACCATGGCACCCCCGTTGTACGCTAGGATGGACTGAAAAGGGTGAAAAAATGAAATAATTTGCTTAGTCACTAAACATAACCTCAAAATACTTGAAAAGTAATTATGAGCCTCTTGTGACTAAGGAACCAACTTACCATTTTTCAAAACTGCTTTGAATCTTTTTCAAATTGAGGAAACCAAATGTTCATGCAGTCTAAAATTTTCGAGAATTTCAATTATGGATTCTCTAAAAAACACTCCAAACTCCAACTATCCCACAGTCCAAACAATCACAAATTGATCAGTTAATCACAAAATTCGCAAAACAAAAGTCGGAACTGTCGGAACAAGTAAGACAAAACAACAGAATGTCAGTATGAAAGAAGTGCCTAAATCTTCCGAAACATTTCCATCACGTGATATGTTGAGATTTTTTTTTGATATTTTTCGGAATAAAACTGTGAAAGCTGTTTATCTGAGTTTGGTCAGGGAGTTTTATCAAAGAATAGTAGGTTTCCCCTCTCCTCTTTGGTTTTATTCTGGTCAGAGATGAGTTACCCACAGAACTTATCTCTGCTTTAACGCACGATTAACGTCAATTTCCATCAAGGAACTCCAGTTCGAGTAAGAACTGAAATATCCCAGGTTCTGTCACTAGCGTGAAAGTGGAATGTAGAGGTATGAGTCAGATGTGAGATGAGTGAGAAGACTAAGAACTAAGAAGAACATAACCAACTGACCAGTCATAACCTCAAACAACCTTAAAAATAAAAATAAAAACACATTTTGTTCTTCACTGAAGCAAGAAGCAAGCAGATTACTGAACATTATTTTTCAAAATGTCCATGTTGGCTGAAAGAAAAAGGAAGCAAAAGTGGTCACTCAATCCCCGTGGAAAAGAATGGTCTCAAGGTATGAAAACATCTGGGATAACTTATTACTCAAGTGTGCATTTTATATCCTTATATTGTTCAATTCCAGATACCAATAAATTTGGTCAGAAACTATTGGAAAAGATGGGTTGGCAAAACGGTAAAGGATTAGGTGCCAAAGAAGATGGGATAACTGAACACATCAAAGTATCCCACAAAATGGATTCCAAAGGTAGGTAACAGCATTTTCACTAAGCACCAAACTTCAGTTAATTGAATTCTGTTTTTCCAGGAATGGGGTACAAAGAAACAAATGATCAGTGGACAGAGCATGAAAGCAACTTCACAGCACTTCTATCAGCATTATCTGGAGATAAGACCAAAGAACCAGAAGAAATCCAATTGAATTCACTGGAGAAAAAGTCTCAAAACTCCAGAGCAAGGGTCCATTACCACAAGTTCACAAGGGGTAAAGATTTGAGTAGATATTCAGAAAAAGACTTAGCCAACATATTTGGCAAAAAGTCACTGAAAAGTGAAACCAAACAAGACAGTATTGAAGAAACTGAAAAAGCAGACATAGAATCTAGAGATTCAGGTTCTTACTTCAGTGGGGGCTCCATGAGAGATTATTTTAAAAAGAAATTACCAAACTTTGGTAAGATCAATGATTTCATTGTTGGCAATAATGGGGTGTTGAAAAAGGCAGAGCAGGATTCAGAATCAGAGAGTGAAATTAAACCAAGTTTTGGGTTTGGCTTCAAAAGTGATGATACAAATTCTTCATCAGCTACCACTAATCAAACCTCCTTTATTTCTTATATACAAGAAGATAAGAAAAGAAAAGCAGAAGAAAGCAACCAAGAAGTTTTTTCACCCACTAAAAAGCACAAGAAGGATAAAAAACAAAAAAACATTGATAATATGGGGCTATCAAATCCAGCTTTTGATCCATTGGCTAGTCCTACTAAAAGGACACAAAATCATGTTATAGATCCAATTGAAGAAAGTCTCAATGAAAATATCGCCAACAGTTATCAGTGCCCAGAAAGTGTAGAGATGTCTGAAAATTGTCAAGAAGAATTAACTAAGAAAAAAAAAGGAAAGGAAGAAATAAATGATATAAGCCCAAAGAAAAAGAGGAAAAACCACACAATTGAACATGATGTGATAAAAATTGAAGACCAAGACATACAAACAATAACAGAAGTCCAGAACAAATCAAAGAAAAAGAGGAAAAAACAAATGGAAATTGACCTAACTGAAGATCTAAATGAAGCATGCCTAAAAAATGAAAGAATCATTGACCCAAAATCCTTTGAGAGTAGGTCAGTTGATATCATAGATATAACAAATGAAACAAAAACCTCTAAAAAGAAAAAGAAGAAAAAAGAAAAATTGCTCTATGATAACCCCAGTTATCAAGTTCAAAACATATCCATAGAAGAATCATCAACAAATATTGTAGAAAATCCTTATGAGGTTAAACCATCAGATAAAAAGCATAAAAAGAAGAAAAAACTTATAGACAATGCAGATGATAATCATAGGATAAGCAAAATAAAGAAACCACAACAGACATTTGAAGTTGAGAATGCAGGCTTTAGTGACAGTGAAAATATGTCTGAAATCAGCTCACCAAAAGAAAACCCTTATGAGGTAGAAGTAAAAGGAAAGAAAAAGAAAAATTGCAAGAAACTTGCTATTGAGAACCCAAATTTTGATGACACAGAAGATAGTTCTACAACCAACCCCATCATTGAAGAGAACCCCTATGAGGTGAAACCAAAAAAAGAAAAAAAGAAGAAAAGTAAAACAGGAGCAGTGGAAAATCCCTGTTTCAATGATAGTATGGACTTGAGCAGCACTACTATTGAAAATCCATATGAAGTCAAGACCAAGAAAAGCAAAGAATCAAAAAGGAAAGTTGTTTCTACCCAACAGGAAACTCCAAATCAGGAAAAAGAAATTGAGGGTATTGTCAATCCAGTGATGAATTTAGAAACAAACAATGATTCAATCATTCTAGAAGAATGTGACCTTATGTTGAATATAGTCTCTACCCCAATCATAAATCCCAATAAAACTCCAAACACAAACAGTGTCACTAGAGTAAAAAACTTGTCAAGCAGAAAAAGTGTCAGATTCAGCAACATAACTCAAGAATTGATCATTCCCAATAATGATGATTTGCGAGAAATGTATAATAATGAAGACTCTGAACCAAAAAACTTGAATTCCATATCCAAAACATTGGATAACTACCAAGCAGAAATGGAAAACGATATTAATGAAGAAAAAATCAAGACTGTGTCTATGGAAGACATCATGGTAGGAGAAGTGGGCAACCCACATGGAGAAAATGAGAAACTATCAGAGGGTACAAAATTGAAGTTCAAATATGCGCACTTTAATGCAAAAACACCTTTTTATCAGTTGGACAAGGTTGGGGCAAAGAAGTCCTACAAACATCTGATCAAGGGAGATATCATGGTCAAGTTTAAAAATACCAATTTGCATGAGATTGAGGGTTATGCAGTTAATACAAAATCTGCAGCTTAGTTCTTAATTGATTTTATCTTATTTATAAGTAGGTATATTGTATATTTACAATGAATGATTGGTGGAAAAAGCAGTGAATAAAAAAGAAGAAAGTTCTTTGATGTTGAATTTCCATTATTCATCTATCCTTATTGCTATCTATTTTCTTTACTTTTCTAATAGAATGCTGGTACCAAAAGTCAATGAAATGACAAATTATCCACATTAATTAATGTCTTGTCAAAATGTCTGAGAATCTGTTTTTTCAATACATGTGCACAATTCTTAAAATCATGAATTGCATTTTGGGATAAACATTCATCACTGTTTCTGGAAATATTAAAAATGTCAAAGTTTTGCAAAGCCAAGGACTATGATGGTGATAAGATAACCAACAGCTTCTATTTATGTCACCTAAATGAGAGATGTTGTAGTGAAGGATGCTGCCGTAGTCATTCCAATAAGGTTACTCAGTCATGGTACTTTTGGTAAGAATCAACATCATAATATTTATTCAAGTAGGTTCAATAGGTATACACACTTATTTGGTATAAAAATATAGGTACACTGATGTTTATAAGTAGTATAATGGAAGAGTGACAATAATACACTATAAGGATACTTTCAACTCAACCTCCAATTCTCCGAATTTTCATCATACCTATATAGTTTAGGTAGATAACTAGATAACTTATTCTTCAATACCTACCTTTGTTGGAATTAAAACAATACGTTGAAGAACACCTACTATAATGATATATGAATCACATCGACAATTTTGATCCGTGTGTTTCCTATTTTAATTCGAAAGAAGATAATTTCGGTATATGTGGAACAAGAATTCGAATAGAAAAATCAACCAGTTTCAATCAATATTTGGATGATACCTACATGAAAATTTAAGATGTTACCTTTTTTACAGCATTCTCCTGTTGACTATAACTTCTAACAATATTTCCATCAGTAGGTACACTTTAGGCAGTGTATAAGCACAAGTAAACAATATCATTCACGTAAACACCATACACAATTTCCAGATTTCCACATCTTTTGGATTATTTTCGTTGAACTTAAATTTTAGCCATAATTTATTTAAATTAGCACGGGACAGTACAAATCAGAGTGACACATGTGCGAGTGCATGGAACGCATGAAATGAAATGAAAACGATCAATAAAAATCAGTCACATTCGCGACCACTATAACTTAAAACACCTGAATGTATTCAGGAATGTTTGAAAAGAATTTGTTAATCTACTATACATCTCAGGGTGGGACTACATAGGCAAATATATGATTTACTCTGGACTCTATACCCAGTAAACCATTTTGTGTTTCTGAAACGTTCCTGAAACAAACTTTGTGAAATATGAAACATTTCACCTATATACTCCGAAACATTTATGAGACATTCTAGAGACCATAAATGACCTAGGGTGTGTAATGTTTCATTGGAATGTTTCAACCCAAATCTCCATGAAACATTCAATAAAGAGTATACATAAACATCTCTGAGATATTTCACTATTGCATTTCATGAAACGTTTCACAAATAGTGTCTTCGAAACATTTCCTTATTGCACTATTTGCAACATTTCCAACATGACTTTTTTGAAACATTTCCGATACATCTCACTTTTGCTGATAATGGAACATTTCGAATATGAAACCATTTTTAGTTCATACCAAGACTACATTACCACAGAAGTTAATCACTCATGAAAGTGAACCCTAATAACATCATGTGTAATGTAGTCAATTGGTATTAATATAGGTATATGGAGAAAAAACAGGGTGAATAAAATGAAACTGCAGCTTTTGTGGATTTCATATTATGAAAACTTATTGAATTATAATAAAAAAACCATTTCATTTCATATTTTCCCTCTCTCTAGCTAACCTGAGACCAGATTGGCGGAACCAGGTTGCTACATAACTTTCGAACTCCACGTCCGCCACAGCGAACCTTTTTCTGACAGCACCTGAAAAAATTTTGAGATTCATTTGATCCACTCACCCACTCACCTTTTTCATATTCGTAGTTGTCATTATCAACTTTTAACATTAGCACTACCACCATCAGGCAATATCAATGGACGCTAAAAATGGCTTCACCGGAATTAGAACAACAAAAGAAAGAATGGCTTCGTCTTTGTGTTCACCCACTCTCTTCTCGGACTGGACAGTCGGAGCAAGTCGGAGCCGGCCGTGCTTGGTTCGGTCTGTCATATGCCGATGTTGCCAGAGTAACCACCCGTCTTCATTGGTCACACTCAAGCATGTGATTCATTATAGCCAATAAAACGTAATCATGAACCTGGCAACGTCGAATATGATGCATTTCAAACAAATAGTAAACACATGTATTGAAACATTCCAGAGATGTTTCACGTCACGCATAACAACTGAGAAATATTTCACATACGTAAACATGGCGATGTTTCAGATGACACGTCTAGAGATTCACGTGAGACATTTCAAGTAGAGAATTTTTGTAACGAATATGAAACGTATGTAGTGACATATTTCTGAAATATTTCACATAGCTTGGAGAGATTCAGAAATTTTTCCTTTATGTTAACATTGAAATGTTTCAGATGACGCGTCTAGAGATTCACGTGAGACATTTCAAGCAGAGATTTTTTGTAACGAATGTGAAACATATGTATTGACATATTTCTGAAATATTTCACATAGCATGGAGAGCTTCAGAAATGTTTTCTTCATGTTAACATTGGAATGTTTCAGATGACACATCTAGAGATTCACGTGAGACATTCCAAGCAAAGAGTTTTTGTAACGAATATGAGACGTATGTATTGACATATTTCTGAAATATTACTGAATTATTTCACATAGCATGGAGAACTCCAGAAATGTTTCCTTTATGTCAACATTGGAATGTTTCAGATGACACGTATTAGGGAACTTTTGAAATGTTTCTGAAACGTGTTGTGTTTACTGGGTAGTATCGGTTTTGTATTGTTATTTCAGGTTAATAATTATGCTGATCTTCCTAATATTTTATTCCTGCTCTTGGTATTGCAAAAACGCCGAAAAAGCCCGCAAGCGCAGGTTGCAACAAACTACCGGCAGCAGAAATCAATCGCTACAGGGTTCTCCAAGAAGAAATGAAGTAGCAGTTATCGAATCAGTGGATTATTCGCTCAACCCAAACAGTAATGCTTGTTAGTATCCACCATGTATTGTAATCTGCTGCAACAGGTAGTGGCATTATGCTTTTCTACCCACGTTAAAGATATACAAATGTATTCTTGGTTGCATAGTAATCTATCACGAGGTTTTCAATCATTGTTGAAAACCCGTTACGAGTAGTCATCAGAAACATTTTCAGCAGCAACTTGGCGAAACAAAAAGAAGTGAATGAAGTCCCGGTTTATTTAACTATTAGGTATTTCTTTTTACAGCAAAAGTGGGAGGAAAGGTTTTGGAACCGCCACCAAAATACCAGGAGGCTGTGAACATGCCCAAACTGATGGCTAGTGAACAAGTCGCCCAAATCCATTTCAGTAATGAGAAAGGTGTTCTGCTTATTAGCGACACTAATTCAAAAGAACTGGTGCCGCCATCTTATGAAGATGCTACAGTAAAAACGGCAGAAGAAAAGCCGTGAACGCTTGATAAATAAAAATGTAATTTTATTGTTGACATTTTTTGAATCATATTATATTGGAACTTGATCGAAGAGTTTCACTTTTCAAAAAATAAGGAAGTTCTTACCATCATAATTATATATTATTATGTCCTAAGCCTAACATGCATTTTGTCTGAAATATAACTACAGGGCGATTTTCTCGAGTACACATATACAGGGTGATCCACGGTGGATGGCCTATTATAGAAGTATCTGGAGAACGAAAAGACAGAACATTCTGAAAATTGGGATCCTTTGATAATTGAACATTCTCTATCCGTTTAAAATATTTTCATCGATACAGTGTTGCCACTTCTATTAGAAACAACCAGCAACTTACAGTAACAATACGATCCACCTCCATGTAAAATGCTGAAGCCAAATTTGGCCTTATAGTTCTTCACTGGTTCGTAGGCGGCGCTAGAGAAACTTGGCCGCGATTTGTCAATACTCTCGGACAAATATTTTTGGAAATAAACTTTGAATATATTCTGCATTACCGATCTCTACCCTTCGTTTTATACAACAAAAAGTAGTTCACTTTCTCGGTCAAAAGATGCTGCCAACTACTGAATAGAATTTCTGGCTTCATTGCTCTCATAAGGATGGTTCATCTTGTTAGGTGAGACGAAATCAAAGTTTGTCATCTGAAGTAAAGTGCCATCATACACGTACAAATATACTCACGGTGCATATATATAACAGCATATACAAAGTGTCCCAGACCAACGTACCATAAATTCTACAGGGTGAACTAGAGGCCAGAATAGGCCGATTGAAATCAACTTACCGCTATACTGAGATGTTAACAAGTTTTTTGTAATATATTCTGGTTCCCACGAAAAGGGATATCCTGTAATGTTCAGAGAACATCGTGAGAACCAAGAAAAATAAGGTAGGAATTGTGTTCTTCTTGAATTTCTGGAGGTTATATGCCTCGGGGAACAGTACCTCCCTTGGCAAATGTGTTCCAGACGAAGAGGTGCGAAGCCTCAACTGGACGGGTTAATCTCGCGGGGACTGCCAAGGGAGGAACAATTGTTGATATTTCAGAAGAGCATCGTCTATGAAAATATCTTAAAATAGGGCCAGATCGCCAACTTTTTTACGGTGTTCCAGAGAAGTGAGTGAGTTTATGAGCGAGGCATCACCCACGAGACGAATTGCCCTTTATTGGACAGACTCCAACAGTTTCAGGGTATATGTTTCGGGTGCTGCACTCCAAATATATGGGAACAGTATTCCAGGACAGGTCGGATCTGTGCCTTGCTTATAGATCATAAGCAGCTGACTGGAAGTGAAATGGCTCCTGGCCCGAATCAGAAAACCAAGTTTTTGGGATGCACTTTTAGCAATTGATCTAACGTGATTTTCCAAAACGATTGGATTTTTCTTTTAGGCTCTCTGATAGGATTTTTTTCAAACTCAGGAACATTTTTTGGAAAAAATCATCTGATTTGTCTAACTACACGTATATATACTTATATAGAAATGATACTCGTATTTTTATTTTAAAGAAACGAGACAAAATCTCAAATAATCTAGCAAATGTATGAATTCTCCATTTATTATCATCAACAAACAGGCATTTGCTGATACAAGTTTTAAAATGTAAATACCCACTTTATATACTACGGAAGCGTATTAGGGCCACCATCAAAATTTTTTCATCTTGAAATTTCAACTTAGCTATGTTGAAATTTCAAGATAGTAAGTCGAAATTTCGGCTTAGCTTTGTCGAAATTTCAACTTACTATCTTGAAATTTCATCATAGCTAAGTTGAAAGTTCAACATAGCTAAGTCGAGATATCAACATAATCATGTCGAACTGATGAGATTAGTACGACGGTTGTACATGCTCTAAACAAACGATCGACACGAGTTATGTTTAGCAAATATGTATGATTAAATCAAATTATACTTTCTACTCGTATTCAGCCAGAGTGAAATTCTCCTTGTTCCTTCTGAGAGACATAAAATCCATACAAACAGGAGAACATTGAGAAGGGCCTCAGAAAAATGGAGTTGTACAGAAGAATAGTTATTTATACACCAAGGTAGTAAAGCATATCATTATTACTTAGGGACCTAGATTATATCCCGAGGCTCAGCCGAGGGTTATAAGGTCCCGTGGTAATAATATTCTTCACTACCAAGGTGTATATCAAATTTTTTTCATCACTAGTAATACATCAAACCTATTACCAGTATGAAAGCACTTCTCTTCAATTTCAATTAAATAAATCTATAGTAGCCATAACTATGACAGCATATGACAATGATAAATACCTACTAGATTCGAGGGCCATTATTGAGAACCTCGCATCAAAACAGTGAATTCGGGTTAATTATATAACAGAGGTGCCAGAGGTGGCTATGTCATTATTGACCAGTAGTTAATAAAATGACGAAATCTACTATTTTATTAGGAAAAACACAATTCACGCCTCGAAAAGGAGTGAATAATGGTAGGTTTTATGGTTTTATAGCTAGTGATGGTGGAAAAATATACACAACTTGAACAACTCTTGGATTTTTCGACCGATGAAATCGGAAAGTATGGACAACTACATGGTAACAAGTGGATGCATTCGAAATGGATTATCGGTCACTCAAGAAACTACGGAAGCGTATTAGGGCCACCATCAAAATTTTTTTATCTTGAAATTTCAACTTAGCTATGTTGAAATTTCAAGATAGTAAGTCGAAATTTCGGCTTAGCTTTGTCGAAATTTCAACTTACTATCTTGAAATTTCATCATAGCTAAGTTGAAATTTCAACATAGCTAAGTCGAGATATCAACATAATCATGTCGAAATTCCGACATAACTTCGATACCTATTTGAAACGTATAACTGATGAGATTAGTACGACGGTTGTACATGCTCTAAACAAACGATCGACACGAGTTATGTTTAGCAAATATGTATGATTAAATCAAATTATACTTTCTACTCGGATTCAGCCAGAGTGAAATTTTCCTTTTTCCTTCTGAGAGACATAAAATCCATACAAACAGGAGAACATTGAGAAGGGCCTCAGAAAAATGGAGTTGTACAGAAGAATAGTTATTGATACACCAAGGTAGTAAAGCATATCATTATTACCCAGGGACCTAGATTATATCCCGAGGCTCAGCCGAGGGTTATAAGGTCCCGTGGTAATAATATTCTTCACTACCAAGGTGTCTATCAAATTTTTTTCATCACTAGTAATACATTAAACCTATTACCACTATGAAAGCACTTCTCTTCAATTCCAATTAAATAAATCTATAGTAGCCATAACTATGACAGCATATGACAATGATAAATACCTACTAGATTCGAGGGCCATTATTGAGAACCTCATCAGAACAGTGAATTCGGGTTAATTATATAACAGAGGTGCCAGAGGTGGCTATGTCATTATTGACCAGTAGTTAATAAAATGACGAAATATACTATTTTATTAGGAAAAACACAATTCACGCCTCGAAAAGGAGTGAATAATGGTAGGTTTTATGGTTTTATAGCTAATGATGGTGGAAAAATATACACAACTTGAACAAATCTTGGATTTTTCGACCGATGAAATCGGAAAGTATGGACAACTACATGGTAACAAGTGGATGCATTCGAAATGGATTATCGGTCACTCAAGAAACTGTTCGGTTAGCTCTTAATTTCCTAGACCCAAGTCTATCGAAATTTCGAATTAGAATGTTGAAATTTCAAGATAGAAAGTTGAAATTTCAACTTAGCTAAGTCGAAATTTCAACATAGGTAAGTTGAAATTTCAACATAGCTAAGTCGAAGTTTCAACATATTTATGTCGAAATTTCGACTTAGTATGTTGAAATTTCGACTTAGCTATGTTGAAATTTCAAGATAAAAAATTGTTCATGGTGGCCCCAATACGCTTCCGATAAAGCTCGAAATTACGCAACGCCAGTCCTAGTGAATCCAGCAATCAATACGCCGAATTCTCTTCCAAAACCGACGTCTGGCGTCGGAAATGTCCGACGCAGGGCGTCGACTGACTGGCAGTGCCGGGCAAATCGACGTAGCGACCGTCTTCTTCGGCGTAAACAAAACACAAGCGGCGTCCATGAGATTCCACAGCCTCCACTGACCAGCCAGCATGAGTGTCAAGGTAAGAGCGATCGCCCGCTATATAATAATGAGTTCGTAATTTTTTTGGCAAACAAATTTAATGCATAATAAGTTACCCTGAGACTTGCCGACTGAGAGAGAGAGTTCGTTCTAAAGTGATCAACGCTGGAAATGAACCATCAAATGACTTTTAGCCAGATGAGGAAATCGTTGTTATAAACTATAAAGGTATTAGATGAAATTCACTTTCTCATCGCTCGTTTAGATAAACATGACATCACGTGTGGAGTTTGCAACCAGATGCTTCCATCCACTAGACAACAATATGCATCAACATTTCACATATAATTATTTCATTTTTTAGAATTTTTGAACAAAATTGCCGTTTACATGCCCTATGTGTAATGGTAATGGTTGGATCAACAATCTGTATACCTTATACACGCGATAGTATAGGTGGATGAAATTAATGATTCTGGACTTCTGGAGCAAATATATTATTATACACCAAGGTAGTAAAGAGTATCATTACTACCCAGGGACCAAGATTATATGCCGAGGCTTCAGGGGTATCCCGTGGTAATAATATTCAATTATTTTTTTCCACCACTAGCAATACAGGGTGTTCCTTAAAGACATGCTAATTTTTTTTATCGCTTGGAGCGCACGAAAGGGAATCCCTATAATGTTCAAAGAACATCGTCCTGTCCCTAAATATTTGAGGGAGTGAATCTTTGACTCATTTAAAGATAAAAACTTCCTATGAACGTATGTCCTGAAAGTCTTAACTTTTGAGATACAGGACATAAAGTTTCGAAAAAAAAATCAGCTTTTGTATAATAACTGAGATAATATCGTAGATATCTTTACCAAATTTGGTACATGTCTTCTATGAATCAAGGTGCATTTTCTGATGTACACAAATTTTCGTTTCCTCTACCAGTGGCGCCGTTTGGGGGATATTATTGTTTATATTTCACTCGAAAGTGAGCAACGAGGGAAAATTTTCAAATTACATACAATTCTATGAAAGGCCGTTCAATTCTGCAAAAAAATCCACTTGTTGATACTCGAAAGAATGCTTTGTTTTCGAGAAAAAACGGGAAAACGAGACCAGACTTCAAATTTTGATCTAAAAGCTAAGCTGACAGTATGTATGTACCATTTCGAAATGTTTGCACCGTTACAGTCACATAACAATACACCCAATGTAGATATTTTCTTTTTGTCATTTGCACAATTCAAACGTGATATTCTCAGCACACTTCCTAATTGATAATTATACATTATGCTCTTATTCACTTAGTATTAATTATGCTTAGTATATAGGACTACTCTTATCACCTATTATTAATTTTGTACACCTATTAATGGGCTCTTGGGCCCGTTGAATATATTTTTTGAAATAAATAAATAAATAAATAAATAAATAAATAACAGACTGGATTTATTCATCACGGAAAGCTATACAGGGTGGACAAAAAAATAATCTATGCATATTTTCAACTTTGATACCCTGTATCTCAAAAGTTAGGACGTTTACGACATACGTTCATGTTAAGTTTTATTCTTGAAATGGGTCCTAGAATCACCTCCTTGGATTTTAGCATTTCAGGAACACCCTGTATATTTCAATCATCATAGTTCTGTTAAACTGAAATATGGAACTATTGTCCTTATAAAAGCCCTTCTTTTCAATTCTATAATTGAAATCTAGTAGCCATATGGCCATGACAGAATATGGCAAGTCGTTATTGATAAATACCCACTAGATTCGAGCGCCATTCCTGCGAATCTCGCGTCAGAACAGTGGATTCGGGTTGAGGTTGAAAACATATTTTTTATATCTCGCCATTAATCAGTTGACTTGGAAATTCACTCAGCAACAATAGAATACAATTAAACTATTATTAGGTACACCTATAAATTAGTTTTATTACAATTATTCAAGTACATATTATCACGTATAGCCATTGCTGATCACTTTATATGTTTTCAATACGTCAAAGTTCATTCTAATTTGAGACTAAGTAATTGTGTAATATACGAACGGTTTATTCAATCTAGAGTGCGGTGGCGAGTTGACGATCCTCGCTTGTTTAAACAATTCGACATCACTCGGTTCCATCAAGTAATTTCCAGGATGACACTTGTTCGGCTCTCGTTGATCCTAAGACAATTTTGATGCTGTTAAAATCATGTTCATGACCAGTGGAAACAATTAACGTTGTACAGATGACATCAGATGGACGGGAACCTGTTATTGTGCCCAGTAACAGTCACAGGAATGGCCAAGTAGGTAAACTCACTCACATCTATTCACATAGTTTCTTAGCAAAAATCCAATTTTACACTCATATCATACGCCAATAGACTGTTTCTACTACTAAACAAACCGATTTTTTTAAACGCATCGACCTGTGTTTCACTAACTATGTTAGCATCTTCAGGAGAAGAATATGGAACTTTAGTTTGTCTCATATTAATAGGAACTTCATTTGTGAAATACTGTCTGTAGGTTAATCGAGGATGTGGTACATTCATTATTCCAGATTTTTTGAGATTTTCTCTTCGATTCTATAGAATAAAAATATGAATCAGAAAAAAAAACCTCTTCAAATATGTAATAATTCAATATGTCGCCCATGAGAAAAAACAAAGTTGTGTATTGTAACTTTGGCATCAAGAACGTCATGGAAAATACAGTGACAGATTCAGATTCCTTGTAGAAAAGTCTCCTAAGAATGTCCCAGTGAGAAACGTCTTGGTCTTTTGGTTTCCGCTTGAAAAAATAAAAACGAAAATTATAAATGTTCGTTTTCTCCCAATAATTTAAGAACTGAAAATGACACATCAAATTGCTTTGCAGATAAATGTTCAGCATAAAGATACGCAACTTTGCCCTTATTTAACCGACCTCGTATATCTCTTATAATAACTGAGATCACCATGGTGGAGCTCGAAAACTGGACACCCTGTATTTGGGTCCCTATACCTACAGCTATATACGAGGAAAATAACTTCGAATATGACGGTTGTATGGATTCATCTGTACTATCTTTTGGCACTCCTCAAACTAACAGGAGAGCCTAAAATATACAGGGTGTTTCATAAAAAGACTCTCATATTTGAAGTTTTTTTTCCACCTCGTATATAGGCATAGTTGAAGATGTAGGGAGAGGTCAACATGTAAGGAGATACTCTGTACAACTATAACAGTTTATGGAATACTGGGCGATTTCAACTTTATAGTTAACACTTCAATATGACTCAATCAAAACTGATCTACCTCATCACCCCATCAATTCAATTTTTGACCCAAATAGATGATACTTTGACCCAGAAAAGCCACTACAACTGGTCTAGACAAAATTAGCTCAGCCATTAAATATTTACAGGAAGCCTTTTCAATTTCTAATATTAGCTTTAGGATAAGATAATCATCTAGATAAGATGAAATAAATAAACAAGCGCCATATGGTCTCGAACGGACGACATAATAATATCATCTGTTGTATATAGTTCCGAATTACTCTGCATCCAGGCAGCAAGTGAAACATGACCTGTTTTTGCGGACATGTGAGTTCATTAGAATTACATACTTACATACATTAATTTTTATTTACAACCATATATGTAATGTTCTCATTACTAACGTCATTGAAGGTTGGGAAGTGTCATATTACACACCTCGATTTCCCGCCCTCACTTATTTAGGTGATATTTTAGGTATGTTCAAGGCGAAACAGAGATTTATTAATTTTTTCTCAGATTGGCAGCAAAAATTAATTTTGCTGACACATATCAATCAGCAAAGTATTACTTTTCCTGCCTAGGCAGCAAAGTGGGTACTTTGCTGCCTAGACAGCAAAGTGATTATACTCAATGGGAATAAAACATTCGACGTATACATTTATCAGCAATTATTACATAAATCGTTTATAATTTTCTTCATACTTCATTCGAGACTTCTCCGGCAACAAATTCAACTCAATATTTTTTGCCACCTCCCTTATTTCTGGAGGATTAAGTACTTCCAGGTCGCTATCACTGTCCATTATATAATAATTTGAATATACCGATATTTTTCCGCACAACTGTCAGAAATTTCATGAATTGTCAAACTATAATTATTATGGACATTTCCATAGCAACCAACCATTCCAACAACTGCGATTTCTATCAAATTTTATTTTAATTGAACACTACAGGAAGAATAAAGAGATTGTGGAAATTTTAATAATTTGCAAATACAATATCCTATATCATCATGAACAATCGGAGAAAAAATAATATGTTCATCTCGGCAGCAAAGTAGATTGACTGCCTTAGCTGAATTCATAGCCGAGCGTAGCAGTCAATCTACTACTTTGCTGCCTAGTTAAACAAATAACTATTGATCGAAGTATGATCATAGCTAACCTCACGACAGGAATGAATCTCTTCCCACTTTGGTGTGTAATATACTATTCCACTGCTTGCTTCAGAAAACCAATATTTATAATATTTTCTTTTTTTCGATGCGTTCTTGAATCCTTCTATGTTATTTGGGAAGAGACAGTTCTTGGGTTTTGGATTCGGTAAATAATTATGTTTTTATAGGCTACAAAAATTATAAAATGCACACAGCACGAGACTTCATCTACTCCATTTTTTCCAGACCAGTAAATTTTATGTAAAAAATTAAGATTGAAAAGGCTTATGGCCATAGGCGAAACGTTTCAAATGATACTATAAAAACATAATTATTTACTGAATCCAAAACCCAAGAAGTGTCCCTCCCCAAAAAAGTTTATAATAATGTTTTCATTCAGATAACCCAATTTTCACTACCATGACAATAACAGTTTTCTCGCTTCTACTATGGGCGTTCCAGAACTTTTAGGTCAGCAGATAATCGGGTTTTGGTAACATGAACACAAATATTTCAACCACTGATTCTAGGAACAAAAATAGTAGAAAAAGTTTATAACATATGAGCTCAGAAATGCCCCCTGGGGGTTATGGTTATGGCCATCTGAAATAGGACCTGAAATGTAGTTTTTTTCATAAATACCTATTTCTGACATCATCCTCTGTGATAAGATAACGACACTTTGTACATGTATATTACTTTTCATGCCCGATTTGTGAAGTAATAGTGCTTTTCCCTTATAATAGGGTACCAAATTTTCCCAAAACGTATGTTTCGATGGAAAATAACCTTTTTTCAATATCTTATTGTGCTGTTTCATTCAAAATATGGGAGGAACAATGGAAATAATAACTTGAAAAATAATATGGTAGGTACCTTATTGAGAAAAACTACTATTTGTTATTAGGCAGCAGACTTTTAAAATCGATTCATCTCGAAAAAAGACTATCATTTTCAAGTTGAAATGATGATATTCTCATATTTCCTGGTCAACGCCAGAATTACATAGAAAAAATGGTTTGGGTAAGAAATGCCCCTAGCCCCACCTATTTCCTACGCCCCTGATCGAAATTTCGGAAAATTCTCAACATTCCCAAATCGGGCAAGAAAATGAATATACATGTACAAAATTTCGTTATCTCATCACAGAGTTTCTGACATATTTACAAAAAAACATCATCTCCTTTCAGATGGTATTTCTGATGGGCTTATGTTTATATGAACTTTTTTTAATATTTTTGTTCCTAGAATCTGATGTGTTTGAAATATTTCTATGTAATTTCGGACACCCTGTATATGGGAGCAAAAGCTCTACAAAGGCAATCAAGTCGAATCACCCTCATGTCAAACAATCTACTAGGAACACTAATAACTTTGATTTTATGAATTGCACCCCCATGGTTTTTTAGGTTCTTCTTATGAAAATATTGATTAAGATATACAGGCTCGGAAATTTGGAATGATTTCAATAATTTCTTAAAAAAATATTGATTTTTCCTTGAATGGTTGTTAGAAATGAATATTATTATCACTTGCTACACTTATACCTGATATCGCCTATGCAGATTCATGTGTAGCTCTGATAGGGATAAATTGTTAGGTACGTGCCTAACAATTTCTGCCTACTGATAGGCCTACAAAAATTATAAAATGCACACAGCACGAGACTAATCTACTCAATTTTTTCCAGACCAGTAAATTTTATGTAAAAAATATAGATTGAAAAATAAATCATATGGCCATAGCTGAAACGTTTCAAATGATACTGGGAAAACATAATTATTTACTGAATCCAAAACCCAAGAACTGTCCCTTCTCAAAAAACATAGAAGGATTCAAGGACGCATCGAAAAAAAGGAAACTATAATGCAGCATGCAGCTCCGCTAAGCAAAATGCCGCCTGATTGTACTTTAGTATTGAATAATTATTATTATTTATCCTCACTGGATCAATCCACTTGAATTCATGTTGAATTATTCATTTATGTAAAATGGATGCACCCATTAGATATTGAAAAGGACGGACATTGTTTTGACTCATTAATCCGTCATCACTTGTTTGTTTGTCCGCATCGCATTATTCGCAGCAAAAGCGAAAACAATTCCAATTTTCCACTTAACTAACGTCTTGGTGGCGACGTTTCCACGCATCAGACAAATTAATCAAGAGCTTTCCTTGTTTTCCATTCAACATTCTGGTTCATTTGTCGTCAGTCCATTGCGAAATGAAGTTCTCAGCACTCTTTTCTGGTCCCATCAAGTATCATCCTGATACCGAAGATTTGATCATACCAAAAGCCGTGAGATATCTTCTTATGCTCCCTCACTCTTGTGCGACTTTGATGTGCTTCTGTCCCATGTTTACGTGAGATTGAGGAGTTCTAGAATCGATGTTTTTTTTCTCTTTCAGATGACTAGATATACAAATGCGGATTTCGCTGATGATGACAGTGTCAACAGTGTTCAACTAAACGAAGGTACTTGAATAATCAACGCACTGCAAACCATTTTTAATTACTACGCTTTAATTAGGTTGGTATGTACGCTTGTATGTTTGTATGCAACGGAATCTTCGATGGTGATTTTCACCCATTTCAAAAATGAAATGCAACTAATAATCCGTATGGTGAAAATATTCTACCTGCATTTACAGATCAGCTTTATAGTTTCAATATAAATACAACCACAGAGTGACCCATTTGTGTATTCTATTGAATCGATGAAATCACTTGGGCCAGGTGTCAGCCCTAAATGCAAATACCGCGCAATTGTCAGGTATAGGAAAAAGAAGTGGAAAATGTTATGGTAGTGAGCATATCATCAATAATAATAATAGCGATTATTTATTTCTCTAAATATTCCACTGTGTTTGGCTCGGTGATCAAATGAAAATAAACAATATCGCTGTGTTAGACAAAGAAGTATTGCTGGCCGTGATTATTCAAAAACAAGTTATCCAGTCAATCAGATCCCGAGACTGAATGGAATACAGATCAAGCGAGTATGTGAATCTTGAAGGCTTTCCTGATCGAAACAGAAGTACTCAACTATAATATGGTGTATTCATATCTCCATCTTCAGTGTAAGCGATTTTTTTACATCTAGACGCGCGGCAGTATCTTACAAGTATACCTACCTACTCGTATGGTATGAAAATATTTACATCCAGATAAACGGTAGTGTCTTGTACTAAATACTCGTATGAAATAAAGTTTCCGGAAAGGGGGCCTGATAAACGGTTACAACACCCAAGGAAAGCTACAGGCGCGCAAATCATCTACTTTTCCTGCGGGGCTGTGGTTCCAAAAAATAGAAAAAAACTGAAAAAAACACGCTTTTACAGATAGCCGAACTAAATAGGAAATACATTTAAGTGTTGATAAATACACAACAAAGAAACTATCAGCACCTCCTCAATAAGTGTTTTTAGTGTTGTGTATTCATCAACACAGTTTTATTATTTTGCTTCTACGTTTTTTTTTTATTTGGCTATCTATAAAAGTGTGTTCACCTTTTTGACATTGCTGTAGAATCGACCATTATGATCTACTATATTTTGTTGAATGTACACCATCTGATAAGTCTATTGTTCAAGGAATAAGTAGCAGTACCACTCATATAAGGTACCACGCTGGTACGACAGTTTGGAAGATGCGCTCACCGTTAGAAAAAGTCCTTCTGCTTCTAGTAGGAGTATTGCTGTTCGTCATATTCATTTTAGCCATTATCCTCCACATAACAGAACACAGGCTCAGAGATACTAAGGTGAGCATCAACCATAAAGTGTCTTTCAAGCCTTGAACCACCTATTTCACTCATCTTAAAATTCTCACATACAACCTGACCAATGGGCCAATTGGCATTCAATTACTACACTGTGTGGTTAGGGACCTAAATTAATTTTTGCAACACTTGATGATGAGTGTATGCGTTGTTCGAAGTTGTTGAATTTCGGAGCTCATTTCAAACGTACCGTCATGACCACTATTTGGCGATAAGTCGAATAAATAGTGACGTCAGAGTCTATGCTGATTCGTTATTGGTCAGGTAATCTTCCATTCCCACTGACGAAGCAAGGTTGCCGAATCACCAATTATAATCAAGTTATCAAAAAGATGTAAGGGTCCTGTCGTTGAATGAAACATAAAAGGAGGAATCCATTATATTATAGTTCATTCTTGACTCTTTCGTGCAACCAGCATATCCAAATTTTTCTGATACTCCATATCAAAATTTCATGTAAATGTTGGATACTTGGCAACATTGTGCTGAATGCTGAGAAGAGACAAGACCACGCCCACAAGTCGTGCGAGCGGTGTTGTCACGTTCACGTCAAATTTCCTCTAGTAGGAATTGGTATAATTACTAATTATACAATATTTCCCTCATATACAAAGTGTTCCTTAAAAGCAATGCAATTATCGAAAACTTACGGGGTAATTGCACTACAGAGCGAAGATTGCACTGCCAGAACGAATAAGTGTCATATAGACTCCAAAAAGGGGCATTCAAGCGCGTTATCTCATACAAATTGCATTCGTTTATTTTCATATTTTGTAAAAGGGCCATAATATGAAAATCAAATCAAATTCAAATTTTATTTATTTAGTGCTTGAGTAAAATTATGAATTTTATAAATATCGAATTGTTAAAAACGACCTAGAATAAGCATTAAGCCTAGGCAGAATTGCCTGTATTGCTGTGCTGATTCTGAGGCATTTTGTAAAGAGTTGTACATCAAATAATATAATATTGGTAGGTAAGTGAATGTATTTATATAAACAATCCTATATTTCAAAATGCAGGCAGGATATAGAGATGTGGATTGAAGAAGGAAAAAAGAAAGAAAAAAAAGAAAAAGAAGATGATGACAAGAATGATGAAAAGAATGAAGAGATGGCTAAAGATGTTTATTCAGATAGTCATTATGTCCAGGAAAACCCTATGGTGATCTGTTATATAATTTCGGATTCCTCTTTTAAATTTCTCCAGTTCATGAGTTTGTTTGAGATGTAAGGGTAATAGATTATAGAATTTGGTCCCAAAATATAATAGAGATCTTTGAGAAACTGTTTTTTTGAATAGTTGAATTGGAAGATTCATGTTAGATGTGGAGCGAGTTATGTATTTTTCTTATATTCAATTTTGCCAGGACTAGCGTACACTTTTATAATACATTGATAGATGAATATCATTTTAACATTGAATATCTTTGAGCTGAAAGAAATAAATTTAGTTTATTTCTGACAGTGACATTATAAGCTCATATCGTCATAGTTACGATATCTATAATGAGGGTCATAACTCCCTTGGGATGTTATAGATGCTATAATTCCCTCTAGCTAAAATTAAAGAAATGCATAGCAACAACCACGCAATAACGTAGCAATAAGGGATCTCCTATTCGCGGTAGTCAAGATCATCATCTGACGTTCTGATGACATTGAAACTATACGGAAAAACATGTCTAACTTCCAATCGGGAAGGTATATAATGAATGAAATCAGTCAGAAATAAAATTATCTATGTATCACGGGAATTATAGAACCTTAATAACCTCTGGCAATTGCTGTCCCTCGGGCCAGAGGCCCTCGGGACGCAAACTTTGCCATCGGTAATTAAGGCCCTCATAATTCCCTTAATACATAAATAACTATTTTTTATTATTTAAAATGAGTTTATTATGGTTTAGCCATAGACTAATATTTTTTAGCTCTGATTCTACCGTGAGTTTTACGTCTTCCCACTCGTTCCCAGTAAATATTATAAATAAATAAATTTGCAATTTTTAGATAACCTACTCTCTTGCAAATTTATCGGTAGTTTTTATGCACTCGTGCAATTATAACCGAATATCTCCCTCTGTTTGATTGGGATTGGTCAGATTATGCAAGAATAACGAGATGAGTGAAATTGACTCGAATACTCAGAGCATCGTGAGATTACTATTTCATTTTTTCAGTTCATGATTCCATTCGAAAGCAACCATCAAGGTCCGTGCCTAAATAGCACTTGCGTGCATATAGCCAACAATATTCTCGAAGCCATGGACGTCACTGCTGATCCTTGCGAAGACTTTTACGCATATTCTTGCAACGGCTGGGTCAAAGCCAACCCCATTCCAGATGCCAAGACCACATGGGGCACCTTCATGAAACTGGAACAGCAGAATCAGCTCGTTGTCAAACGGGTGCTAGGTGAGAATAATAAAAATAACTTTCCCAATCCGGGAAAAATTCAAGTTGCTTTGTGATTTTATATGTTATTGGAGGTGCTGAATTTGAATCTGAATTTTGCAAACAAAATTTCCCGGAGGGTTCCGAGATATTAGCAAAAAACAGCGAAATTTTCGCACTTTTTTCTGTTTTTTGTCCGTAACTCGGAAATCATTCATTATATTGAAAAAACCGCCCTATAAAAAGTTGAAGTAGATCAAATTTCCTAGATAAAATCTGCGGAGATAGAGCCACTTGAAAATTGACCAAATTTGGGTACTTTTAAAAAATAGCGTTTTTCGTCGGTTTTCGCAGATAATTCATATTTTACGTATTACTCAGAGACAGAGCATCATGCACATATTGAAAGAGCATCAAATTTCTTATCGAGCTCGTGTGAATTTCGTATCATGAAAAAAGATGAACGGCTGTTAGAGCGCTCGGACTTCTTCTTTCAGTCGTAGTTATTGCCACACTCATGTTCCAGTGGCGTAACTACTATACCGCCAAACCCCGCGGTTGCGGGGGGCCCGTTCCTCGGAGGGGGCCCTGGGGCCCTGGGTCCACCAACCAGAGCAAAGACTCAGCTAAATTGGTTGCCACAGGAATAATTTTTCCATTTCTGCTAATAGTGCAGGCATGTTTTTCCAGTGTAGGTCCAGGGTGATGTGTGAAATCGACGATGCAAGCCAATTATTTTGAATGGAGAACTTGATTAAAACTAGTGGTGCTTCAAAAAGAAGAAGGAAACAAAAGTTAAAAGATGATGAGTGTAAAATTCCCAAGATTACTACGTTCTTTACGAATACTACTACTGTTTCGGATAATACACTTGAATATTATGATGAATGTCCATCAAGTAGTAGCAGTATGATGATTGAAAAAGGAATGGATGTGGACTCTGCAATTATTGTGGAAGAAAAACTATTATTCCAGATTTTTTGGGGTTTTCCCTCCTCGTTCCTATAAAATAAAAATATGAATATTATTCAGATGATTTGCCCCAAAATGCCACTGCGTATCAAGAATTTTCCTATCAGAGAGCCTAAAAGAAAAATTCACTAGCTTCTCAGTGACAATTTGTATTGAATAACAATTTTGGAGAAGAGAAATGAAGGTATATAGAGAAAATATCAAATTTATACTCAGCCATTGTCGTTCTGGATGACAACCTAGTTAGGTAGTTAGTAGGCAGGAGCTTATTATACCTCCTCGCACTAGGTCGCCTACTAGGTTTTCATTTAGATCGACAATGACTCAGCAAATGACGAGACCTGCTACTACTGCATTCGAAACAGATGGTGTGAATATAAAAAGTATTATCTGAAATCCACGAGGAGCCCATAGCTGACTTAAATGCCAGAACTCCTGGAGATGGAACTGAGTCAGATGATTCATTACTGGATGTATTAATTAAAGAATCATTTCCTTGTGATAAAGGCAATTTCAGTGGCCGAGAATTGAGCAACACGATAAAAATGTTTATTGCTCGTAATGGCCCGTCTCAACCAGATATAAATTTTCCAGAAGAGGAGTTTCTCTAATTTTTAATATTCACAGAAAAGTCATGCTGGCCGAATTATTCCAAGAAAATGGTTGTATTATTCACCCAAAGAAAATAAAGCGTATTGTGAAGCTTGTAGGTTATTCAATATAACTAATAGTTCATGGAAAGAAGCGGCTTCTGACTAGAAAGGTTTTTCTCGAGGGGGCCCTAAATGATTTTGGCGGGGGGGTCCAAAATATATAGTTACGCCACTGATGTTCATCCTTTCAACTTGTATAATTTGGATCATATGAAACTATATTCATTAAAGCTCTGAAACGTATAAATAGGTCATTGTTGTTTCAGTATTGTGTGGGGTGGGGGACAAAAAAAATCAAAATTCTGTACGCTGGAATTATAGTTGTTATAATTGCGATATACAATAATTCCAAATGCTATAGGGTATTCTTTGAACAATTTGATAAAAAACTTAAAATTACCTATTTTGTGACGAATAAGTATTGAAATCAATTCTCGCTCATGTGGGTTCCAAGGCGTCAAGGAAATGAGGCAGCTGATCGCCTAGCAAAAAAGTGCAGAGCTCACATTTTACCTCTCTGTCAGACAAGCAAATGCCACCTTATCACAAAGCTCAAAAATGAGAATGAAGTGAAATTTCCCACTGTCGAGCAACTCCAGATAAACGAGAAGGAAAGAGTTCTTCAACAATTCGTAAGAATCGTAAGCTAGTGAGTCTCAGCAAACGAGAGCTTGAGCACTTCCCTCTAAGCTATTATAAACAAAAATGGGTCACCTTTGTTCATGTAATGTACCAGTCCGCAAAAAGGCTGACTACCCTAGAACAGGTCTAGATAATGCCTGTTGAGGAGGAAAATTCAACCGTCAAGAAAATATTAGGCTTAATTAGAAGTCTAGGGCACCGAACATAAGAAAGCAATTAATCAGATGAGGGCTGGTACCCTGAAGGACCCGGTTCTGGGGATGGTGGTGCAGGTGGAGCAAATCGTGTTTTCTCCAGGGTACCCCCAAAATAGCTTGAATATGAAACTCAACCAAAAAAAAATGAAACGGAAAGAACTGAACTGGAACTTTCGTATTTTGAAATCGCAGTGAGGCAGGTTTATAACAAGCATTTGCCTTAAATTCGAAGATGCCGAAAGTGATGGAAACTCTTCCAACTATATTTTCCTCAAATGTGTGACATTTCTGATATTTGTTGCTCGGAAACTTGATTTTTCTCCTCCCTTGAAGAATAACAAGAGGCAGGTAAGAAGAACAATTTTCTTCCTAGTTGATGTGAATATGCTTAAGTACAGTGACAAGTCGATAGTCATGAGTTACATGCTGACAGAGGTAAGAATTCACATGGCTAGGACTCTTCCACACTATCAAGCAGAGTATAGTTCGTTTCTTCGAGGAATGCGTAGATTTGGAATTATCTGCGAAAATCGACGAAAAACGCTATTTTTTGAAAAGTACGCAAATTTCGTCAATTTTCAACTAGCTCTATCTACGCACTCGTGAGTCCTACATTCATGAGCAATGACTATTATATTCAGGAAATTTAATCTACTTCAACTTTTTATAGGGCGGTCTTTTCGATATAATGAATGATTTCCCAGTTACGGAAAAAAAAACCGAAAAAAGACCGAACATTTTGCTGTTTCTTGCGAATATCTCGGAACGCTCCAGGAAATTCTGTTTGCAAAATTCAGATTCGAATTCAGCACCTCCAAAAACAGATGAACCCACAGAGAAACCGACTACTTGTCTTTGATTAACATTTTATTCCACATTGATCATTTTGGTTATTTCGTACTTGGAATAGGAAGAATGCTAAGTATAGATCTTTCGACTGTGATTTTAGAGCAACCTATCGAGACATTGAAGTCCAAGGCTGAACAGAAAGCTAAAATGTATTACGAATCGTGCTTGGATGTGAATGATACAGTTGAAACCTTAGGAGCCCAACCCATGTTGGATCTTTTGATAAAGCTAGGAGGATGGAACATCACTGATAGCGGCTTCAATATCACCACCTGGACATTGCAGAATATCACCCAGACCATACAGAACAAGTTCAACATAGGTATTTATAACGCCCTGTGGCAAATCTTTTATCGAGTTCAAGTAAAAAAGTTTGCAACATTTTTTCTGATTGATTTTTCTCACTCTGAGGTATCGTGTTGGTGCTCAATGACCAAATTAAATTTGGTTTTTCAGGTGGTCTCTTCTCTTATGCTGTTGGTGAGGACGACAGAAATTCCACCAGACATGTCCTGCAGATAGACCAAAGCGGTTTGACCTTACCAACCAGGGACAATTACTTGAACAAGACCAAGGAGCACGTGAAGGTTCTAGAAGCTTATAAGGAATACATGACCAAGGTAGTTCCAGTGGGGATACAATTCAGTCAACGAACAACCTCATATTTCAATATTTGTAGGTTGGAATTCTTTTGGGAGGTGAACCTAACTCGACGAGAAAACATATGGAAGACATAGTCGAGTTTGAAACCAAACTAGCCAATATCACAACCCCAAATGAGCTGAGGAGAGATGAGGAAAAACTGTATAATTTGATGACCATTGCGGAGCTGCAAGAGAAAGCACCATTTGTAAGTGCAAAAGATGTAACACATATGAAAAGTTTTTAATAAAAAACGACATAAGATAGTCAGAACTGAATAATTTTCATATAAAAATTAGCAAGAAAACAACTGTCAAGAAAAGAAACTCAAAGTCGTCTGCACAATTTTAATGTCTAAGTAGGCAGTCAATCCTGCTTCAATAAGGTTGATACATGTTTCGGCCATTCAAATGGCCATCTTCAGTCAAATGACTTCAAAAACATGTATCAACCTTATTGAAGCAGGATTGACTACCTCCTTAGACATTAAAATTGTGGAGACGACTTTGAGTTTTCTTTCTTGATCATTCCACTCCACTTTGAGTATGGACTACTACAGCGAAGATTCAGAAAACAACTAGTTTCCTAGTTCATGCCACAAAGAACATCGAATAACAGTTATACTTGCAGTTTGTGTATAGGAACACTGATTACAAGTGTGATTGTGCTTGAATTGGGATCTGACCACCTGCAGATCAGTTTCAGGCTATCGCCGTTTTTTATCATCATCCATTTCACTTTGAGTATTTGTGTTTTTGGATTTCAAAAAACAACATCATAATTGGACACTGTCACTTTCTTATATCTTCAGAATTCTTATAGAGGTTTTTACAGATAGATTGGAGAAAGTTCTTCGAAAATGCGATGAGGCTGGTGAATAAAAAAATAACCAGCAAGGAACCAGTCGTGGTTTATGCTCCAGAATATCTCAAGAATCTGACAGTTCTGATCAAGAAATACAATCAAACCGATGAAGGAAAAATGTAAGTAACCACATTAGTGAAGGAGCTATACATACACCAGTTCATATTGACTACTTTTGCCATGTAAATCTCCATAAGAAAAGTTGAGACAAAAATACAAAAAAATTGTCGTCTGCCTCGATGACAACGAGCAAGCCATTCGCAAGCCAAGCATCGACCAACCGCAACTTGAAAGCATTGACGTTTTTGTTGCGTTTTTGATACGTTTTTGTGACAGCCTACCACTTAGCGACGATTTTTTTCTATTTTTGAGCTCAACTTTCCTCGCAAAATGTAGTCTCGTAACAATATTTGTCATTTCAGTATATTGAACAACTATATGGTATGGCAAACAGTGAGAGTCTTCACCGTATGTCTCTCCAAGGCCTTCAGGGATGCTTATAAGGGACTAAGAACAGCCCTTATGGGCTCCGATGGTGCCGAAGAGCCCCAATGGAGGTATTGCATTCAAGACACCAATTCTGTGCTAGGTAAGATCAAAAGATTTTCGATGGGGGCACCACTAATTTTTTGGAACGACATAATCTTAAAGCTTTATACCAAATGATTTCCATTAAATTTAATTTTGAATTATATCATTCATACTAGGATTAGAAAATAATTATTAAAATATGTACATTTCAAAACACACACTTCCTGCGCCATTAAAAATGGTTTCAATTCATTGGTGTGATTGGGGTGTGACGTAGTAGTCCCAACACGCCTATTGTCCTTGAGCTGACCATCACACCGCAACACTGCAGAATGACACAGTATCAGAGAGAAAGAGATAGATACAGTTCGGGACTAGTACGTCACGGCTCCACCTTCATATCGGGCTCTTTAAAATATCGAATGGAATATGCTGATTTGAAAACGCTATAGATTTGATTACTTTCAACATCAGCTTATAATATTGATTGTACCTCAAATGTGAACTATGATTCATCGATTGAAAGATGTTTGGACGGGTTTCATCCATCTGTGATCTTCCCCATTGGAAAATCCTTCGAGATGTTGATAGCAGTCTGATTTTATTTGAAGGGTTCGCCATTGGTGCTATTTTTGTGAGAGAAGTGTTCCATCAAGACTCCAAAATACAAGCTGAAGAGATGATCAACAACGTCAGGAATGCTTTCAAGAAGAATTTCAAGAATCTGAAGTGGATGGACGAAGATACTAGAAAAGTAGCAATTGCTAAGGCTGATGCTATTTCTGATATGATAGGTAACTAGACACTGTCACAACTTGTTTTATTTTCGAAATAATTCATATTGAGTTAGTCGTAGAACTTCAACATCATTTCAGGTTATCCGGAGTTCGTTAAAGACGTCAATCAACTGGACGAGAGATTCGAAAATTTGTCTGTGAGAAGTGACACGTATTTCCAGAACAACATCCAAATACTCTTCTATAATCTCAGGAAAAATTTGGAGAAAATCAACGAGCCAGTCAACAAGACAACATGGAGTAAGTAGAAACAAGCATGGCGAGAGAAAAGTAGGTATGGTGTCACTTCAGACGCCCCTCCTATGTGTATGTGTGCCATTCAAGAGGCGGAGTCTAGAAGTCATTGGCGTACTTTGAACATCTGATATTTCTCATGACCAGACAAATCGCAGTTATATTTTCAAGAAAATGCATGTCAATTCCATCGAAGTGGAAGAGTGACTAGGTTACTATATTTATCTGTCACAAATCATTCTTCATTGAATAGTATGTGCTAACATCAACAAATGTTTATCTATCTTGTCATCCATCCCGGAAATACTGACTGACCTAACATAACAGATTATTACTACTCAGCTTATAGCAACAACATTTCATCTCTTACTTATTTTTGTACCTATGTATATTTAATTGGTGTCGATTTGACCGAAGCATCTACAAATAAGAGGATATCCATATTGTAATTTTCAGCGTTTCTGATCTTGGAATGATCACGAATATCTATATATATCTTATACCTCATATTCCACAATGTAAGATAGAGACTCAACAGATCATTAGCCCTAGTTCCTGACATCGATATGCTGTAATTCACCTGATCTTATACGTTAGCATAATCTACAGAAGAAAGTAGGTATTGGGTCTCTTTAGACGCCCCTCCTCTCACGCGTAGCCTTACCATCAGTCAACAAATCATTTGCCTTAGTATATAACATCGACATGTTGTAATTTACTAAATCTGGCACGTTTGCACAATCTACAAAAAAAGTTGGTATGGCGCCGCTTGTATACGCCGCTCCTCTCAGGGATGGCCTAACCATTTGAAATCTTCCCTCCATCCCACAGACATGCTTCCATCGACAGTCAACGCATATTACACGCCTAAAAAGAACGAGATGGTGTTCACGGCAGGCATATTGCAAAACCGTATTTATGAACCGTCATTCTCTGGGATAGTGACTCGACAGATCATTTGCCTTAGTTTATAACATCAACATGTTTTGATTTACCTAGCCATCTGAAATCCCCATTCCACCCACAGGCATGCCTCATTAGATCAAATGCCTTAGTTTATAGCATCGACATGTTCTCATTCACCTAATATTATACGTTTGCATAATCTACAAAAGAAAGTAGGTATCGGGTCACTTCAGACGCCCCTCCTCTTCGGCGTGGCCTAACCATCTGAGATCCCCCCTCCACCCCACGGGCATGACTCTTTAAACGGTCAATGCCTACAACACTCCCACAAAGAACCAGAGTGTGTTTCTTGTAGGAATATGCAGAGCCGTTTCCACAAACCGTCATTCTCCGAGATAGTGCATCAACAGATCATTAGCATTAGTTCATAAGATCGACCTAATTTTGAACTTTTGCATAGTCTACAGAAGAAAGTAGGTATTGGGTCACTTTAGACGCTTCTCCTCTTGGGCGCGGCTTATATATCTAAGATCCACCCTTCACCCGCAGGCATACCACCATCAACGGTCAACGCCTACTATACGCTCACAAACAACCAGATATTGCGGACGTATTGCAGAGTCCTTTCCAAGAACCGTTATAAGCCGATATGAAAAAAATCAGCAGATCATTAACCTTAGTTTATAACATCGGTATGTTCTTATTCACCTTATCTTGTACGTACGTTAGCAAAATATACTGACGAAAGTAGGTATTGGGTTTGTTTACTTGAACTGCATGTTGCGAGCTTTGAAAGCTCCAGCGGCTTGGCATTCACTGTTACTCCGATTAGTCTTGAATGCTGCTCTGTATCTTTTGTGAAGAACTCGACAGTCTTGAAGGTTTGATTCGATTAGATCCGGATCGAAGGACCAATATGATCGATGCTTGATAGATATGATGATGAAATGAAGATTCATTTATTTTATCAATAAATCTTATGTTTCAACAACAAGTCTTCAACAACAACAGATGAAAATCTCTAATACTATATTGGGTAATATAAGTACCAAACTATTATATAGGGTCATAAAATTACTGAATAGAGCCATTTCAGACTCTCGTCTTGGGCGTGGCTTAATTATCTAAATCATCTCTTCCACCCACAGGCATGCCTCCATCGACGGTCAACGCCTACTACACGCCTACAAAGAACCAGATGGTGTTCCCGGCAGGTATATTGCAGAGCCCATTCTATGAACCGTCATTTCCCGAGAGCCTCAACTATGGCGGCATGGGCGTGGTTATGGGGCACGAGCTGACCCATGGGTTCGACGATCAGGGTAGGCAGTTCGATAAGTTCGGCAACCTCAACCATTGGTGGAAGAACAAGACCATTGAGAAGTTTAAGCAAAGGACCAAGTGTGTGGTTGATCAATATAGTGAGTCTTTGTCACATTTTTGCAACGTTATAATAATATATTGTTTATTGATTTGTGCTTCTCATAGCAAGAAACACATTAGACTAGATATTTTCATAAGAAATTCAGCAATTTTGAAAATTACAGGAAAAGCAGTACTTAAAACAGTCATGACATTTCACAATTGAATCAGAAGATAATACAATGTTGAATATTAATTTGTTGTGAAGCGGGTTAGGGAGACGATAATAATAAGTAGTCATCGATTGATTATTTTCAGATAAATATCAAATAAACGGTAAAAACATCAACGGTAACCAAACTCTTGGAGAAAATATCGCCGATAATGGAGGTCTTAAAGCAGCTTACCATGCTTATTTGGACTTGATGAAAGATAAAGCAGAGCCTCAAACCCTACCAGGGATCCCATTGAACCACAGGCAACTATTTTTTGTTGCATTTGCGCAGGTAACAAAAAACATAACAACGATTTGATTAGTTTGGTATGTATGTTTGTATGTTTGTATTAACGGAACTCTCGAACGTGATTTTTACCCACTTCAAAACGTCGAATTGGATTGAAACTTCGCACATGCATCAAGAACCCATGAAAATAGCATAATTGAATAGTTTTGTTTCATTATCCTGATCAGAATCATCAGGACGGAAGAATTTTTTTTAAAATAAAATGGTGAATGATGTTCCGTCACCAAAATTCCAAATATCCGTCGTCAAAATTTCAAATGAACGTTTATTCTCCTTCGAATAACTTCTTACAATGCTTTTTATATATCAGAGACACGGCAGTGTCTTGAAGCAAGTAGTCGTATGAATAGTTACTTCCAGAGAGACGGGTGATCTTGGCTTACTTCAAATCGCCGAATTAAATTGCAACAATAGCATAATTTGATAGTTTTGTTTCATCATATTGATCAGGATCTTCAGGATAAGCGATTTTAACGGCAGTGTCTTGCACCAAGTACTCGCATGAAATAAAATTTCCGGAGAGGGAGCCTGATAAATGATTAAAACATCCAAGGAAGGCAACATGCGCGCAAATATCCCACTTTCACTGCTGGACGGTACACGAAAAAAAAGAAAAGAATTGTTGAATGAAGCATAATTTAATGGAATGAAGCAAATACAAGTTTAAATTATAAATGGTTAAAACATCCAAGGAAGGCAACATGCTCGCAAATTTCCCACTTTCACTGCTGGGCAGTACACGAAAAAAAAAAAAAGAATTGTTGAATGAAGCAAAATTTAATTAAATTAATCAAATATAAGTATAAGTAATTTGGAGATTGAATCAAGTGAATATGTCCAGCATGAACTTTGGATCTAACTCAATTCAGCACATCCATGAATTGTTTATGAAGAGATATTGAATTGCATCAAACAATCATTTTGTATGATTCAAGATAACACGATATTGATTCAATCATATATTCCGTTGTATTAATGAAATATTTTGTTGATTCAAGAGAAACTGTATTTCAATTCGACAAATTTTTTAGTTGAACCAAATTCAGTATTTATTCGGAAATTCTCTGAAATATCACATCAATAGAATAAACTCAACTAGTTCGTTTTATCCACCTGATATTTCAAACACGAAGAATCAGGCTTCACTATATAATGAATTCGAGGCAGACATAGACGAGGCGAAATGATCGCCATCTAGATGCGAAATTTCAACTAGATGTAGAATGAACGAAATATTCCATTGATATTACATATTTCGTTGCTCTATTCAAGCAAATGATCCGTTCGAAACGAGTTGATTCAAAGATATATTCTCATCAAGATGATTATTATTTCATCAAATCAACAAAATGTTCATAGTTCAATCAACATCGACATTAATTTTGATCGACATGATTTGTTTTTGAGATAACCATATATTTTGTTGATAGAACTGATATTATATTGGTGATTGAATTAGACTACATTCTTGATTTGAACAAGCTGCTTCCATGAAATAATCATGTATCTGTTTGATCCAACAAAAAATTACTCAGTCCAACAAAAAGAATTCAAGCATAAATAATTTGTTGATGCAACAAATCATTTTTTTCCGAGTAGTTACACAGAATAGAAAAACTGAAAAATACGCTTTTTTAGTTAGACGTACTAAAAAATAGAAAATAATTATTAGTTTAGAAACCTATAAATGAACACGTCTTTATCAGATAGACGCACTTAAAAAAAGTAGGAAATAAAATGAAAAAAGTGTGTACGTTGATTAATGCACAACATTGAGAATATTCGCACTTCCGTAATCAGCATTACTTATCTGTGTTTTGTATTTATCAAGGAACTTTTTTTGTTTGGCTATCTACATACTGGGTGGTTCAAATGTGAGCAGCATCCTTTCAGGGACGTATCCCTTGCATGAAAATACGGCAAAAAGTTCCTATCACTAAGGGTTCGAAAGTGTTTCCTAAGGGATGTTTTTACCCTTACCTTCAAATGTTTATGCCATGCACCAATTTTTGAAATATTATTGTGAAGGATTTTAAAGTTATAGAGAAAAAATCGTCTTTGAGGTGTCCAATTCAAAGGGGCGTAGCTCCCTTAGGAACCCTATTAATAGTAATTTTTTGCCTTATTTTCGTGCAAGGAATACGCTCCTGAAAGGATGCCGCTTACTTTGGAATCACCCTGTATAAAAGCTTGTTTGTTAGTGTTTCAAATTACTATTTATTTACACTATAGGTGATTTAATGACATTGAGATTTCCTGGTTTTCTAGGTTTGGTGTTCAACTGTTACAAAAGAGGCTACTAACCTCCAAATAGAGAAGGATTCTCATTCTCCCGCACAATATAGAGTAATTGGAGCTTTGACAAATCTCAAGGAGTTCAGTCAAGAATTTGGTTGCCCAATCGGTTCTAGAATGAACCCTAGAAATAAATGCGAAGTTTGGTGAAGCGATTTCGAGAATTTTTAATTAGAAAAATCTACTAATGTGGGTCCAGAGGTTAGCATCATACACATAAGGCTTCCTTTCATATAGAAAAATAGTATTCTGCCAGTTACATTTCGGAAGTTCCGATAGTGGGAGTTGGTGATACGATTTAGATCGAACAAAAAATGGCCCAAGGAAATGATTTTTCAGCTCAGCTATAGTTTCATAACCCCATTGCTCTTGAAAGAGTATTTATTTCAAGATATCCGTAGAAGGTGTTTGTTTTAGCTTGCGCCTTGATTGGAAAAACTTTGTTACCTAGAACAATTGAACATCAAGAATACAGTGATTGCAGTGTCATTCATAAAGGCGGCATTTAATAATTTATTTCGAAAAATGCGTTGAGTTTTGCTTTGAAATATATATGAAAAATGGACTACTTGAACTTGTAATGATTCTATTTTTTTATATTTTTTCAATTTCTGGGAAATGTCTTCAATATGAGAAAAAAATTAACACCGACAAAACTATAGTAACTTATCATGCTACTAACTTTCAATCACTAATTATCATTGACTATCCCACTCTTGATCTCGAGAACCAATCAGAATCGACCATTTTCATGGTTTCTTCTGTATTCTAGCGATATTTTTTGTTTATTAAATTTTATCGGACTTGCTCTACCAATACAGAAGCCGAATTGACTCACACGTGACCAACAAACCTCGTTTATCAGCGATAACATTTTGACATCGTTTCTGGTCAAGATTGCTTTGGATGTTTGGATTCAAATCTGAGACAATAACCTAAGCTCTTACTTTATTTTATTTACTTATAATTCGCGTTAGTGAGACATTTTGTGCGAAAGGCGAGACAATTTTTTTTTCTGGCTGGACGTTTCATGTGTAATTTAAGAAGTTTGCATATTTGTTGACGGTCTGACACAACAATACTAGAATTCAAATTCCTTTCAAAACTAATCTTCTTCAATCACTCAAGTTATTGTGACTGATATAAATACCAGATGATGAAGCGCAATTGATAGGGTTGTTGCGAGAAGATGCGAAGGTCGATGGTTCGAGCCCCTCGGCGACGACATCTTTTTTTAAAATTATTTCATGTCACATAAATTCAATTCATTTTGTTTGAATTGGATAGCAATTGTATACGCTCTTTTGAGAGCAACCATCTCCAAGATAATTAAAAAAATAATGTTAATCAAAATTGTACATTCCACTTTGTGAATAACTATAAGTAGGTAGTTAATTTCTAAAAAAGTGAATTCTGTATTTCATTACTATCATTATGTTCTTATTCGCAGTTTGAGTTGAAATATACTTAAATTATGTTTCATATTTCTTATATATATTATCTCATTCAATCATGAAATAGTCATACGAATACAACTCGTGATACTATTTTTCCTGGAAATTTTCGTCGATTGACATACTCCAGCTTGCTGCTCTAATTTCGCTCATGACATTGATCCAAAACTACTCGCCTACGGCTCGTAGTTTTGATAACAATGTCATCCACGAAAATACTAGGCAACAAGCTGTCGTAACAATCAACGAATATTTCCGGCAAAATATTACCACTTGTGGAATTATTTATGACAAAAATATATTTTTCACCAGTGAATAATAATTCCCGCTTCAAAATGTCTGTTGTTTGGTGATGAGTTGATGTATCGTCTGTCATTCAGGAGCAAAATTTATTTAAATATTTAATGTTTTCACTACTAAGAGATGCCAATGATGATATTCAACGTATCTAACCAAATTTTAAGACAGTTTTGTAGCGAAAGTCAAGGGACTCCGACCGAGTAGATCATTTTCCATCTTTTTCGGAAGAAAACTTAACGTCCAAGTCGAATTTCAAAATAAATTATGATTAATAATTTTTCCCATATGATCCAACTTTATGAACGACACTGATCCAAAAAACTGACCAAATTCTAAATTGATAAATATTCAGGACGGATCAAAGAAGCGTTTTGACGTTCCTACAGGGTGGCCAGTCGAATATAGCTTTACCCAAATATATAGTCAAATATAGTGTATTGATCTTATCGCTTCTCATTTTAGTCACCCTGTGGAGTATAGACCGGGAATTCTTTTATAAAGGATCCTGTCACACCTTGTAAGGTATAGAAATACAGTGAAAAATTAGGAAGCTTTAGACCAAGATTATTAAATTTTCATTGTTGTTGAGTGTTGAATTGCAAACACGAAATATTCCAAAAAATATTCCATTGTTTTTGAAAATAATTTTGTGTAATTTTTTCATTTGATAATTCTATACAGGATGCGCAGTTTGTTTAATCACCATTATATTAAAAATCGGATGGAAGTTATTCATTCAATTCATCTTCCATATAAAAATATCTTCCCTTTTCAAATAAAATAAAGTATGAATAATACATAAACTATAATGAACCAATTAATAGATCAAATGACTTACCTTAAGGAAATTTGATCCAAATTATACGAGCAGCTTTGTCCGAAGTTATTACTATTTTACACACTGTAGTAGGTTTGATTTTACCATTTTCGTACAAGTTGAAAGAAGTGCAAAATTTTTGGCTATCGGCAACATCGCATTCGTCATCCTATAAGCCTGTTCCCTGGCGGTGTGACTGGTGTGAGTGGTATTCGCTCGGGTATTCGTCATTCTAGTTCAAAGGTGGCAGATCGCATGTAGGGTGGGATTCTTATTATTTCTGAATTCCTATAACTTTTCAATTAATAATGTACATGATTTGGGAAGGGTTCGTAATAACTTCGGACAAAGCTGCTCGTATAATTTGGATCAAATTTCCTTAAGGTAAGTCATTTGATCTATTAATTATACTTCGCAGCTTTGTCCTCCGTTATTACTATTTTACACACTGTAGTTGTTGAAAGGTGTCAACATGCGATCTGTATAGTTTGTCGGTTTTCGAAGATTGAGAAAACTGATGTCCAACAATCAATAATTATATTTCTTTCTAAGAAAAAATTCATTTTATAATTCGACAATATAATCAATAATTCCATTTAACAACCAAACAAACAAACAAAATAATGATCACAATGTAATATCCATGTGATATAACATAAGTTTATAACAATAATAATGTTAAGCTACATATAATCTTTGCTCCTAACTATTTTCGAGGAAGAAGTCTTTATTTCTTCTCCTCCGTTATCAGTCTTTTAATAAATATTTCCGTGTTTTCTATGAGTGGCTTGTTATAAAAAATACTGAATGCGTATTCGATTTTTCCGACCAACCTGCCTTTTTTCTTATTTCTTCTATGCTCATTCCTGACCTATATGCTGCAGATGTTGCAGCATGCCTAGTACTATGGCTCCCATATCTTTCTGTGTCGATACCACACAATTTCAATGTTGTTCTGATCCATCGACTCACAGATTGTGCTGTGGCGGCGTGGAATGGTTTTTTATGAGTGATGATAAGTTGGTTCTCATTTCTTGGTCTAATTGACTTCGTTATTTCTATGTAATGTAAAATAACTGAAGCTAGACAGAGTTCGGGTCGTTCCCTGAAGAATGGCATTTGTAAAATTGGCTGTGGCTTATTTGGGCCACTTGTTTTGATTCGATCCGTTATTCTGATGTTCATGTTATTTCCTTGAATATGAATATTTTCAATTTTTATTTTTGTTAGTGTCTGGACACGATGTGCGGTAATTAATGCTAAAAGCATAACCATTTTGTAGGTCAATTTCTCAAGAGTTAGATTTTCTAATGGGTGCCATAGTTCTAGTTGACAAAGAACGGTTTGGGGGTCCCAAGTGTCGTTATATTTTGGCGCAGGAGGGTTGTTATTATAGATACCTTTGAGATATCTTTTGATAATGGGATCATCTTCGGTTTTCACTGGCATGAAAAAACTCAACGCCGATTTGCAAACGTTAATACTAGAATATGACTTACAGTTTTGAAACTGTTGATCTAAAAAATTTATTATATTTTCTAGGGAATAACTGAAAGGGTTTTGTCTACTTTGCATACAATATTCCCACCATTTCTTGAACCAAACATCATACTGCTTTGAAGTATTCGGAGTAACAGAGGCTATTATTCCATGAGCTGCCGTCAAGGGGAAGTTTCGTGTAATGAGTGCTTCCCTGATAAAATTCCGGCAACCAGGGTAAGGTCCCTCCATAGCGGATGGGGCTTCCTGAAAGGAGATAGTAACATACTTTTGCTTGGCAACAATGTTAGGGGTGTTTGAGTAGACATTTTTAGAAAAAGTGGGTACCATGGTTGGGTTACCCAGAGAGGTGCAACCACGATACCTTCAGCCTCGTCAGATATTATTTTCTGTAACACTCTCGTCATCAATGAGAAAGGTGGGAAAGCGTAGAACTTAAGGTCTCGCCAAGATATACTAAAAACTGTCAACAGTCAGTGATGCAGGATCTGGTTTCCAGGACACGAATAGTTTGCATTTTGTGTTGATTTTTGTTGCGAATAGATCTATGTGGGGGTAATAGAATGTTCGGCAAATATTTCTGAAACATGCATTGGATAATTCATATTCCGTTTCTATGGACAAAGTGCGTGATTCTGCATCCGCAATGGTGTTGTGTCTCGTATTAATATAAGAAGCAAAAATGTGAATTCGTTTTTTCTCGCAATATTGCCAAATGTTTTTAGTTAGGGAGTGTAGGCTTTTGTGTCTGACTCCCCCCATTTTGTTAATGTAGGATATTGCTGTCACATTATCTATTCGCAACAAAATCTCACAATCTGAAATGTTCTTTGTGAAACATTTGAGGCCATTAAAAGCAGCGAGCAATTCTAAAAAGTTAATATGTTTTTCCTGTTCCTCTTTTTCCCAGAATCCATGTGCTCTCATCTCGTTACAATATGCCCCCCAACCCGATCTCGAAGCATCTGAAAAAATTTCTATGTAGAAGTTATTTGTTTTTATGCTATTTTTAGCTAGTGGTAGGCATTTTAGCCACCATTCCAGGTCAATTTTGGCTTCCTCTGAGAGAAACATTTTTCTCTCAAAGTTACCATATATTTTTAGTTGTAAGCATTTTTCTCTTTCCAGCTGCTTCGTGTATAGCCAGCCGTATGGGATAGCGGGCGGGCATGCTGCAACGAGATTACCTATGATTTTAGCAATCTCACGAATTGTGTTCGAGTTTTTGTTCAGTGTTCGATTGATATTCTCACAAATGTTGTTCCTTTTCTCAGTGGTTAACGATATGGAACAATCTTCGGTATTGAAAATAAAACCGAGGAATTTACACTGTTTGTTAGGGGACAACTGGCTTTTTGCATAATTGATTATGAACCCTAGGCTTTCGAAGTGACTTATAACTTTTAATGTGTCTCTAGTACAATTTTTTACTGATGAACTTATTATTAATATGTCATCTAGGTATGCCACACAAATGATGCCTTCCTCTCGTATTTTTTCAATATGGGTTTTAAGATTTTTGTGAAAATGTAAGGTGCCACGTTCAATCCGAAAGGAAGGCAATTGAACTCGTAGATTGTATTTTCAAATTTGAATCTCAGATATTTTCTATGGCTTTTTGCTATAGGCAATATGAAATAAGCATCTTTGAGATCAATGTTTGTAAGATATGCGTTTTTGTATATAAGTCTGATTACAGTGCGACAATCTTCGAGTTTGAAGTGTGGTGGCGTGATGAATCTATTCAGGCTCTTCAAATTCAGTATGAACCGAAATTCTTTATTAGGTTTTTGTCTGAGGAAATAAGGGGATAGGAATTGACCTTCCACCTCACTGCTACAAGCGGATATTGCTCCAATTTTGGTCAAATTTTTAATAACCATCTTGCAGTTTTCAATTTCTTCATCAGTGTTTGTTATGTTGAATATATTTCCTTGTTTCGGTTTCTCTGTGAAACTGAGTTTTATTCCCTTTACCCAACCAAGAACCGTTGGGTTTTCGGTAATATTGGACCACTGATTAAAGAAATTTGAAAGCCTGCCAGCATAATTTACCTCTGCTAGTTCCATCTGCTCCTCGACCTCTCTTGTTTGTTGTTTTCCTTCTTGTAGTATTTCCTCCCCTCTGTTTCTTTCCCTTTCTTCCGTGGAGGCCGGCTCTGCTGGCGCTGGAAGTTTTTTGAATTTTGATTTGCTCGTTGAAATTTTTGTAACCCACTCGTGGATGGCTGATTCATCGCTTTGAACATTTT